CTACCTCGGATCTGTATGGTGCTTTCCACATGATGGCCTTGTCGACTCTATCGACTGAGTCTACTGTGAGCCTCGGAGTCCAAGGGAGGTCTCCTGACGGCGGTGCCTTCGGTGCCGATGTATGTCTCGACATTCTGCTTCTTGGCCTCCTCCATCTGTTGCATAAACTTAAACCTAAACCCTAAACCCTAAACCCTAAACCAGGCTCTCGACTCTGCCAGTGAGCTAAACCCCGGCGAGGCTAAACCCTAAACCCTAAACCCGAAGACTTACATCACACTGAAGAACCTTACTTAGAAAGCTGTTTGAACTATAAAAATCACTCGTGGCATTAGCTGTTAGTGCTCTGTGATTTGCTGCTCCCCCTATCACACAGCCGTCTACCGTCCGAGATTGAAGAATGATGTTGGGTAAGGTGTCCTCGTCTGGTGGGCCAGTTTTGCCTCTATCAACTCCTGAGTCTACCATATTGAGAAAGTGAAGAGCCTCCCTTCTTAGCTTGTCTGCTTATGTGAGAGCGTTCGATGTGCGGAAAGGTCTGCAAGGAATTTCTTGAGAGTCTCGTCTGCTTTTGTTGTGATAGAGACGAGGGGGAATATCATGGGGCTCTCCGCATGTTGATCCTTGCGGCATTTTAAAGATCGAAAACACTCGATTTGGAAATTTGTTTGGAAGCAACCAACCAGGTCCCCTTTCCCTTCTTGGCATTGATCTTTGCAGGCCCTAGCTAGGAAGATTCTGTAACAGGCCCAGTTCTCCTTGATCATCCTCCTTAAGCTGTTCTCGTCACGGTCCGAGACCCTTGCCTCTTGTAGCAGCACGACCTCAAGTTGGAAGGACTGAATTAGGTACGCGAGGATGTGTTTGAGAACAAAGTGATTGCACCCATTCACGTTTTGTGAGATGAGGAAACCTGGGTCTGAACTTTTTCAATGAAGCTGTGTCCAATCCTTCACTCTGCATTTTCTTACTCAGCTCCTTCGCACTCTGGGAGTTATTCTCTCCTGTGTGTGTTTTGTCCTCGAGTTCAACTGAGTCCTCACCTATTTGACTTGGATGATCTACCTAGATCCCATAGCAAGAACCGGAATTCTTTAGACACCTTCCACCTCCTACTCTAATATTCAGACGTTGAGGCTGAATTACAAGAACGCTCCGCCCAATCTTCCCTTCTTATTGTTATTTGGCAGGCGAGTCAATTTTTTGCTTTACAAAATAACTCTCCCAGCGACAAGGCAGTGGCAGGAGAAGGAGATGTATCATACAGGAACCCAACGGCCTTGTCAATCCATTCTGAACCTTTCTCTTGTTCATCATAATTGTCACTTCAGGCAGTCATGACACACAAATTTGAAAACTTTACTTCTCTGTTGTAATATCATCAAAAAAATCTTTCGGCCATTCTCCTCTAGAACTGCGCGTCAATCACTACGAAACAAATTCAACGAAAGATATCTTCACGTAATCATCACAAGGATCCTTTGCAGATTAGTTCCATTCTGGGGCCTTTGAACAACCTTCCTGCAGCATTCTTCAGTAGTAATTGCTTACGGGGTCAGAAACTGCTGAACCTGGAAAGTGGTGGGAAAAGGATTGGAAAATGATCTGCTATCTCTGCTCTCCGAAAAAGTGCATCACCTGTTCTGCTTGAATAAGGTACAAAGCATTCAAATGCGAGCTCGAGGGACCCGGTTGCATGTTCAATTCGTGCATCAGCCCATTGGGAAACGTCTGGACGAATGGCGAAGGATGCTGCAAGAGCTGCAATGTTTTCAATTTGATTAACCATACATGTCCAAACGAACCACAATTGCGCTCTGCTTCATAACTGATGGTCCTAGAAAGTCGTTGTGATCCTGCGGGACGATCCACTATTCAGAGACAGACCGGATCCTGCCAGAGCAAGCAAACCAAACGAAGCAATGATTCCAACTCAATATTCGATGGAAGCGCATCGATCACCTCGCCCAGACCTTCTATAAGCGCATTCTGTTGAATATCAAACCACACATAACTTGGACAGAAATAGTACAGGGTCTTTCAATTTTGTAAGATCTGCAATTTCTCCAGAAAACCTCAAGTCCGGCGAGCCTTGGATTCTACACCAACTGCAGCCAGAGTGACAAATGATTGTGTCAAAGATTGTGACAATCCAACTTTGCCGTGTGAAGACATCGCATCATTCGTGGTAGAGTATGTTGGTCTGCTACAAGCCCTTGCAGCACCTTCAGCAGCGCCTTTCCCGACATTCCGACCCAAACTTGCTGTGAACCCTCGTCCCCACCTTGACCTATTGATCAAGGACTCTAACTGGGACTCTAACAGCTGCTCTAACAGGGACTCTAAGGCACAGCGGCACTCCCGGAGTCCTGCCCCGGGCAGTGCAAGCCTCGGACTCCGCCAGGGACTCCGCAGCATTTAATGAACCATTGAGCGACAAACAAGCCGGGCCTCGTAACTTCCGGCCTGAGTTCGTCAGGCCCGCCGATTCCGGGACCGCTGAGTCGAACTCAGCTCGGACTCCGGGACCTGCAGTGCAGCAGCCAGAATCATCGGAGACCTGCCGCAGCGCCAAGCCCCTGACTTGCTAATAAAATCTCAGATCGATCTGGCTAAGTTCAGGCAACTTGATTATCTTTTATTTACTGCCTCAGGCTGGGCCTGCCCGGCCTGACTCAAAGTCGCAAGCACGTCAGCAGCGATCCGTTCTTGTGCTTCCTGTCGCCCTGTGTTGTGTGTGACATTCATTGATCGAGCTCCTGAACGAACTCGTGTAAGTAATCGTCTGAGACTCGGACTAAGAAGCACAGGGCATACCTGCTATTGTTGCGAAATTAATCGCGCCTGCTAATGTGGAATGCATCGGTATCTCTGTTGAAGCACCTGGGGATGGCATGAAAAATGGAACGACTCTGAATTAACCGCCACAATCTAAAAAAAAATAGAAGAACAAGAAAACCTACCAATCCATGGTTTCGGCAAAGGAAGGAGCCCTTCCTTTAAAAAGTTGCGATCAATGCCTTGCGTGAAAATAAATCAAATCCTCTACCGTCATCGCAGAAATGTTGGTTGACGCAATCCTGGTTTGTAAAGGAGCAATCCCTGACTCCTGTATGTTGTCACCTTTGACAATATGAGTTCGATGTCTCACCTTTGAAAATCCCCTCTCAGGATTCGACGGAAAACTGGGATGAACAAGCACATGATAAGTATCGGAAGACTGAAAGCCCATCGTATGTGAAATTAACCGATGCCCTTTAATTCCAGATGAGAACGAATGTGAAGACAAAGCCGAACACGTTTGCACGAAGGTTGGTAACTCAGGTGGTGGAGCAAGAATGGATTGAATCGAAAGGTTCTTCCTTTCGCTTTCACGGGAAGGAATACTTTGCACGTTGCCAGTATAATTCCATATTGAGCCTGAGTTCTGACGAGATGAACACGACAAACCTGATCATCCACACACACACATCAACTAGAATGTGCCGATGTAACACTATCTCACCCTTGCGAACGCAATGAGAACAAGGTCTGAAGAGGTCGCATCCAGTCTTAGCCTTTGCACCTGAACAAATATCAACATGTATGAAATGAGATTTTGCCAGCACAAGCATAGCAAGCGGCTCCTCGGCTTATCTGACGTCTGATCACCTTCTTTCCCCCTTCCAACTGTGGCAGACGGGTCATACATAGTTGAATAGGAACAAAAGGCGCTAACTATAACATCTGCTTGATTCCTGTAAGGCGATGACGATCGCTGGTCTCTGCACGTCAACGACAATCTGAGACATCTACATCTTGTGACTTTCAATCAAAACAATGCAAACGTCAATCACCTCGTGCAAGGGCGTTCCTCATCACATGCCTTCTTTGCAAGAGCACAACAAAAACAGGCACCAGAGATTCTTTGTTTTTGCCTTGGTACGTGGACCAAATCTAATGCTTCGATCTTGGGTTCAGCATTATGTTCCAGTTGAGTTGCTTTGGTTTCAGGCAAAAGACAGAAGCCCAGCATGCAGAGGGATTATTATCCTTCCTTCGATCAGTATTCTAGTGAAATACTGCCAAGCCCTAAGCCAAGTCCTACCATGTACTGATTTTCGTTAGTAAACAGAATGCTGTCATTTATCGTCCAAGAGATTTGATGGCGAAGGGAAGGATAGCAAGGCAGGGCAGGGTGGTGGTGGGGAGGTGGTTGTGGTTATTAACTCTAAATCGAGAATCACACATGTGGTGTCACTAGTCCAAAGAAGATGACTAATCTAAATCTACCATGCTTCTCTTGCCACAACAACCATCCACCTCCGTCCATTTGCTTTCAATGTTGTTCTTGCTGTACTACTCTCCCTCGCCCACATGCTTCTCACTCTTTCTCTTGTCTCCCTCCCCCTCCCCCTCCCCCTCCCCCCGCCCTCTCCCGCCAACGCTCTCCCATGTTGTCTCTGTCGTGTCCAACGAGTCTCATTTCGTCTATCCCTGCACGTAATCCGTCCAGAGGTTGTTGTCTTGAAAACTATTGTATCACGAGTTCAACAGTTCTAAAATAAAAGTTCATACTTCATTCGGTACCAACAAATTGTTTTAACGTTATAAAAGCATGTCTTCAGAGGTCAAGCTAGTCAATACTTTTCTTTCGTTCGCAATCAGCAAAGGGCCGCAGAGAAGAACTAAGCAGCAAATGTGAGAATGTCTCGGCCCCGGTTCTTGCCAACGAAATGTGTATCTCGTGTCCATTGCAAGTACGGTCACGGGTCAATACAAGCAGCGAAGGAGCTAGAAAGCAAAGCTTTCTAAGCAGGTCCAACCATACGAATGCAATTGCAATCTGTTACCACTACTCGAAACTTCAAGTATTATCTAACAAATCTCAAAGATTAGTAGGACTTTCTTCAGTTCAGATATGATGATCTTGGTTCATCGAGAGCCAATCTGCCGAGAAACATCATGAAATGGTAGGAAGGAGCAAATATTCCAGCGCAGGCGGAAGAAGTTAACTATTTGTAAAGAAACGAATTCATTTACATGTCTCCTAAAGTACTCTTTACTCTTGCTGTGCCGCGTCCATCTCATCCATCTTCGCTTGGATGAGCTCCCAAGCTTCATCTCGACAGACTCGGAGGCCAGTGATGACAATCACTGGCTCCTCGTCGCTTATGTCGATCCTCGTCCCAGTAGTGTCCTCTATCTCCCTGATCCGCGAGCCCCCTGGTCCGATCAGGTATCTGCAGATCCTCTTAGCCAGGCACCGGAATAAACAGATACACTCTTAAGAACAGATCAAGGAATAATAAAGAAGAAAAGGAAGACAAACCGAAAACACAAACAGAATTGAAAAACCAACGTGAACAATCGACAACAGAAGATCGAATACGGAGAAAGTGAAAAGGAAAGGAGAGGAGAGAGAAAAGAGAGAGAAAGCAGAAGGGAAAGAGCAAAGAGATAGGTAGCAACAAGTAGAGAGCAAGTTAGCCGGGTCCAGGTTGGTTTACCCATGGTAGCGTTGCTCGACGTAAAATTTCTCTTCAATTTCTTCCTTGAGGATCTATAGGAAAAGGAAATCTTAAAGCAGGCGACACACAGGGAAAACGTACCTCCTCCACCAAGGAAACTGCTTGCGCTCTGTCATCCTCCGCCCCTTTGATCACCACGCACGGCTGGGACCCTCCCATGAAGCTAATGACCGTTGAGCTTCGCTTCTCGATCCACGTCACCGTGCTGCCGCGAGGGCCGATAATGACGCGATGCAGCCGCTCTTCGCAAGGGACTTTCGAGGTTCCATGCCCCCGAACCATGTCCTGCAGCATTCGCATAGCCGCTGACCTCTGAACGTCGGTTCCAGTGATGATGCAGTTGTCCACATCGATGCCTTTGATCTGAACACGAGCACCGCTGTCCTGCTCAACTTTCTTGATGCTCTTCCCATTCATGCCGATAATCAACGCGTGTAGTTCTCGAGGAATCGTCATGACGTCTTGCTCGCGAGAATTTCCCTGTGCGACCTGCTGCGCCAATGCAAAGGCAACTTTCCTATCCTCCTCTTTGCCGAATACGATCATAGCTGGCTCAGGGGTGGTCGAGAAGCATATCACTGTGTTGGACTCTTGTTCAATCTTATGAATCGTAGCGCCTTGCTTGCCGATGATGGCGTAATGCTTGCTCTCCTCCATTGGGAAGCGCTCGTGCTGGTTGTTTCTCTTCCATTCATCCACCTCCTTGACTACCCGACCTCGAGCCTCCGCATCCCCCTTGAGAATGAGATGAAACCTGCTCTCTGATACGACGCGTATCCAGCAACCAGTTCGCTTCTCAACTTCCTTCACATTCTTGCCATTGAGGCCGATGAAGCTCCTTAGCATGATGACAGGAAATTCAGCTTCGAAAAGAATCTCCTGTTCTTCCAAAGCAAGATAATGACGGATCTTCTCAAATGCTGCTCGCCTGTCTTTCTCTTTGCCTTTGATCTCAATGGTTGAATTCTTGAAGTTCAGCTTTGCCATCACCGAGCACTCTTCTTCCAGCATAACGATGAAGGACCCCCGTACACTTGAGATAGAATCAAAATCTTCATGGCTAAAAGTGTGAACGTCGACACCAGAAGCCTCAAGGAAATCACTGATAAGATCTCGTGCCAGCCTCCTCTGCTCGTTGGATCCCTTGACAATGATCGCCATGTCCTCTTTTGATTTCTGCGACAGAATCTCCTGCACATTCACTCCAAAACGTGACATCTCCATCGAATTGTAATCGTCCAGCACGTGCACACGAGCTCCTGACATCATCTCGATCTCCTTTACGTATTTGCCCTTTGGACCCAGGATCGCACCAAAGCTGGAGGCTGGGAGGAAGAAATGCTCGAACTTTTCGTTTTCCAGGATGTCACGAGCAAGCTCGATGGCGGCAGAGCATTGCTGCTCTGATCCACACACGAGCATTCCTATCTCTGCAGTCTCTTTGTCCGTCTGGAAGGAGATCCTAGCACCGCTCCTCTCTTCCATCCATCGAACGACCCTCCCCCTGACACCGATGAGACTTCCGTGCATGCTCTTGTCCAACGGCATGAATTCTGTCTTGGAGCCGCTCAGCCACTCGCGGATGAGCTTTACCACCTTGTCTTTCTCCACTTGAGACCCCGAGATCCTCAATCGCGGCCTTTCACCCTGATCGATCCTCACGATCGCTCCTGTCTGCTGCTCAATCTCTGCTATCTTTTGCCCCTTAAAGCCGATCAGGGCGCGAAGCTCAAAGACAGAGGCTTCCTTCCCGAGTATTTCATCAAGCAGCAGTTCATCCACCGACTGTTCCAGCCGCTCCTCTATCATTGCAAACGCACGATTGATGGCATCAGGTGTGCCGCGCAAGAGAATACCAGAAAAATTTCCTTCTTGGTCCTCTACGCCATCTTCATCTTGAAGCTTGATAGCAGAGATGTACGTGCCCGTACTTGTTTCGATCTCTCGCATCTTCATTCCTTTCCGGCGCAGCAGCTCAGCGACCAAATCACTACTCAATTTCTTCGTGGCCGTGTACTTGCTCGAATTGGAATACAGAAGCTCCTTCACCATGTTTGCGCCCGCTGCTCGCTGTTCCTCGTTGCCGCTAATCTGCAGATAGATCTCGTTGCCCTGGTTCTTCACGTTGAAGAAGCAGCCCGCCTCCTCCTCTAGCCAATTGAGATTCGCTCTTCTGGGTCCAACAAGCATGCGGCATAGATTGTTTGGGATAAGCAGCATGTCGCTCTCTTGCATGCCCAGAACCATCCTGGCGGTATCAATCGCTTTCTTGACCTCTTCTTTTTCTCCTCGCACGCGCATCTGCATGGAAGGTTCTCGTTCAATGCTTACCAAGGCTTCGCAACCTTCCTCAACTTTGCGTACGTTCTTACCACCATTAGCGAGCAAGGTATTGATTTCTTCGTCTTGAAGAGGAAGAATTTCCTCGACCATGGAGGCCATTCGCTCTTTGAAACGAGACCTAAGTTGCTCTATCACCTCCGGCGATCCGAAAGCAGTGAAGGAAATCGTTTTTCCATCGTTTCGGAAGCGAAGGGTGAGTCCTGCCTCCTCTTCGAGCTGCTTGATGAAGCTTCCTTTCATTCCTAACAGGCTGCGGACAAGCAGCTGGTCATTTCCGTGCTCGTAGACAAACACGTCTTGAGGCATAGAACTCTCCAGCACCGAGTTGAGGAGTACATTGACCTCTTCTTCATCCAAGTCGCGTCCTCGCACAATCCACCGTAGATTCTCATTTTGCTCTCCTTTTTCAAGGCGAATGTCAGCATTCAGCTGCTCTCTCACCTCTGCAAGCTTCTTGAAATTCACCCGACTTTTTGCAAAGCTTTGAGGGACATCGAGCGAAATCATTTGAAGGTTTAATGTCATTTCTTCGATCTGCTCGATCGCAAGCTTGCATTGTTCCCTCGTTCCTCTGATCAACGCTCGACACATTGGGGTGGTTTCAATCTTGATTTTGGCTCCGGTGTCCTCCTGCAGCTGACGGATAGTTGCTCCCTTCTTCCCGATGATCACTCCGACCAAATCCTCGTCGACGTCGATGACTACCTGCACTATTAAGCTTTCTCCCATCCTCTGCGGTTTGTCCATGATTTGCTCCAGCTGTACCTCTTCAATCGACGAACTAGATACCGGATCCGTCTGTGTGCTCTCCATCGCTCCTCCCTCCTCCTTTGCGCCAAATGCACGCAGAGGTGGTCCGCTGAGGACCTCCGTCCCAGTCGAAGTATCATCCTCCTGCATGCCGCTCAACGCAATCAGAGAGTCCCGGACAATATCTGCGTGACCCAGGAAAGGCTCTTGCCGCAAGATCTTCACGAATCTTTTGCTCGATACGTCGATGATGAACGTCTGTCGCTCCATTGTCACCCCGGTTCCAGCAGCCTTGGGATCCCACAACTTGAGAGCATGCATAAGCCGCCGATCGGGATCAGAGACGAAAGAAAAGAGCTTCAGTTTGAATTTGTTGAGCATCTTCACGTGCAATCCGCTGCAAGCTTAAACGTCATGCTCTCCGCCTCGAATTCAACTATTGCTCACCTGGGCTCGGGCGATACAGCGATACAGCTGACAGCTGGGAGACGGCTTCCAAGCTTGTTCTGGATGTCGATGAGCAGCTTTGTCCAGTTGTCTGATGCGGATCCTGAGTGCCGTGAAGGCTCGGGAACAATCAGCAAGAGTTTCTTCCCCATCGACTCCAACTCGCTGAGATCAATGGGCTTATCCTCATTATCAACCAGCTGCTGGAACAGATCGAGAGGAACGTCGTCTCCTTCCTCGAAGGATTTCACAGAGACGACGTTGGTACTATCAGTGTTGCTGGCTGACTTTGAGATGCTGTAGGACGGACGGACCAGGTTCGGGGTCTTAGCAGCCTCAGCATCCTTGTGCTCTTCCAATGGCTCTGTTTTCTTGCCTTTCAAGTACGCGTCCATCTGAGCATAAGAAGGAATACTTGGCTTGGCCTGCATCTTGGTGGTTTCTTCAACACTTTCTTCTCTCGAGCTTTCGCCCTTCGTCACCAAATCTTTTTTCGCTTCTTCCTTCTTGCCGCCGCTCATTGAAGCCCAAGACCCTTTCGGTGCCTTAAGCTTCTTCATCCCAGAATCACGGCCTGACTTCTCCAACAGATCATCGAACTGCTTTCGGAGTTGGTCATCGTCATCTTGTTGGACGGCAGCTCGGATAGGCATCGATGCTCCTCTTCGAAATGTGCCAGCGACCTTCGGCCTGCAGGATCCTGTTGCGCGTTGCTGTGAAAGGGGAGGAATACATCTCCAAGGGCTTGACAGCGAACCTTTCCCTCGCAAAACTGTAGGAATAAAACACTCGACATGCGTGTTGGAGCCGGACAAAGCAGCTGAAATAAGGATGACAGGCAGCCATCTGGTTCCAGACATTCTGTGCGGCATATGTAACTTGTTGCCGAGAGGAATGTGGATAGGGGACAGAAGCAAGGAACGCAGGGAGGGAGGGGAGCTACACAAGAGAAGAAAAGGAAGGGACAGCAAACCAGTCGCGACGCTCACACCTGCTCGCCTCACGCTCCTTTTCCTCCACTGCCTCGAAGCGCATGCGCCATGTCCGGCCCCCTTCTAGGATTGGGGTGGAATAGCAAAGATGAGGGGGGTTGGGGGTCTACACAGCGGAGGGTAGGGTTGTTCTTTCTGTAATGGGTCAGGAACAAACAGGGGTACATGATGAATTGTCAGTAAAATGGTTGGGTAGGAGGTAGATGGGGGTAGGGTAAGGGGGTGGGCTTTAGGAGATACGATACGGCTTGCCTATGGACACAAGATTGATCCAGATTGCGACGGTGAGCGGCAATGCTGAAGAATGAGATCGAAGAAGAGAGCCAGTACAAGCGTTTGTAAGCATGAGACATAGGGATTAGAACCAGTAGCCAATGATCAACCGATGGCAAAGCTAGGCTTGTCCAGAGCTTCTTCAGTCGTAGAAGGACACATCTTGCAAGAAGCCGATGCAGTGGGAGAGTGATGTGGAAGGTTCCAGTGTCTGGCTAATGGAAAAGGATGACGTTTCGACTGTCAGGTTCAAGCTGTTTGTCTGCTTGCATCTGGATGAATCTGCTCACCTCTGCCATACTAGTTCTATCAAGAGTGTCGAGGTGGTGATATGCTCGAAGAGGCTGTGCATTGATCACTGATCAGCCGTACTTTCTTCAAGCTTCTTCTTGTGCTGTTCTGTGTCACAGCTGCCGCAAACAGCATCACCTCCGGGATTATGTCGCTCGAACAAGACATCCTGACTGCAGAGAAGCGGAATGAAGAAGGAAACTTGCTGTACAGAAACAAGAGATTTGACGAAGCATGCTCACAATATAGCGATGCAATTGTCCTGCTTGAGCTGCATGCGCAACAAACTCAAGAAGCTCACCAGCATCTCTGCAAATACCTGAGCAATAGGTAATTGTTTTCTTGCGTTTTCGAGCTTCTTATCATTTGGCAGAGCAGCAGCATATCTTGCTTCAGGATACGATGCTGAAGCTGTCAAAGATTGTACATCTGCTCTTGCCATGGATCCTATGCTGGACAAGGCTCTTCTTCGAAGAGGGTGAACGCTGACGTTGACGCTGAATGTGCGCTGACTTTGAGTTAGCCTGGGCCTTGAAAGTCTTGGAAGACATGCAGAAAGTCTGCAAGATGTCGAGGCTTTGCTGAAGCGAGCAGAGTGAACTTCTTGCTCAGTGAGAGGCCGTCAAAGCTGAGCAGGATGCAGTTGGGGGTCGCCAATTGCAACGAAGGGACTGGAGCTGAAAAGAAGACTTCAGCGTGTTTTGAACCAGGTCACCTCCAATACTCCACATCTCGTTCCTCATGACGAGCGATATAGGAGAAGAACTCAGAGGAACAACCGGTTCCAAGCCATTTGTTCAGTAAAGAACAGGCAACTTGTTGACTTCCTTGCTTCTCTGCCATGTGACGATCTGCAGATTCTTCGTCTTAACTTCCGCACTTTACCGCCATCGGAAGTTTCAAAGGTGATCATTAGCGACGAGAAAAGCAAGAATATGAAATTCCTGCAAAATTTTAGGAAAGATTCTTCGAAATATCAGTTTATGTTGCCAATGAATTCGGCCTCTTCAGTCACAGAGAATTTTCTAAGTCATCTCAGGAAATTTGAGTACATCACAAATGTTTATGATATTTACTGGATAATTGTACAGTCGGACCTAGCCTGCATAGAAGTGTCAATGATCGGCGATGATCCAGAAGTCAAACTCGAAGTCAAAAATGACAACAATGTAAGGAATGTGTCAAGTGCAAGCCATTATTTGATGATTGTGAGAAGCTCACCTTGGACACGAGAGGGAGAGCAACATTCGATCTGAGATTCGTTGGCAGTGAACGCATGAGTTCGTCCTCAAATCTTTCAGACTTACAGGCTGACAATTCTTCTGCAGAAATTCGATCGAGAGCAACATTATGCGTTCGCTTAAAGAAGGGGGAGGGCGTCATGGGGCGGACAGTGCTGACACTTATGTCGCTTCCAATTACTGTATTGGCTGAGGTATCCTTTCGTTTCATGACAAGCTCTCAAAATTGGCAAAGGTTGGAAGTATCACTCCCTTCAGCACGGGGCTTGCTGGGTGACTATTCATGATGATATAAGCAAACTTGCCTGACCTTTTGGTTCAGATGCATGAGCGGAAGGGGAATCGACTTGCCTCATCTTGACAGCGCAGTCGGTGAAATTTGTTTTCTATTACGGCCAATTCTGACTTGTTAAAGTGATACTGGAGAATCCAGATAGTGGAATTCCAGGAAAGGTGTGGAACGATCAGGGTAACCGACGAGATATCTGATTGCTCTCTAGATCTGGGATGGTGGTCTTATCCTAACAGAATATTTGTCATCCAGCAGCCATGAGGTCTTGTCTCAACTTTTCCTGGTATTCCATGATGCCTGCAGGTCCAAGGAAAATCCTGCCTGGAGTTGGGAGCAGGAACAGGTCAGATGTCATCACCTTGAACCCAAGGCGCTCATCCTGCGTAAGGAATTGTTGGCGTTAGCTGCTATTGCCTTGGAGCCGCACGTGTCACCATCACGGATCTTCATGAGCATGTCTGAGAGTGTTTGAATGGATGAGGCGGCTGTGGTAATCGTGTCCTCTAGATTGAGTTGATAAGTGCAAATATTGAGGCCAATGGTCCTCTTTTGTCCTCTCAGAGCTCGCAGAAGTCAGCAAGGAATCCTCAGAAAGACGTCAACGTGGCAGCTCTTAGATGGGGAGAGAACTTGGGACACTTAAAAACAACACCAGGAGGGTTTGATCTCATTCTTGGATCAGATATTGTATACGAGCCACACTGTTTTGCGCCTCTGGTGGAGGTCGTTTGAAATCATGCTGGTACACAAATGAACTCATTTTGAGATCCAGACGTTGCGATATTATACTGGCACTGGCAAGAAAGCTCTCATAGCTCACAGACCTCGACATTCCGAAGAGTAACTTCAGTCATGCATTTCACTCCGACTAATCACTGTTACAAGGTTTCGCTTCTGGGACGAGGTCAAGCAGGACTTTGATGTGACTGAAGAGTGTTTGTCAATCAGACCTAACGATGTTTCTAGGTAAAGGTCGTGAACTTCAAGAGCAAGAAATATCCTCATGTTACAGATGTCACAATCTACGAGTTATTTCGTATAGCATCTCAGTGACCGTGCAGCAAGGGGAACTGAACGAATTCAAATCGATTCATTGATATGTTGCATTGAAGTAAAACTTGGGGATTCTTTCGTAGAGAACATGCTTTCTGGCACTGATGAAGAAACTTGAACTCATTTAAGGCTGCACCATCGGGTTGCTGTAATCTTCATCGCCGCCTGTTGCTCATGATTACAAATCCCCAAGACCATATCAGAAGTTTTCGTCAAAAAATACGACCTTCAGCAGGTGCAGCGCCTGCTGGCTTGGAGCACATACCAGTCGTCTGAGGTAAATTTGTTACACAAAATTCTTATCTACAAAGAAATTGCAACTTACAAAGTCTTGGCCTACAGACTGATGCATAAAGTAGTTGAAAAGAAAAAGCATAATTTCAATGGAAATTTAATAATCATGCATCGAACTTACCCACTGAAAATAAACAATCAGAACATCCAACACACTATGCAATCACGAAGCATACCGTCTTGACGAGCCAGCTCTTATGCTCATTTGTTCCATTCACAACCACGCATGGCTTCAATCCGAGTTGCGTGAGCGCAAGAAGAGCGAACATCTTGTGACAATATCAGCTTTCTAACACGATAATAAGAAAAAACAGAAGTGGTGTTAGGAATGAATATCTATTATGCACATAGCTAATGCCCCATCGTCCCAAGACAGTGGCAGTGTGCTGCTCCTTCAAACTTGACTTGCACTAAATCTAGTTTGTGATCAAAACAAATTCTGCTGTCTGCTTCAACAGTCTGATCATTCTCCAACCACTCTTGCTTGCTGCACCGCGTCACGCCTTGAAATTTCGACGGAAACAATCTGAGAGGCCTGAGATCTATCCTGTCAACACAGAAAATCATCAGGTCCAAGGACACCGTGTCCTTGGACCTGATGATTGTCTGTCTGCGTGATCCATGCTGTCTCAAACGCGGCTCATTGCGCTTTCCTGCTGCACCCGAAATAGACTCTCGCATCACCCTACCCCCAGGTTACTCAGTGAGTTGGGACCCCATAATTACTGGGTCATCAGTACGGTAGTCACGGCAGTACCGCAGCGGATAAAGTAAAACAAATGGTCGAGCTAATCAATATATTGGATTGAAAAAACGAAGTTAGAGATAGATGTTTGGCATAGATACAAAGGAGGGTGCTTCTTTCTAGGACAAGGGAAACAACATGATACCGGCATTGAAGTCCAGCATCATTTGGCGAAGTTTCCTGGTGTGCCTTCTATCCAGACCATCGCAATCTTTCATCTCCACCAAGTTGCTTCCAAGCGAAAGGCTCAAATATTTCCACAATATTCAAAAACGCCTACAGATCTCATGCACACGTGCAAATAGTGAATCTTCCAACATCAAACTCCCTAATACATATCGAGCACTTTGGGCAGACAAAGCAGGAAGCAGCTTTCGCGAGGTGGTGGTGTTGAGGGAGAAAGAGTTTCCTCAAATAAGTTCAGATGAGGTTTTGATTGAAGGTGAAATTGTGTCCCTTTCACTGTAGTCAGGTAACATGTGTCAGTCAAGTACGCAGGTGTGAATGGAGGATGCGAGACATTCAGAGCTCGAGGAGAACATTGGTTTGCTAGGAACAGAGAGTCCGCTGTTGGATTTCCCCTCGGTGCGGAAGGAGTTGGCAAGGTAGTTCAGAAAGGCAAGGACGTGGCGGAAGTGGAGGTCGGCGACTCAGTTGCGTTCGTCGGAGGAGCATTCTCAGAGTATGTTGTGCACAAGAGCGAATCTGTGGTGAAGGTGGTTCATGATGTTGTTTATGCACAGCTTTGACGTACATGCAAGGTTCCAGCAGCCAATCCGGAAGCTGTAGCTTGCAGGATATCAGGCCTCACTGCTTACGGGGCTGTTTTGGATGCTGGAAGAGCTGCACCACGCCAGACTATACTGATAACCGCAGCTGCCGGTGCCGCAGGGTCGTTTGCTGTGCAATTTGCGAAGCAAGCAGGATGCAATGTGATCGGAACCTGCAGCTCAAAAGAGAAAGCGCAGGTGTTGTGCAAGCTAGGATGTGATCATATCATCAATTACAAGACGAGGAATTTGGATGAGGTGAGATAGCCCGGCTACATGCTAAAACATGACATGATGGTCCAGTTTCTTCGGTCGAAGTTTCCCGAAGGAGTGGATCTTGTTATCGAGCATGTTGGAGGACAAATGTTTCGCACTGCCTTCTCTCATCTTAAACCCGGAGGACGACTAGTTTTGGTCGGTTACATCAGTGAGGTTTGTGTTTCTTTAACTGTTTTTTTCTCATATCGTAACTAGTTGGAACAGTATCCACATAACCCGAATGCAAGCGATGAAACACATCATACGCTTGATTTCGACTTACCGTCGATTTTTTGGAAGGTTGAGAGTTGTTTCGAATTTTGTGAAATTCACGCCCGTTGAAGCAACAAACAATTGAAAGAGACAACAAAACAATCGTCGGCAAGCTTTTTTCATCACACGAATCAGTCTTGTCTTGCAGGCAAAAGGTATTGGGAATTCAAAAGATACATTTTTCATCAAAATTGTCTGTTTTTGCAGGTATTCGAGCAACTCGGCGCGGATTCTCTCAAGGTGCTAGTTGACTCAAAGCATTTTGAGGGGCTTGAAAACATTGCCGATGCTGTTGATCACATGCTGAGTGGAAAAACTGTTGGTAAAGTTGTTGTGAAAATTTCGTGAGAAGTTTTCAAATGCTAGAATTGTTTGTATTGCAGGTCCACACGTAAACTTTGGTTCTGTACTCATTTCAGTTTCGCTCTTTCACGACTTTGCTACTGTGCACATTCTGATCATGAATTTTCCCCAAGTTTCTTTTTCTCTGCCATCTGTTTCCGTTGAGACATACCTCTTGCCCTTGACTGTATTTTCACTGCTGCAACGTTCTGTCGTGCCAGATCGAATTCCTCGGGCAAGTGCTGAGCTTCCTCGATTTTGCTAGAATCTGTATTTGGATCCGCCTCTGATAAGGTATCTTGATTCCTGGTTTTATGTCGTCTACCCGCAGTCTTCGACTTGACATGACGCTGCCTACTAATTGCCTGCCATTACAACAAGCATTTCATCATATTACCACGGTTCGACCAAGTGTCACGCAAGCCGTCTCGATCAAATTTACCTGAATTCTTATCACTGCGACGTGTTCTCTTGCTGCGTCTGCTTCTTGTTTGCTAAGTCCGAATATCATCGCAAAGTCTTCCCAGCTCAAAAACTAAGCAACCATTATGAGAATCTTCAATGAAACGTCGTACTGAATACACCTGTTTGTTCAATACTTGCAATTTGTCCAACAAATTCTTTGAGAGCCCTTGTACATTTTCTGGGATTCTCCTTGTCAATCTGTAAGGCAACTCTAATTTGTCTCTGGTTTGACCTCCTTGCATCTGAAATGCAGTCATGCCAAAAATTGCAGTCTCCCCAGTCAGTTACAAAGTCAATTAGCTTCTGACGAGAAATCGAATTCGAACTTTCGATGTCAAGCTTCACAAACCTGGAATAAGAGTAAACAATTGCGACGCATTATTGACAACAAATGAAATACAGATCTCTTAGCCACAAATGGCTCTGATGACGAAGCTGTTTTACTCTTCGAGCATCTCTCTTTCTACGCCCTAAGGCCTGTATCTTGGTAGCTGCCATCTCCTGCATAGTATATCATGTGTTTCCTGATGTACTCAGATAATAGTTGCAAGGTTACCATTTCAATGCGATTCTCTCTGTTCACTTCTCTAAGCTTCTCAGCTACAAATAATACGGGATCTGCCGGTCTCTGTTGCAATAATGTTTGCAAGGCTTCCTTGATAGCTTTTTCAAGCAGTGGATAATCGTTACGCATGGATTGCATCACTTCCGTAATATTCCCAACCATAGTTTCTTTTAAGCTCTCAAACTTTGATTCCGCCAGCCCCTCAAGAGTCCGTGAAGGTCAGCTCGCTGACTGTCACGCCGTCTGCCACCTGCCGATCTTACTGACTCTATGAGGGCCTCCGTGTCAACGTTGTGACAGTGAGCAGCCTCGCTGGCACTTCCGCGCGTCTCTGAATGAAAGCGGCGCGACCTACGAACCGTACCTGAGCCTGTAGTTTAATAACCGTTCAACCGTTCAGTATTCTGGTTTTCAAGTTAACTTTGAGTAGTAACTCTACTCTGAAATATACTACTATGATAGCGGACTCAAAGTTTCCGAAGTTCCATGACGGTGGCCAGGCAGCCAGGCTACTCCGCCGCAGCCGTGGGCCACCCGGTGACGGTTGCCGCTGTGAGGCACTGCGGCAACCGTTGTGATTCAATGATCGGATTCAACCATCGGGACTGCGGGGGAGGGGAGGTGGTGGGCTCTAATCAGTGACGCGACTAAGTCCACCCCCTCCCCTCCCCCGCAGTTCCGATGGTTGAGGGCCTCTGAGACTTCAACGGCGGAAGGCCCGCGGGGGGCGGGGCCCGCGCGGCGGCGGCGACGCGGCGCGGCCGTGACTGCGGCCCCCCGGCACTCGCGGCGGCGGCGCGGCCGCCCGGCCCGTGTCCACCGGGACGCGGCAGGGCAAGTACCGGGCCGCGGGAGTCGCTCCCGGTCACTCAGTGAGTCCGACGGCCGCGCCGCGGGCCGGGCCGTGATCATCCGGGAGTAAACCGCTAACTAAACCTCTACTCTTCTCACACGCAGCTCACACGCCCATTCTTTTCTCCTCTCATCGCCCCCTCGCCCCTTTTCCAGGCAGCAAGGTTGAGCATTTAGAGCTTTCACCCACCTCCGTCCTCTCTATCACGATTCCCACCAGTCTCATTTGATCAACTGTATTCACCTGAATTCCTTGTTTCAAGTGAACAAAATACCACGCTACATTGAAAGGCAAAAATCTTCAGCGGTAGAAATCAATATGGTCTTCTTTTCTATCGCGCTGTTCATTATGAATGTAGCCCTGATCGCCATTTCAGTAAGCTTCCTTTTTTCTTGCTTCAATTTCCTTACCTTTTGCGATTCTACCTTGACACCAGATCATGAAGATCTTGAAGTACGCCGAGTTGCAGGTGGCTTCACAACAGCAACATCTGAATTTTTGAACCATCATTCTACAGGAAGATCATCTAAATCCAACTGATTTCGCAAAATCCATGAACAGCATGGCTAAGTTCGAATTGATGTGTCAGGTATACCCCCTTTGCTATTCTTTGTCTGTGCTCACAATCTATTGCAGGCTGCATTTTCTGCGGCGATTCTGGTTTATTTTGCGCTCGACCCAGCTCGTGGATTGTACCTCAAACTGATTATGATTGGTGTCAACGCTGGTTACTTGTTCTTCTTGTTCGCAAGGTTGCATCTTGTTCAAAGCTATTACTGTGCATGTCCTACACAGTCTCATCTTCGGTCTGTTTATGCTTTATTTGACTTCATAACCGAGCAGATACTCTTCAAAGCGCTATCTGGTTGATCCTGCAAAAGTTTGGATGCAAAGCTTCAAGAATGAAATGCAGGTAGCTTGTGATCTCACACATTCGTTGTTTGATTCGGGTTTGCTTTGAATGGTTGACTTTAGCGAACGATGATGACTTCAGTTGCGTTGACTGTCGTTTCATTCCTCCTCTGCATGTTCAATCTGATCCGGGAAGTAACCACAGTAGGGTAACGATTGACGGTGGTGACACACGGAGGGGAAGGTTTAAATTTTACAAATGAATGCTTCAAAAGGCTATACAATCCCACTTTCCCTCGGCACGAATTCAATTCCTGTTTGAGATGACTTGCGTTCAAAGAAAAAGTCAATGTCATCCATCACAACGCTTCGCATTTACCGAGTTGCACGAAATCAGCCTTGCAGGCGGCCTTTTCACAAACGGACATAACATTGCTTTCAAATCGTGCAGCTTGTGATAATCTGGAAACCCTACACCAACCCACACCAACCATCTAAACTGAACCAAAAATCTAAACCTTACAATGCACCGTCTGATTAGATCAAACATGACGGGCAAAGCACATGATTTGAGAATCAACCTTGCGTTCTCCTGTCGAAGGTTTATTTTCGAAACTATATTCTATCACCCCAGATTCACAAGTTTTACTGTGCAGCCCTCTTCTTCTGGCTCTTTGCAACTCCGCCTTCACGGAAACCATTCTTGAACCTCCTGGGGAGAGTCTTGAGGTGTCGGCAGCGTCCAGTACCAGTGGTCCTGCGGCGTTGAGCCTTGGTAGCCCAGTTGTCTGCATCAAGGTGAGATGATTGTCCAACACAGAAACACACCAATACATTTGCGCATGTGTTTGAAGGATATCCGCAGGCACCACAAGTGGACTTCTGGATATGATAGGCGGAGCGGCCACAACGTCTGCACAAGGTGTGCGTCTTGTTGTGGCGCTTACCGAAGCTTGCCGTACCCTTACCTACAACCTAAAAGGGAAATGAGTTTCATGTCCTCAAGAATCCATCGATTATGAGTTTGTGCACAAGTTAGTAAGATATTGTCTCGAATTAACAAGAAACACAACATAGACATCGAGCTTGCATTACGTCAAGAGTTATCACGTCAAGAAATCTTCACGAGACGCTTCTACGCTTTTAGCCAAATACAATGCAACAGCTCTGCTCGCAAGATTCTCCACGATGAAATTAAGAAAATGTCAAACGAATCATTATAATTCCAGAGTACAAGCTCGAGGAGATAATGTTAAGGATAGAGAACATAGATAGATTCCCACCAGCCGACCTCAACACTACTGCACTAGCGAATAATAACATCCACCTCACATAGACTAGGCATCGGAAGTGAAACTTTCACACTCATGAACGCAAGAAAGAATGTCCCAAGAATGGTCATGCATTTTGTCATCGCCTCAAGCATCAAAGACAGCATTCATCGTCAATCTTCCAGCACGCGCTGCACATGTGCTTACCATTGCCGGTCCTCAGGAGCACTCCTATCGGCACGAGGCAGCCCAAAAAAAGAATTTTCCGTTACCCACCACATACTTCCAGTAACCACCGAGAAAAACTTCTCCACCTGAGTCCGGCAGGCCTGGCCGGGCCTTCCGGCCGACAGGCCCCGGGCAGGCGAGGTTGCTCAAGTCGGTGGGGGATGAGGGACAGGAAAATGCGACCAGCACTGCATGAGAGGAGTGTGGATGCGACATGCAGCATGCAAGGAGAGCAGGAGGATGAGAGAAAAGATGTGCATGCTATGGAGAGACAGAGAGGACAAGGAGAGTCGGTACACGTTCATAGGGCTGAATATCAAGTCTAGCTTCTATCACGATCAATCCATCAGCCCGCAATTCTCGCTTGCCCAAGTCTCGTGTGGTGGTACCTGAACTATGGTGCAGGAGTCTGAAGTGAGAGATGCAAGTGTCTCAGATTACTGGTTTCCAGGGAACATGCACATGCATTCACGGTAACTTGTCCAGCGAGAGAACATTTGAAGTCTGAAGAAATCAGAATGGGACTTTGGACGAAAATCAAGTTTCGATTTTATGTGTTGATCGCTTTAGTCACAGAGCCCGGATTTCTTGATGCAAATATAGCGGGAAACGTCGACACGAGTCTCTCTCCAAATCTTCTGGTGCTGTTCATGTGTTGTTGACTGCAACTTCCTGCATTTCTCGTGACAACTCTTTATGGCCGAAGTGAGAGGATTCTGACACCTCATCAGGGCACAAGATTCATTTGGCCTGATGTTTGGTCCGAAAGTCCGACAGGCTGCTTTCAAAAACTTACTTATTCAGAACGATCGTGTGCTCCTGCTTGCATTCGGCTGCGGGGTGGTAGTAAAAGCATTGCGAATGTGGCTGGTTGGTTCGATTGCAGTTCTGGATTATGGAGCTCGTGCTTCAACCGAGTATTTTTATCCTTCTTGCTCTGGAGACTTGCTGACATCATGAACCAGATTAGAATATGTGTTTCATCCTGGAGGCGCGCAGAAAGCAAGAACAATAAGATTGTACTTGTAGCCTTTTAGATGTAAGTCACTTATGTCTCATGCAGCAACCTCCAGCACATTCAACGTCTCTAGATTCAATTGAGGTGCAGAGTGATCAAGTATTATGATACAGAAATCGACTTGCACTGATGAATGCTTCGTAGCAAACCAAATTGTCAGGGCCATTGCACTCATTTTCTTTGGGCGACTTGAATGAGATGGACGGAATGGTTGATCTCTTGCAACTCAGTGATGTAATGTTGAGAAGCTCCATTTCTTGCGTAAAAGCAGGGAGATGAAGAAAATCGCAAACCGCTTTTCACCACCAAAGCCCACACATCTGGAAAGGTAGACTTAGCGTTTCCTACAATCTGAACCAACTTGTACCACTAGGTCCCCGAGTACGAAGTTCTCCTGGATTGCTTGCCTAACGGAGTGACACCTGAAAAAGTTCAGGTGCTATATCGACCTTAGATTTCCTATGGGGTTTTCCTGTTCCTGATCGAACTTTGCTTTAGGTTGTTCTTCACCGGAAATATTGCAGAACTCGTCATCCAGATGTAGAGAAAGGTATGAACATGACGTATCCTTTGAGTCAAAGATCTGAGCGTGTCTTAATGGAAGGAATCGAAGATCAATGGCAGAGCCTGACGACAAAAGAGCCTCGCCTTTGGTGGTAAAGACTGCTGTTATGTTGATCGATCTTCGGTGAATTGTTGTGGATGGAAGGTACGACGGCACTTTGTTCCGGCTAGCTTCTGCTCAGAGGTGATGATTGTCCGCATAGATATGTCCCAAACACAGCTTTGATCGTTTGAAGCTGTGTACTGATTACAGTTGTGCCAGGTGGAAGGATATTGACGGATCGCAAGAAGTAAACATGTCTTCTATTCCTGTTCTGTCTGACACGAGCAGGTGAAACTCGAATGTGGAGTAACTCGCTATCGAAGCTTCTTGGGCACCAACATGTCACCTAACTGGTCTACTTCACCGTAGTTTTCAATCCCTTCAGCTTCTCATGTTCTGGTTCAGGGCAAAAATTCCGGAAGTGCACATGTCGGATCCTTTGAGTTGTTTTGTACGCCTATTTGTCCTTTAGGGAGTGGTTCTGATGCTGCTGACTAGGTGTTGGTACATTCCTCCGACGACCAGGTCATGTTTGTACAGCGCAAGGATCCAATTCTTGGTTCCAGGTGGACTTCTTTTCCTACTATCAATCGTGAACCGTCAATCTACAGCATTTCACTTCCTGGAGGACATCTCAGTGCTGATCGAGCAGGAATCTTTGACTCCATGGTTGAGGTTTTACAACCGATCTTCTCATTCTTCAGATATCTGACATTCATTTAGGTGCCCATCCCTGGATACATAGGGCACGAAATTATCTGCATGCTCGATTATTCTATCTGGCCAGGCAAAAACCTTGCTGCCATGGCATTGTCTTGTTTGCGACTGCTGCTCTGCCTCTTGTTCACTTTGCCATGTCCAAGAAGCACTTCTTGTGCATCTTGTCTCTCTACTCCATCTTTGCTGAAATGAATTCTAACTCAGGAAGTGAAAAGTGGAAACCGTCGATGAGAAATGGAGTTGAAAGCCCACGACCGTATTCGAAAGTGATCACCGAACTCTTTTCTTGCCCCTTAAGGTCTCTTCTATGCATTGCTCATGTATCTTGTATCTTCCTCCAAAGGATTCTTGACTCCCTCTCTCCATTTCCCTCGTCTGATCTCTCCCTTTGGCTATGACCTCATCGTTCTTCCTGGAAATCTCCAGCTCCCGCTTCTCTTCTTTCAGCACCTCATGATTGCGAGCAGAGAGGCGAATGGGGATCTTGGACTCAAGTCAAACGACTTCTTTGAGCTTCCCCTGATGCTGGGCATAGCCAAAGTTCGTAAATGGAGGAGATAGGTGAGTCATCCTGTAACTTTCGATGCAGAGCTCAAGAAATCGCACGATCGCTGCTGTTTTCTATCTAGCGACGCATTTAACAGCTGAAGAGATCAAAGAGAAACACAGTCAGTCAGCACTGCCTCACTCCTGCAGGTGCATCTCCATCTCCGACAAGGTCTCAAGCACTCTCCTGTCTGTGTTTCCTCATTCTTATCGCGCTCCCCCTCTTGTGTTCAGGATGCGCTGCCAACCCTCGACCTGGACTTGCAGCCTTGTTGCAGGTGGAGCTGAGGATGTGGCAAGCTCGATCTCACTTGCACTCTTAGAGCTGCTCTGTATCTGTTTGCTCAATATTTGAGGACCCATCGAGGTACGGAAAGTTTTGCTCGTTGTTTACTGACTGCACCAAAGGAGCTCACGTGCGAAATGGGGGGGGCATAACGGATCTGAAGCAAGACGGAGAGGAGATGACAAGCTTTCCGAGCAAAGGAACATACCTCCGCGAAGCCGAAGGAAGAGGGCGAAGCATGCAGAAGAATCAATTTGCTGTTTTTAGCAACAAGAGTGAAGACCCGGGAGAAGCAGTAGTCGAGGAGGGCAGCCTGAGTGTCGCAGATGTCAGATCTCTTTCTCCGAGACATCTCGATGCAGTGAAGTACAGCAACTTGCAGGTGAACGAATCTAATGAGTTGTGAAACTCTTTACACCTAGACAACAGTACAAATACGGGTTTCAAGACGATTCCGAGATAGAAAAAGTTTTTCAAGAGAAGAAGGGAAAATGGCAACGAAGCCCTTACGACGATGACGATGACGATGACGATTATGCTTTCCTGCCTCGGCAATCATCGATGATGGCTCAAGAGTTCAAAGGTAATTTCAATCGTTCTGAGCTCGTGGAGGCCCTCTACTGGTGGTTGTCTGTCTATCAGGTAAGCTGCAAAATTTTCATCTAGTTGCCATTTCCATCTCATTAATCTGAGTCACTTTCTTGTCCTGGTCTCAGTTTGTTGGTGTTGATCATCAATAGTCTCTCACTACATTTCTGCAAGGATCCTGTCGTGATCGAACGAGCTCTAGTCCAGCTGAAGCTTCATTCGCTCGTCAGCCAAGGAGAGCAGCTCTCCACTGAGCAGATGGTAGCTGTGTTAGAGGTGAGATACTGAGCTCACTCGTCGACCAACGCTCTTGACATGTTTTTTCAGCGTCGACTTGCGATTCTAGACGGACAAAATTTCGATTCTTCGGACAGTACGGAGTCCTCCTCCTCCTCCTCCTCTTCGTCTTCTTCCTCCTCTTCTCACTCCTCGCGAGCCTCGAAGTATTGGTTGGCAAGGAGCATGCAGGTGTCTTGTGCTTCGTTCTACCCTGAGGATCTGATATGAATGTGCAGCGACAGAGAGAGCGCCAGTTGCTCACCGTGAGACAGATGCGACCTCTTCGTTCAACTCACTTTGATGCGACAGGAGATGCGCCTGAAACGAAGATTGAAAAACAAACAGAAAGAACTCGAGGTTGGTGGTTTTGATTGCTCAAGATTCCACGACAAAGTGACTTCCCTTAGCGTAAGGAACAGCAAAAAATCGACAAGAAGGAGAGAGATCGCCGCCGTCGACAGTAAACCTATTGATCTCATTCTCAATGCTCTAGTGGGCAAGAAAACGATTTCTCTTTGCTTCTGCTTTCAATCTCCACTTGTAAAGAAGGCTCAATCATCATAGGGAAATTCTATTTTTTCATCTTCTTTGTGTTAAGAGACACAATTGTTTGCAACGTAATGCGCTTATGATAACATGGAAACACCTTCAAAAACAGCATCGATACCTGGGTTCATCTTCCGGACCGAAATCAATGTCAAATGTGTTTGTTTCGCCTTCATGCTAATCCTATTACATCTTTCTTGTCTCGCTTTAAAGCGGCTAACACCCATCATCGGCAGCATTTTCTCCTCATAAAATTCTTTTGAGATTCTCACTTGAATCTAGTGTTGCTGCCAAAAGCGATGGGGCCTGGCCTGATAGTCGAAGCCTTCCCTTGCCCGATCTGATGTCAAGATCGCACACTGCAGCAGGTACCTACTTGTTTCTATTCAGAACTTGAGTCTCGGTAGCAGAGCGTTGAGCGATACAAGCAGGAGCATGTCAGCATACAGGCTCTCGTATATGCCCCTGTTCGTCAAGGTCGGCACCGAGTGATAGTATATGAGGGGTGGGGTAGTTTTGAGATGCAGTACCGGTGGTGGGGGGAGAGCGTTGCTGTTGTTGAGTACGTGATGCAGTTCAAGGCCATGAAGTAGAGGGTGATAACAATGCGAGAATGAACAATGAGGATGAGAATGAAAACATTGAAAACGAATCAGATTGCCTCAAACGTTGAAAATGACAATGTTACGAAGCGGGATTCTTGTATATAAGAGATCTCCACGGAAATGCCAACAGCGTTGTCTACAGCAGGATTCAAGTCAGCAACGAATTGGTGATTGAAGGTCATTGAGGGGTGCAGGACAATGTCCGAGATGCAATACTTAGCATCTCTCAAACGTGTGATGTCGGAAAGATCTAAGAAAGAGAAACAAATCCCTTCCGTTGCATATCAGGCCGCTGGGCGACCAGACAACATGGTGCTAGGCAGAGAGCAGGGAGTTAGGGTTTCTACTTCTTCACATTTGGCAGACCGTTACTATCCATACAGCAAGGATGCTGCTATGACTCGCAGCGGTGTAGAAGGAAAGCAGAGAAAGGCATCTTCGAGATACAACGACAGCCTGATGTTGGTAGTTCCGATTTTGAACAAGCGAGCACACAAGTTTCTGGGTCCGGTGAGATCCGGCTATGCTGAATGCAATGCGCTGTTTGAAGACAGTTTGCGGAACCAGAACATGTCTCATTGCGATGCAATCTTAAAGTGCACAGCAGCCTTGGTCGAAGAACTCTCATATGATTCCGACCATGTGGTAAGAAGCATTCAGCTCATGAATCAAGCTCGTTTCTACTTCGCGACGGGCGAACAAGTGGAGGTACTCTCTTTTTTGTTCTTGAAGAGTGAATGACTGTGCGTTAGTGGCAGATTGGAGAGCTGCTTCAACGATCCTGCGTGTTCGCCGATTGCAGCAATGACATGTTATGCAAAGCTTGCTCTTCCTGTAACCTCGCCTTCTTTCAAAGTCTGATCAACGACCATAAAGCTGCATATGAGCACTCCAACAAAGCCATGTCATGTGCGACGGATCCCTGCTGTCTGACTAGCGATGAGTTTGTAGACTCACAGGAGGTGAGGGGGAGAGCTGCGAGGCGTGACCTAACGCGAGCTGAAGGTGTGCTGGAGAGTAATGACAGCCGCGTCGCTGGTGCAGGGCAGAGCGTTGCTTTACTGGGGGGAGGACTTCATAGGGGTGTATGAACGGGCATGGAACTATGCAAGCAAGTTGTCAGACAAGTTTGAAGTCTTGAAGAGCAGAATGAGGGAAGAGTACCTGACTGCTCTCCGTGCTGAGTCAGCCAGAATCTCGTCGTTCAGAGCAAGGAAAAACCCTCTCCGGCAGATTTTCTCGCACCCTTTCGACGGCTTCTTGGTGAGAATGCACAAGGAAGAGAAGAGGGAAGTTTCTCTCCCCTTGCACAGCAAGTTGGTTCTCACCTTGGCCGTCGCCAACGCCAACATACTGCAAAACGCTCAAAGGTGCCACATTGCAAGGTCAAAACTGAGAAGTTTGAAAGGAATGAATCCAAATCTCGCCTTTGCAGCAAGCAAGTTGTAAGTTTGTTTCCTCTCCTCTTCATCGTTTCTTTGACTTTCTGTCAAGACAAAATGTTTTCAGGGCTCATTTGAGCAAGCACAAGTGTCAGAATGCTTTGCTCAAGCGTAGAAGCCGTTCTGCCCTTTTTCTTCAGAAACGAGTTACTGAAAAATTGTTTGAAATGACCTTGTCGAGACGGCTTGTGCTGCAGCAACGTAACAAGTTCGGTTTCGGCAACGGTTCGCGGTTACAGCCTGGGCGACTTGTGCCAAGAAGCCTCGAACAGATGCTGCTGAATCTTTGGGATCCGTCGGTAGAAATGCGACAGACAGAGCTTGCAAGTCTCTTCCTCATGAGCGGAATGTCTGCAAGAGACTTTCAAGAGTTTTGTGATCATGCAGCAACACCGACACTGAAAGACAAGCGAGCCAAGAGTAATGCCGTTGACCACGCCCTTGAGCTCTTCGCTCGTACCTTGACACTCCAAGATAGAAACGCTATAAGAGAGGCTCACGCGATATTCCGCCACTCTGATACCAACGGACAAGGTGAAAGCAGTTGTCCTCGGACCGTCTTGTCCCAAACTGACCTCCCATCAGGAAGCGTCTCGTTCTTGCAATGTCGACAGGTGCTGCAGACATTTGGCTACTCAGATGGTGAGATCGAGCGGGGGATAGATGATGTTGTCAGTTGGTATGGCATTGAGAGCTTCGAGATGGTCATGCACCCTCACTTCCTCGACCTGTATGTTTCTGTCTCTTCCAACCTGGTTCATGTCAGCTCCTCTCCAAGTGACGTGCCTTCCCCACCCCTGTACGCCCCCTCGTTCCTCCTACCCTCTGCTGCCTCTGCTGCCTTTACGTTGGGAAGTGCATGGAAGGCCACTCTAGCCAGGAGAAGGTAAGGTTGAAAGGCAGCCATGTTTGAGGTTGAAAGGTACACAGGTTATGCGAGCGAATGCAAAAGCATGTCACTCGTCTGGGGCTTGGAAAGGCGTTAAGAGACCTGCCTGCAATGGTGATCCTTAAGCAAGCACCTGTTCTCGTATCATGATGCGGTGTGAACAGAGAAATGACAAGTTCATGAGGGAGTCTTGTGCGTCCACCATCAGTCGGTCTGTTCGATCATTCCTAGCACGTGAGCAAAGGAAGGAGGCTGTTTCGTCTGCTAATGTTTGAGCAGGTAAAACTATCATGCGTCTTCGCCTTTCAAGACCGCACACGTTGCTTGTACGTCTGAAGTGGCACCAAGAAAGCGCTGCTAGCAGAATACAGAAATGGTGGATGAATCTGGGAGAGAAACAACTTTTTCTACGCAAGAGAAGAGAGAGTGAGGACAGGCAAAGATTGTGATGGTCGAGTGACTTTCGATCGCAGGATCAGCGATGCTTCTCTGCCATTTCTTCTCTTTTGTGGTGGCCAAGCAGAAGCTGCTTGACGCCAAGAGACATCATGCAGCCAGAGTTATCCAGCTCCTCGCCATTCGCGCCAGCTTCCTCCTGTCACGAACGATGGTGCGGCAAAAGTTTGCAGCTATTCGTCTTCAATCGGCGTACCGTCAGCACCTCTCGCGCAAGGACCTCACTCGCGTCGCAACAAGAAACAAGCAGGAGCGCAAACTCCGCGAGGTCGCAGAGGAGCATGCAGCTTGCCGTATCTCGTCAGCATGGCGATGCAGAAGAAGCCGGAAAGAGAAACGGGAGCTCGAGCAAGAAAATGCCGCTCGTTCACTTGCCAGGCAGTGGCAAATCCACAAGTCAAAGATGCAACTGCTGCAACTGCAGCGGGATCAGCGGATGAGCAGAGAAAATGGACGCGCGCGAGACTTGCAGGGCGCCTGGCGGTCGCACGTTGCGAGGAGAAGATTCGCGAAAGCACAAGAGCACAGACAGCTGATGCAGAGAGCCGCGGAGACGCTGCAAGCGAGGTTCCGATCAGCGCGTGCTCGCACAAGGCTGGTGCGAAGGTTGGAAGGCACAGAAGCAGCGACGAGGATCCAGCAGAACTTTCGCTGCCATGGGAGGAGGCGAATAGCCGCCAAGATGAAAGCAGCGATGGAGATGGTGTGGAGGTTTAGGATGCAACAAGCAAGACGACAGCTGATGAGCATGTATCTCGACGACCTCATCCTTCACCTCGCTGACTCTCTCCGCGTCCCTCAACAGTCAGTCTGCTTGCATTGCCTGATGACTCTCGCACATAGCAGAGGAGAAGATTGAGAGTGAGTTCGGCATTGTTGTACATATACATATCATGTTGTAGTATCTAAAAAGTACAGACGATTCAAGCATTGCGCCCCTAAGCACCATCGAACTGTGCCGGCTCTCGGCTCAAGCGGGACTCTACAAAGATCATGTACCTCTCAAGCTTTGTCAGCTTCTCCCCCATCCTCGCGAGTCTGAACTTGGCTGATTCCTCTGCTCGAGCGTCAGCCGACCTGAGTGACCTCCTCCGACCTCACCGAACACATTGATCACATGCGAACACTCCAGCAGCTTGTGCTGCACCGCGTTGTGAAAATTGTCCTCCTCCCACATCTTTCCCATGCTCATCTGTGATAGGTCACAAGGCGAAGTTTGCTACAGCCTGACGCTGACTCTCCCTCTTGTCCCTGTTTCATCATTTTCATGTCACCGCAATCGATGCACACACATGCACCCTCCTTCCTCCTTGCAGCACCTAAACCCTATTCTCCACGCCCCCCTCTCCTCTCTTCGCATCCAACCATCCTTTCCTCTTCCCTTGTCCTTCCCTCGCCCCCCGCCCTCCCCAACCATTTCGCACACCATTCCCCTTCACTCAGCCTGGCCCTCCGCCTCACTAGTGGAGGCGCAAACCACAGATGCGAATAGGATTCGGGCATGCGATGCCTACCAGCAAGGGTGGGGGGGGGGGGGTGGGGCAGGAGGCGAGGAGCTTGGGGAGAAGTATTGCTTGGGTCTATGTGTGCCCGCGATGGTGGCGGGAGGATAGGTGATTGAGAAGGAGAGGGAGGGCGGGATGAGAGAGAAAGCCAGGAAGAGAGGGAGAGGGTGAGGGAGAGGGAGAGGGTGAGGGTGACGGTGACGGTGAGGGTGAGGGTGAGGGATGGGTGTACATGGGGAGATGGATGAGTTTGAGCATATATCTACCGTATGGTGCCAAGTCTAATTGTTGGATCAGAGCTCTTCGTCATGCCGGCTCATCTCAAAGTTTTTGCTTTCCTGCTCCTTGTCTGCCATGCAGGCTGCTCAGCTCCTCTCCCGAACGAAGGGCTCAAGCAACGTGAGAGGACATGCTTGTGGGGAATGACGATGCTCATCTGCTTGCAGCCTCCATGGAGGAAATTTTCGACGAGAACAGAAATGCGAGGCCTGAGTTCAGCGAGATGATGGGGTCAACAGGACACCCTCTCAGGTTCCTCCCTGTCAACAGCTCGAGAGCCAGGCAAGCAGGACCGAGCCTTGCTCGTGTCTCACGTGCTCACCAGGTTCTATACCTGCCCCTACGCCTTCATTGCCGCGGGTCCAGGTTTGGGCATGGGCAAAGACCGACAGGCGCTGCGAGCGGCGAGAGTTTGTGGCTTGAAGATGAAGGAAAATCATGGGAAGGCCTCCGAGTCGACGCGTCCGACATCTCGACGAGCGATACTCGGGTGTGGCCTCGCGCTCTTGCTGGCAGGAGGAAGAGATGCTCTTGCTCTGCCTGACCAGACGTTGGTGAGGAGAGGAGAGGAGAGGAGGCAATGATTCCCCTGACGTCCTGCAAGCTGCAGGGGAGGCCGACTGAGTTGAGAGACAAGGAGTCATGCTTCATGTGGAATGGCGAGAAGAAGTAGCCTGAGCTTGAGATGACGCACCGAAATAACCTAGTACAGATGCACCTCATGCGTCAAGGCATGCGAAGAGTACAAGAAGACATTCAAGAACCTTGACTGCACCAAGTGAGGTTGTGTGATCGAGTCCAGACCGTAAGGCTGGCACAGGCAATGCACTGTTGAGTATGGTTCAGCCAAACCGACGGATGAGGTCTGGTCTGTTTTTTGTTTCTCCTCCAGCTCCTCATGCTCCCCTACTGCTTTCCTCACCTCTCATCTTGTCGCAGGAAAGCATCAGCTTCAATGACTTCGTCGACCGCGTCAACGCGGTTCGTCCACATATTTGTGCTCTAGCCCTCTCACCACGTGCAGGGCTCAATAACGCGAGTAGACTTCTATGGACCCAACGGGGACAAGGTAAGAAGAGCAGGTGACATCGTTTCCGCTCTAGCAAAACTAGCGTGACAGGCCTACGCTGTCCTCTCCTCCGGTCAGTCGATTCGGATCGGCGAAGGCTTTCCCATCGGTCAGCGACGTGCATGTTGTCGTTGCGAATGCTGAATGATGAGACAGAGGTGGGTAACGAACAAAGTTCGCCGCTGCAGGTGAGATGAGTCGATAAATTCCATCGTCTAAACTCTCGTCAGGTTGCGAGACTCCTCGCGCAGAAGCAGATCCCCTACAAGTTTCACTTCCTTGACAACTTCAAGTATGACCCGAGCGAGACACGGCTTTCCGCTGACCTGGCCTTAGGTACCAACGTCAAGGATCTTTCTAGGGAACGCAGATCAGAGCTGCTAACATAGCGAGTGCGATCTTGGAGTGAGTGAAGGAGAGCATTTGAGGAGAATTTATTGGCGCACTTGCATGCTCTCATGCGTTCATGTAAAACGCAAAAACGTCGACAGTCACCAGGACAGCGCAAAGACCCGCAGCCCATGCAGGCCCGTACATGTAGAAGACAAACCCCGTGACAAAAATCGTGACGATGGGGCCAGGGATGATCCAACTTGCCTGCAGCAACGTGAGCACAGGATTAGAACGCAGCTCGATGTTCTCACCCAATCCGATGTCTTCCAGTGAGACTTGTCCCATCCCACCACAAACGACGCGTCTGGGTCGATCTTAGCAGAGTCTTCATCCGCTTCAACATGCGCTATGTTGTCGATCATGTCGGTAACATTCTCCGTTGCCGTTCCGTTCTGACCCAGAGAGATGGGAAATCCCTCGCTGTCATGGAGTTTGAGCCCATGCCCAGCAGCTGAAACCTTGACGCAGATAATCATGACAAGAGCCACAGCAGAAATGACGGCAGTGGCCCTGCTTGACAACTTCCTTGTACGCCTTGCAAAGCTCTGAATCAACGGAGGGTTAGTAGACATCAGCGAAAATGCTCAAATGTAACCTCGATGTCTGTCGGTCTGACGAGGTTTTCTGTAGTGTCATAGTTGGTAGCAAACTCTCCTTTCGCCATCTTTGCAGGTTCGATGGGAGGATGTAACTAGATTCTGCAAACTACTCCAGGGAGCCGAGGGCTGGTCAACCAATGGGATATCACTGCTGGAGAAGGGAAGGAGATGGGGGGTAGGGAGCAGGCAGGGTCAGAATCGTTCGGATCAGGACTCCTGCTGCAGGCAAGGGGAGGAAGAGGCAGGAGTGGTTCTAAAAGGGATTCTACATACGCGTATGGTAATTAATTTTGAAACTTTGTAGTCAACTAAAAACACTCAATAATCAAATTATGAAAGAAAATTTCAATATTCAATAAATTTAGCAGTCGTCTGCTCGTAAGCTCTAATTGAAAGATTCCCGAAAATAGAACATGGCAGCGACAGAAGTTTCAAACATTGCTGAACGTAGAACGTCGTCGAGAAGCAGTTGTCAAGACAACTGGTCATGACATGAACGTCATGATAGCACAGATACTTTGTCCTGTATAAATACCTTGTCTATCACAAACATATCAGAGCAAAGCTGATATACCAACTTTTGCAAAGATTTTTGCAAAGATGCGCGATGGATGTGACATCAACATTCAGCGTGAGATACAAGAATCAATGCCTGCTTTCTCTCAGCTACTTTGAACCACACGCTTCCAGTTTTCTCAACGATGGGCTGAGATCGAGTCCAAAAAGTGAGACCAGGAATGAGAGAATTGAGAAGAAACGTCCTGTAGCTGTGAGGGACAGTCGTAGGTACCATCCATGTCGGGTTGCTGGTGTTCAGCTTGATTGCATGGATTCCGATATGAAATGTATTTTACCTCTGGTAAGAGGATATTAGCCATGAAAACAGACTTCAACAATAGTTCGTTTTTCCCTTCATATACACATCCATGTCTACTTTCTGTTATTAAAATTTTTCCCGTGCCAATGTTACTCTACATTCTGCCTCGTCTCTTTCGAACTTCGAGGTATCAGACGAGTAGATACTCCTGTTTCAGTGGAGCGAAATCATCTCTTCATGAGCAACGAAGTTCCAACCCTTGCTTCTCAGTCTAACAAGCCTTTCGTTGAGAACCTCACGCGCAATGCAATCACCTTGGAAACTATTTCAGGATTTCCTCCCGATTTCATTTTTACACTGTCCACGGAGCTGAACTCATTTCATCTCCTTATGCTGATCTCTGATGAGCCAGAAGAGAGGTTTGGTCATCGAACTTCCTTACTTGTTTCCTTCACATCTCAATTCCCATGTGTGTTTCCCTCGCATACCAACATCGAGCTGTGAGTTCTTCAAAGATCAAGTCGTGGCATCTTATAGCCTTCATCTCCTTGATCGCATGTGGTACACGTCCTCCTCCTGCTCACCTGCTCCTCCTGCTTGCGATGTTCCGTTATTTGATGATGTAACGAATATACCACATCCCCCCGCAGATCCCAGTCAATGGCAAGGGGGCACATGCTGGTCGACAGCAGGCAGGAGAGGGCGGAGGAGGAGAGGAGGAAGATGCGGTGAGGCAAGACGAGGACGAGAACACGAAGTGCTGAGTGACTTTGAATGTCTCTGATGATGATCATGAGCCGCCTCTCCATGCATGCCGCCAGCACATGTCAAACCCAACGGTGCTGATGCCGGCCGGGCGCTGAGACTGGAATATGATCGTCTTGTTATAACACAACCAAAACACACAACATGGCGGAATCAGATGTCAACCCCAAGAGGGGCCAGCGCCAGGCGACCACCACCAAGGCAAGTGGGAAGAGAGGAGCCGCTGGTGAGACTGACTGACGTGCAGGTCATCATGACGGCCACGCCGAAGCATGTGCTGGGAGGAGAGACAGGTGAGACAAGCTCCATCCGTCCTTTACGTGCTCGCACTGATGACGGGGATACTTCTCAGTGACGGTCACATGGGGGGTCACCGAAGGCAACGCAGGTAACTTGAGGGGAGCTTGCTAGATCACCTGACTGCCATCAGATGTGCTGGACTGGATTGGACTCTTCCGTGAAGAGGACGACGACAGTCATCCTATCAAGAGCTGTTACGTCAAAGGAAACCGGCGAGGTGAGTACCCTCACCCCCCCTGCTGCTGCGCGCAAGTTGTTGAAGCACTGGGGTCATCACAGGAGGGGAGTGGAGTGTGGCAGCGCCCAAGGAATGTGGGAGATACGTCTTTCGATTCATCAAGGCAAGAGACGCATGTTATGCTCCTCCTTCTCTGATGTTCTCTCACCTCACAGTCTCTCTTTCCCTACGATGCCATCAACAAGAATTATTTGGTCCTGCAACGAAGCAACGCCTGGGAGGTCCTCCAGGCATCGTCACGAGACAGTGTAGCAGCGAGCGGCGATCTGCACTCGTCGTCAGACTCAGTGCTTCCTTCCTCTTCCCACTCCCCGAGCTCCCTCAACCCCGACGGACTCGTCAGCCCGTCAGCCTGGATGACCTTCAGTCCTCGGCATGCGATAGGAAGCGGCCATCACCGCGCTGCTGTTGCTGCTTGGCTCCGGAAGCACCTTGCCGGAGACGCAGGCGAAGTGAGCTCAGTCTCGCTAGAGGATGCTGTTGCTCTCTCCTACTCCTGTGAAGACTGGCTGCAAGCAAGGGACCTCAGTCATCGACTGGCTGCTGCGGCGGACCAGCCCGGGTACAGCAGGAGACTGGTATGAGTTGGAGAGATGTGGTGCAACAGTGACGTTGACGTCAGGTGGTGGAGGCTGGTGGCGTCGGGGCTCTGCTGCATCTGATGAAGCGATGGGATGCGAGCACGCAGCTGCTGTGCTTGAAGGCTCTCTTGCGGCTCATGACGTTTGTTCCTCCTCTCTTCGGAGGTATGCATGACCTCAGCAAACGCATGCTCTCCTTCGGCGCAGACTGGCCGCACGGAGATCGTCTGTCCCCAGCCTGCATGGCTGAAGCCGGCTTCTACTCGCTTCCTCTTGAGGCGGGCTCTGATCGCGTCGTCTGCTTCTCCTGCTCCCTCGTCTTGGAGTCGTGGGAGCACGACGAGCCGCCCGAGCAGCTCCATCACACGCACTCGCCGCTGTGCCCCTTCCTCTCCTGGCCCAACAAAGTCAGTGGAGACGCGCAGAGGACGAGACATCACCTGAACCACTCCAAGTCCATGAACGACCTGTCCCCAGAGCATCGTGAGGACCACCACATGGCAGGGTTGTTCCCGTCCTCTCCGGCAGACTCCGACGAAGCAGGCGGTGTAGGAGTGCTGGAGATGAAGTCAAAGAGCTCGGCGATGGAGGTGCTGCGAGCGTCAGTGGCGTCGGTGTCGAGGATGATCCTGGAGTCAGCGGAAGCGGAGGAGGCGCTCTCTGCCGTTGCATCCTCCAGCGACCGGGGCGTCTTGCGATCGTTTCTGCTCTTCATGGCGGATCTCGCTTGCGTCACTGGCCGCCATCCTCACTTTGCGGCTCTCTGCCTGCCCAAGATTCTCATCGGGATGCAGTCCAAGGACGAAGAATGCCTCCTGCACATCTGCGAAGCTCTCCGACAGCTCGTCCTGCAGCCGCCGTGCCGGTGAAGATCGCGTGACTTGAACATGAAACGTCTGTGACTCTTTCACTCGCAGGAAGCTTTTGCGCACAGAAGAGGGGATGGAGGCGATCAACTTGCTCATCAACTTCTTGCCCAAGTGGTCGGCGAGGAGCAGAGAGCAGGGGCGTCAGGGCGTGGGAGTATGGCAGACGCTGTTGCAGCATGCGCTCGTGGTGCTAGAGTTCACGTTGCGCTCAGCAGTGGAGGAGGGAGGAGTGTGCGATGCAGAGTCCTCCATCTTCTGCGTGCTGAGGGATGCACTACCGGAGCAGATCGAAGTTCAGCGAGCTGCGCTGGGATGTCTCATCACGTTGGCAGAGTACGGGTTAGCCCCTGCCCCATACATGGAGAACCACAAGGACCTTGAGAAGCTCGTCACCATGAGCGTGCGAGGAGGCGACCTGAACATCCGCACGAGAGCAGCTTGCGTGCTCGCAGCTCAGTGCTCGAGGAGGCCACAGGCGTACCTGGAGATCGCGGAGATCGGGTTGCATGACAACGATGGAGACGGGATGGAAGGGATCGCTGCTGTGCTCTGGCTTGCGCGAGACACGAGAAGTCAAGGAGCCAACGGAGCTGACGTGGTCTCGCAGAGGTTCGTCGCTCACTGCATCGAGCGCATGGCCTTTGCTGCCAAGTTGGACGAGAACCTGCTGGTCTCTCTGCTCAAGCTTGGCGTCGACGAGCAGCTCGCAAGAGAAGCGTACTACTACGGCGGGAGGACGTTGGAATGTGCCTTGTCATGGCTTGCCGGAGCTCGCACCTCAGTAGACACGCTTCCTTCTAAAGATATCTCGATCGACTTCCCCAAGCTCTTCTTGAGCCGTGGAGGACTAGAGTGTAAGCGACATGCATCTTTCCTCTTTCCTCTTCTCTTTCCTCTCCTCATTTCTCCCCACTTGTTCGATTCTCCTCGTGCTCGTCTGATGTCACGGCAGGCATCGCCGAGATGATGCAGGAGGAGGACGGAGAGATTCAAAACTTACTATGGCGAGCACTCTACTTCCTTACCCTCGATGTCTCCAGCTGTTTCAATATCCTGCGATCGAAGGTTCATATTATCCCTCGTCCTCGTCCTCGTCCTCGTCCTCGTCCTCGTCCTTCTCTCCTCCTTGGAGTGGTGGTGATAGGGCGCACTCCACCTGCCCTTGCCTTACCCTGACCTGACCCACGCTGATCGCTTATTTGTTAGATTGGGTACGAGTGGATCCTACCGCACGTTGCAGGTTGGGAAGCAGCAGCCTGCTCCGAGAACTTTCTGCGTGTGCTGGGGAACTTGTGCGTGGACGCGGAGACGTGCTCGTCTCTGACCTCCCACGGGCTCGTTAGCATGTACTCGTCGGTAGTGGCATGCTTGTCCTCCCGCGATGCTTCCAGAGCCAACGCCTGCGCCAAGGGCCTCTACCATGTGGTGCTGCACGCTCAGTTCCACACCGGGGAGCAGCTGGACGCCTGGTGGCCAGCAGACTCTGATCACGGGGGTGCGGCAGCGCTGCTGAAGCTGTGCTCGTTCCACAAGGATGCCTCTACTCAGCGGTGGACAGCGATGGCTCTCTACAGCCTCACGCAGAAAGCGACGGAGCTGGGCTGGAACGCGCTGATGGAGTACATCATCGCTCAGAAGGGGGTGCAGAGTCTCCTCCTCCTCGTCTACAGTGAGAACGCGGAAGTCTCGAGTTACGCCATGAGCACCATCGCCGTCCTTTCAAAGGCAGACGCCCCTGTGTTCCCCGGGCCGGGAGAGAACCCGTCGCATGCTCCAGCCAAGCGCGCGCTCTTCATGGCAGGAGTGATGTGGTGCGTGCACAAGCTGTGGCGAGATGGGAACCTGGACATGCAGCTAGCGGTGGCAGTGATTGTCTGCAACTTGGGCACCAACAACGAGAACCTGGCGGACATGATGAGCGGGAGCGACGAGCTGCTTGAGATTCTCTTCTTCTTCATCGCCCTCTGCAACGACCCCGCCCGGGTCGAGGAGGCTTCGGTAGCCCGCAAGGACGGCAACCTCCTCTCCAGCATCTCCAAGGCGCAGGCGGCCAGGGAGATGAAACTGAGCTGCGTCTTCCTGCTCGGCAAGATCCTCGCGCTCGAAGTGTTTCACGCTCGTTTCCTCAGCCTCGGTGGCCTCGGGGTCTGGACGGAGCTGGCGAAGAGAGAGGCCGAGCCCGCCATGGCGATCCTGATCGCCCAGGGGTTCGAGGCCCTCGCGCGAGATGCCAACATAACGCGTATCCTCAACGACAACTCGATCAAGCAGGTGGTGAAGGACCTGCTGCGAAGACACGACGACAACGACATCGACGCTGCTGTGGAACGAGTGCTGGTGCTGCTCTCAGAGAGCAGAGAGCATCGAGGCGAGCATGCTGAGGGTGAGGAACGGGATCACCCCGAGCATGCAGCCCATCATGCCCATCCTGCAGGATGGAGGATAACGTGCTTCCGACGCTCTACAAATGAGGAGGAGGAGGAGGAGGAAACTTGGAAATTTCGCATGGAGGAGGCGTTTAACTTTGACGAGCTGCTCACGCGGATCCGTCAGAAGTTCGGGAGCAGCCTGCTGCTTACCTATCAGGACGAGGACGAAGACTGGAAGGTGCTATCCTGCAGCCGAGAGCTGCACCAGGCCTTGTCGCTGGCGAAGAGGAGGGGAAGGAAGGAGCTCAAGATCACCGTCGTGACTCCTCCCAAGATGCAGAGCGACGGCGAGACAGCGAGAGGAGAGGACAAGGAGGTAAATCAGGAGGTTAACCCCTGGCTCTCGGCCTCCGCAGAGAGGTCGGATGCAGCTGGAGGGCCGCGAGTGACGCCCAGCAAGTCCGTGACGATCAGCAAGCTCTGTGACAGCAGCCCCAACTTCAGCGGCTCCGGCAAGAAGCTGCTGCGATGGCGACTCGGTCGCCTGATTGGGGAAGGAGCGTACGCGCAGGTGTACCAGGGGATTAACGCGGACTCGGGGGAGCTGATGGCGGTGAAGCAAATCTTCTTCTCTGAGGTGAGCTTCCAAGACAACAAGAAGAAGCGCACGGAGGCCATCAGGGCCCTGCAGCGGGAGATCGACGTGATGAAGATGCTGCAGCACGACAACATCGTCAAGTACCTGGGGACCGAGACCGACGAGGGTCGGCTCAACATCTTCCTCGAGTACGTCTCGGGTGGGAGCATCGCCTCCCTCATCGCCAACTTCGGAGCGCTGGACGAGCCTGTGGTGAGGAAGTACACGAGGCAGATCCTCATCGGCCTCGAGTTCCTCCACAGCAAGGGAGTCGTGCATTGCGACATCAAGGGAGGCAATATCCTTGTCACGGAGGACGGCATTATTAAGTGCGTATTTCTGCCCTCCTGCTCATCTTCTCCTCCTTGCCTCTCGTGTCCTCCATTCCTCTTCTCCTCCCTTCTCTTCCTCTCTCCTCCATGTTCTCCTCCGTTCCCCCCACTGCGTTCCTCTTCTACTCCTCTTCCTCCTCGCTTCCTCCGGCCATCACTATCTACCTCCTCGTTACACCTCCTCCTTTCACTCGACCTCACTCCGCTCCCTTCTCTCTTCTGACCTCTCATCGCAGGCTCGCCGACTTCAACTCCTCCAAGTACCTTGACAGCATCACAGGAGGCGGCTCGAACCCTCTCAAGAGCCTCCTCGGGACCCCGCAGTTCATGGCGCCCGAGGTGATTCGGCAGACGGGGCACGGCAAGAAGGCGGACATCTGGTCAGTAGGCTGCACGGTGATCCAGATGCTGACTGGGGCGCCGCCATGGGACGAGATATCCAATAAGGTCACGCTCATGTTCCACATCGCCACTGCTCCCAACGGACCTCCCCTGCCCGATGATCTGCAGGAGGACGCGCGGGACTTTCTGGGCAAGACGTTCAAGCTCGATGCTCGTGAACGCCCTCACTGCGCCGAGCTCCTCAAGTCTAGGTTTGTCACCCTCCTCGAGGCTGCCGGCGACCCTCCGACCAGCGTCGGCGCAGCACAGCCGCAGCACCACGAGATCGCCCAAGACGAAGACTCGCGGCGGCCGCCGCTGCTGTGAACTTGACAGTGACTTCACAGTGAGCAGCTGGATTGCCGCAACCGTCTTGATGCCTTCAAAACGTGGAGCGGTGGTTTCTTCTTAGTAGCTTCAAGTTGGCGGCAGTACTATCGGTGGCCGCACCGTCTGCAGTGAGTTGACCGTCACGGCCGCGCCCCCCGATCGGACTCGACTCAAACGTGACGTGACTTTCTAGTGAGTGAGTGAAATTCGAGACTGACTCGGGCCGTGTCCGATCAGAGTCTTTCACAGATTTAAAAGTTTGATTAAAGTGTTTGTAACTTCACGGGTGGGCCCTAAAGGTGGGGGCGCCCGCTCAGCGGCTCGGTGACCGGGTCCTATCCGGCGTCCCGGGAGTCCGCTGCCGCTGCCACAGACGGTGAGGCTCGGAAGCCGGCCCGCCCTCTAGACTGAGAATCTTCCGAGCCGGTCCCCCGGGCCGGACCGTACGGCGGACAGTTGTTCCGGCGCCTCTCGTCGGCCAGTGTCACCGTCACGGTGACAGCCCCGGCCCGGCGCCGCTTCAAGCAGTGGACAGGCGTGGGTCGGATGGTCACTCACGTGCATGGCATAACGTTTTCATAACGGCATGATGAGGCCCTTCTTGCGACCCATCCCAGATGAAAGCAGGTAAATGGGAATAGGGTAGGTAGTATCGCTTGATACCCCTCATATTGTAGTGTTATGAAGGGGTATTCAGTTGACGTGTATTGATACAGTTAGGTAGGTGGGTAGCCTTGCAACCCATCCATGACAACCTGCTGACATAAAGAGAAGCTTTTATGGTTAAACACGCAACGTATCGAAGCTGAGTTAAAACATTGTATACTGACCCACCCGAATCGTACCAGATTGAACAGCTGGTTACATCCGTTTCCGGATTGCTCCGTAAAGGCCGTGGGTGTTAGCCGTGTCCTAGGATACCGAAATTAGTAGGTATGGGTCCTAGGAATACCACATTGGGGGGGACCAGTAGGTGGAATAAGTGAGACAAGTCTGCCTCACTGATGAGAAATAGGAGGAAAGAGGGCAGAGTTTGAGTCATATAGACTTTGACTTCATGTCTGGTGTCAGATGATAGTCCGATCAGCAGGAGATCGAAAGGAGATCCGGAGGGGCAGCGTGACCCTCCAATTCTCCTCAAGTTTCACCTGGGGCTTCCGTGTTGGCAAGTTGTTACCCTACCATAAATTTCATATAGCCTGATTTCAAGGGCCCGATACCTATGGCCCTGTCTTCCCACCCTTGCTTTTGGCTATAATACATTTTTAAAAGAATCTGTTGATCGCGTGATTCTCCTCCTCTGATCCCGTGACACAGTTTACAATCCATTCACTACCCCACCTCCTGGCATCCTCGACCACCCAGACAATTATCTTGCCTTTCTGACCTACAATCCTTGAGGATAGATGTGATCGATTATTACATAATATACTTCCCAGTAAATGAGTAGTGATGGCAAGCACGATTGACATGACCCAGATTGCAGTACCCCTACTAACAAACGCTTCACCACCCTCCCATTGTTTGTTTACTACACGGCCAGTCATTCCTTGCACACGGAATGAGCATGCTGTTCGTACCACCCCTCAACCCTGCACCCCATTTCAATAATATCCACCCGTACTGTGCCCTTCTTTTCAAGGCCGGTTGCGTCTTGGAGTCGGGCATGGCTGAGAGACTCTTTACCGAGGTGTGGGAACCACTGTTATGGCGGTCTCCTGAAGGTTCTGGATACATCGCAACCAAACCAGGTGTCACTACCCCCCTCTGATCACCCCCTACCCCTTGTTTGAAGAAACTTTCAGCCCGGAATCTTAGGTATCTATCCAAACGCCGGGTCAAGAGAACGATGGGGTCCGTGAACAGGTTCGAATTTCTCTCGCAAAGTACCGGTGGATATCATAAGAAAAGGAGGGGGTCCTTGTGTCCCCCATCAGTGGGTCACATGGGCAGTATAAATAACTAGCATGGCAGCAGCACGTAACCTACTTTTTGAGGGTGGGGGTTAAAGGAGTACCCATCTAAATTAGTAAACATACCGGGTCATTACCCAGTCTTTCTGTCATTCTCAACGAGAAGAGGAGGGGGGTGGTGCTCTGGAATGCTAGTGCCATGCCGAGACCGTGACTGGCAAGAACTGGTCACGATGCCACTCCTCCTGTCCCCTACTTCTTCCTCCCCGTATCCGCTTCTCCTTCGCTGTTCTCCCTCCCATCACCCCGCGTTGCTGTGACCACCCTCTGTTGCTCTCTGAACCTTGACCTTGCTACTATCTCGCTCAGTGTACATCTGCATTTTGATATAGTTTGTCGATAGAACCCTTGCACAGCTAGCTCCTCTAGGAAAGTTCGAATCTTGTGCATAAGTGTTCCGTCGTCGTCTTCCCCCCTAAGCACGAACTCACGTCGTCGAAGTTGTATCCCATGGTGGAATCTGTCGATCTCTGGTTGGAGAATCATCTTGCCTTCGGCGATGGTGAGGTGGCCATTTGTTTGATTCAATGCTTCTGATCCGCGCTTGGCAGATTCGTTTGGTCTTTTCGACGCAGTATCTGATGACAACAATGCAACACGAATGCCGAACGCGAAGCAGTTCGATGATATCTTCAACATGCCCATTGGTCAGAACAAGAACGGCGATGAGGATTTGTTTCCTGAATCTCTCACCTTCGACGAGGAAGGCAAAGAACTCCTCGAGGTAGAGTACCAAGCCACTCCTTTGTTTTCTGAGTGGACTAATAGGTTCGTCGCTTTCGGCAGATTCCTTTAGATCTCGAGAGCTGGGGTTCTTCAAGCGGCTCGTCTGTCAACACAACTCTTGCGCAACTTCCTCGAAACATTGAGGAGGAGCAAATGAAGCTTTTGAACCAGAGCAGTGTCGCAGCCGCAATGTCGTCAACAAGGGCCCCCCGTCCAGAAGAATTCATGGAATTTCGAACCCCAAGCCTGATGCCCAAAGAATTTATGCGAGCTTACCCTTGCATGCCTCCTAAAATGGAAGAGAAGGTCTTCCAGAGCACTATGGCGCAGCAGCAGCCAACATATGGATTCGTCAAACACGAGCCCGTCCTTCAGCAGCAGTGTGACTTTGGAACTCAGAGCAAAAACTTTTTTGCGATGCAGAGTGCCCTCAGTGCGCCTCAGTTCTCATCGCCATGGACGGCCCCCTCGGTTGATCGTCACGTGGTCGATTACCAAGTTTATCCGTCGAACCGTCGGTCTGGGAGGCAGGTTGAAGAGTTTCTGTTCCCGAGTCAGCAGGGCGGAAATCTCGATGTCGGAAGTAAGAGAGGGTTGTTGAACAGCTCACCGATGAAAGAGGATTCCTCCAAGAGAGCCAAGACTGTCAAGGAAGATTCCAGCCCCGTCAAGTCTGTGAACAAAGCGTTGGATGGAAGTGACAACAAAGATAACAATGCGAGTTCTCAGCAGATTTTGCTCCCAGTATGCAAATTCTTGAGCAAGCAGACCGGTGCGGCTTGCCGTGGAAAGCTTAACGTGGTGTCGCACAAGCGAGGACATCTTGCTTGTGCTTGCTCTTCGAGGCATCAGTGGGTCTGGTGCCCTCTTTGCTGCAACTGCCGTGATGGCGAGACTGGGGACAAGAATGTGAGAGGATGCACTATCCCGACACACTGGTTTGAGAGAGATGCTTTCGACACGGGGAACAGGAACCACATGAATGTACATAAGTCGAAATAGATGTGATTAGTGTAAAATACGAGCTCAAAGGTTGAAGATTAACGCTTAGTTTGCAATTCATTACTTGCAAATAAACATCAAGTTCTCCAAGACTATCAGAACTCTAATCTTTCGACTCCATGCCCGCGAATACTTGGTTGAGCTGATTGTGTTCAGATCATATCAGATATTCTGATCTCTCACTCGCAGAGTTACCTGTTGGGTAACGCGAATAAAAGTTGTTCTCTTCGACATCTCCTTGAGATACGCGGCTCCCACCTGCACAACCAAGCTATCATCTCTGTGGGATATTCGGACTCCACCATTGCATCAAGCTCATCGTTCTCTCCCAAGCTCATCGTTCTCTCCTCCCTCGCTCCCTCGCCTTCCTCACATAGGTACACGCCGAGCGCAGACCCCCGAGGAGGTCGAGGATGGTCTTTTCCACAGGGCCCCTGTAATCAACCTGCTCCTACCGTAAGAAGAGGAAGGGAAAGGTGCTCCTGACTGACCTCCACCGTCTTTCCTTCCGAGCTCCTGTACTCCGCGACTCCTCCTGCGTACTTCTTCATGGCGGTATCAGAAGACATGCCTGAAGACTCATGGATCAGGAGGAGCGCACAGGAGATCAAGGTTAGGAGGACCGTAGAACAATTTGCGCTTCTTTCCGTTCTTCTCGATCAGCTCCCCAGCACACTCGTCGTGCCCTGCAAGCATTCCGCCGAGCATCACAAAATCTGCTCCTCCTCCGAAAGCCTTGGCAACATCGCTGCGAATTGTGTCATCCTCTTCTTCTTCCTATATATTCTCACCAGGGCAGACACACCCTCCGTCGGAGATGATGTGGCCACCAAGACCATGCGCGGCATCGGCACACTCGATCACTTGGGGAAGAACCGGAAACAAGTCAACAGATGCCATCGCGCTCCTTCTCCTTTTCCTTCTCCTTCTCTTTCTCTTTCTCCTTCTCGTTGTCCATCTCCATCTCCTTGTCCTTCTCCTGCCTTCTCTGCTTCTTTTCTCTTTCAATGCCATGGCCATTTTTCCACGCCCCTCCTCTTTCCCCTCCATCTTTGTTGAGTACCAGCTGAGAGCTGGGGATATCCAACGCCAGTCTGCTTGCGGGTAGTGCAGACAGAGCCGGGACCGATGCCAACCTGAAATAAGTTGAGACAGCAGAAGATAAGGGAAAGTGAGGAAGAGCAGACGAAGGAAAAGAAGTCAGAGACTCAGGTAAGGCAACGAGGAGAGGACAGAGGAGGAAGGACGAGAGGCAATTGAGCATGCTTTGTACCTTGACGATGTCAGCACCACTGAGAATGAGCTCTTCTGTCATCTCCCCGGTGACGACATTCCCTGTCAGTCCTCAGCTACGAGTCTTCTTGAGCTGCACGAACCGGCGAGGATGATGTGGTTGGGAAACTGTTGCCGAACCTTACGGACATACCTGCCATCCTGTCAGGAGACGAGGCCGAGGGGGTCAAGGAGTTCAACACGTACTCGACAAACATCTCAGAGTATCCGTTTGCGACGTCAAGGCAGATCATGCGGATGGGGGTGGCGGCGAGCTGCAAAAGCAGTCACGTGTCAAGGGGGAATACAGTGTAGAGGGAAGGTGGGAGAGAAATACCACAGCACAGAGCCGCTCATAGTCGCTGTCGCTTGCCCCGCTGCTTGCCGCAACGAAGTTCATGCACTCGGGGTTGTTCTTGGCAAACTCTACCCACTGAGAGAAAAACGATCAGAACTGGCATGCTCATAGAGTCGTGCCTGCCTCCTCCACTGAGAAATGCTTGCTCATGGCCACGATGGTCCTGTGCTTTGCCATGACCTGCAATGTCATCAACATCCCGCCCTCCTCCTCCTCCTCCTCCTCCTCCCGTCACCTTCGCCATCTCAAAGGTTCCAGTCGTGTCCATGTTGGCGGCAATGATAGGAACTCCTTCCCATGTCTGCTTGCTGCGACGAGACACGTCTCAAGGTCGAACAGAGATTCAAGAGAAGGTTGTAGAGGAGGGAGAGAGGAGGGGGGAGAAAGAGGGGCAGGAGAGTACCTGTTTCTGAACGTGTACTTGCGATCAAGCGAGACCTCAGACCTGGAGCGAAGGGTCGAGCGCTTCGGGCGGATGAGCACATCCTGACAAGAGCGAAGAAAAAAAAAATCAAGAGGGTTCAACAAGCGCTCGACAGAAAGACATTCCAAGGTGCACGAAATGAACTAGAACCCTAAGTCTTGCATCTTCAGTAGGAGGTAGCGAAAAGAATCATGCATTGCTCAACGGATTCGGCTTTCCGCCGCTCCAAAAAAATGGTAAAGGAAGTACATGGGGAAATAGGATAGCTGCTCGCTAGGAAGGGAGCATGAAGCAAACAAACCGAGCAAGAGGTTGATGTGCATGATGAATTAGAAATAGCCCACCTTGAAGTCAAGCTTCAGCTCGTTCTCGATGTGCATGGCTTGTCAAAGTTACGAAACCTGAGGCAGGCATTTCATCACTTTCACACCCAGTCAAGGCGCAAAGATCTTGAAAAAGCACTAAGAGCGATGCAGATAAGGAGAGTTAAGTGTTTTTCTCTTCTAAAAGTCGTCCTCTCCTCTTTCCTGACTCTCCGCTTCCTCCTGCCTCCTCCTCCACACTCTCCCTGCTCTGCATCGGTAGTTCATATAAGCGACGCGTCAGGTCCGAAACTATTACTCAACTCAAGTCGGAATGTCGCGCTATTTTCGTATTGTGGACATTATTTCAATCTATTGCGCGACATTAGAAACCTGTCCCCGGAGCCCGGGGTTCCGGCAGGCCTGATGACTCATGAAGGAATCGAACCCGGACATAGAAGTATCCTACAGGATACATCTGACGCATAAGCAGTCGTCTCGTGCTCACTGTAGACCTACCTCCCCACATCCATTAGAGACCCCTAGGTGAAGGACATGACACCCTCTCTTCAATTACTACCCCTCTTGTAAAGGCAAATTCTCTGAATTCAGCAGGGTATATTGAGTACCCCCTGGGGACTGTAAATCAGCACACCCGTGGTTGAGTACCCCACCACCACCTCAAGGTTCATCCTACCGCCGCGTCATGGAGGGAGCGGTGCTAGCGGCGGTGGGGCAAGGAGATGTTGAGAGCCTTAGCTTCGCCAATGCTCAAGGGTTCGACCACCAAGCTCTCATTGGTGTTCTCAAGTCCCTCTTGGCCGACGGCTATGTCCAGGCAAGCACTCCATGCTCGCAAACAGCTGTTGAATGCTCGCAAGTCTCGTTAAGTTTTTGAATGGTGACGCTCGTTATGTTTCTGCTGCTTTTGTGGACTTAGTCTATGTCTTTGCCCTCACTCATGACTGTCTGTTTGAGGCTGTTGCCATTTTGTATGAACTCAATGAGCACGGGTTGATGTTTTCAAGGTGAACAATCACTGAAACTCAATGATTACAACATTTCATTACTGACTGTGCTCGTGTATTTGCTTGTCCATCATGTGGTGGTGGTCATCCCCTGACTCTCAAAGACAGATGGAAGCAGTGGATCACGAGGGCTGGAAGCTGACTGAGGAGGGAGAAGCATGCGTCAGCAAAGGCTCTCCTGAAGCACAAGTCTTCGCTCTGGTAATGCTCGCCTATTTTAGACATTTCACTTGATCTGCGGGATGATTCATAATGGTGAACAATCACTGAAAATTCATGACGAAAGTTTTTTGCATTGATTGCACTTGACCGCACCAAACTCTCTCAAATCACATTCTTGGGCAAGCGTGTTGGCATACCTCACGTTCCTGACAGGTGAAACAAGAAGGGTCGGACAAGGATGAGATCGAAAAGCTTGCTGGAGCCTTAGCAAAGGTCGGCTTGTCCCAGTGCATGCAATCAAAGTGGCTGCGTGTGGACAAGGCTCAGGTCTGAGCGATTACGCTCGTAGACGTTGCTCGTAGACGTTGCGCTTACATTTGTACAGGGTGGCAAGATTTTCAAGGAAACAGATAAGATTGAAGATTTGGTGCAGAAGCAGCTCAGCGACGTCAAGAAGTAAGGACTTTCCCGTGGAATTTCAGTTGGATTCTCATTCGTTGCCAGTGGTGTCTTCCCTCCAAAGGCTGACCTGGACAAACTAAAGAAGAGAAAGGTACATACCAAGTACATCGTTCTTCGGACTAAGTGGGTTGCTCTCAGTTGATTACTGCTGCAAACTACAAGACGTACAACATCAAGAAGGGCCCTGACTATGCTCCCGTGCGAACAAAAGCAGCTGCTGACATCACAGCTGAGATGATCGCCGACGGAAGGTAGTTTCTTATTTGTGCTTGTGTCGCGTTGTTGATGAGTTGATTGCAGCTGGAAGACTCAGAAGTTTAAGCCGTATAATTTTGATGCTTTGGGCCAAGATGCATGTGCTGGACGTTTGCACCCGCTGCTCAAGGTGAAATTTCATGTTCCATCCTCTCAACTCCTGACCCGCTTCAGGTTCGTGCGCAATTCCGTGAGATCTTCTTGGAAATGGGGTTTGAAGAAATGCCGACGAATCGGTGACAGCAAATCGACATCACCATCAAATCTGAAGTGATACCAGCTTTGTCGAGACATCCTTCTGGAACTTCGATGCTCTCTTTCAGCCGCAGGCCCATCCAGCTCGCGACATGCAGGTTCGACATCGGCACAAATATTCAGGGACACTTGTGAGTGAGATGACTTGCAGGACACTTTCTTCATCAAGGACCCATCTACTACTCTCCGCATTCCTCAGGTCAGATGAGAATCGGCCCAGCACGTGTGCTCAAGCCGTGAACAGGAGTACATGGAGAAGGTCAAATCCACACATGAGAAAGGAGACTGTGTCACTGGAGGTCCGCAAGATCCTCTGGCCACTCCCATCGGCTCTCTGGGTTACAGAAACACCTGGAACATTGTCGAAGCGGAAAAAAATCTTCTTAGAACTCATACCACCGCCATCTCGGCTCAGATGTTGTACAAATTAGCTCAAATGTGAGCTGCAGGTGTGTTTTGAGGAGCTAGAAGCTGACGATACTTTAGGGATAAATTCGAACCCAAGAAATTCTTCTCTATTGATCGCGTGTTTCGCAATGAGACTCTGGATGCGACACATTTAGCAGAGTTCCACCAGATCGAAGGGCTCGTGGTTGATCGAAACCTTGTAAGTGCTCTGGTTGCCTTCTTTCGTAAGATTGAGTTACTGGTTGTAGGCGCTCGGAGATCTCATGGGAATGATCCAGGCTTTCTTTGAAAAGGTGAGACTCTCTCAGCTCCATGCGCATCAATCGTCTGGGGCTCCTCCTCTCGCTGCTGCCGCTGACTCGCCCTCAGCTCGGACTAAAGGACATTCGCTTCAAGCCAACATACAACCCTTACACTGAGCCCTCCATGGAGATCTTCCACTGGCATGAAGGTGAGCGGGAGATACCTTGACAAGAGTATTGCTTGCGACGGAGGGATGATGTTTGACGAACGATGCCGATTTCTATGACGAAAAAACTTGATGGGCACCGCAGCCCATTGACCTCTTTGCTCTCTTTACGATTCTGCGATTCATCCATGTGATCACGCTGAACCACCTGGCAGGTCTCAACAAGTACGTGGAAGTTGGAAACTCTGGCATGTTCCGCCCGGAAATGCTCCGACCGATGGGCTTCCCCGAAGACGTGAGAGCATGCGAGATGAGAGATTAGGGCGTGAAGTGACGCTGAGAAGGTGACGTGCATCGCATGGGGACTGTCGCTCGAACGCCCTACAATGATTCTTTACAAGATCGACAACATCCGAGATCTCTTCGGACACAAGGTGAGCATTGGAGACTTGATTTTATGGACGAGCACGGGAATGATGGTGAGCCAGGTTGATCTCCATATGATCAAAACGAATCCTATCTGCCGATTGGTGAAATAAACAAAATCAAAAGATGATCTCTCTCTTGCAATTCCGTCTTTGTTTTAATACATTACAGAATCTTGTAGAACAACGATGTCGTTGTCTATCAGTTTCCAGAGGCGGCGGTGACTGCCTTGTAAATCTGTACCCTGCCAAGAGATTCATTGCATGGAAGAGCCTTGACAAGACTTACAGAGCGATGGGAATGCCAAACTGAGCGGTCAAAAGCACCATAATCTGTGCGTATGCTCAGTCATCCCGCACACAAGATGAGCATTGAGAGGTCGCCCAATTCACCTGTGCTGGCGTCGCTTTGAGCCTTGGCTGGCCATCCTCTCCCACCACGCGGGTGTCAGCAGTGAGCTCTTGAGATCAAATGTGAGAGGGTGGCACGCAAAATTTTACAGCTCAACCTCTTGCAATGCCGTCGAAGAGACCCTTGAAGCCGGTGGTTCTCTTGCCCTGCCCGTCCTCTTGCATGCTCAGCGCACAGACTCCTGCTTTCGCTCTGCCACATGCAGCGGGAAGAGAATCACTTCCACGAAGCTGGGGAGAGGAAGAGGAGAGGAGGAAGGAGGAGGCTGGAGCTACGGCCAAGGCCAGCAGCAGCAAGGCGCAGAACCGCTGCATAGCGCGTTATAAGTAGCCGTTACATTGGCACATTTCTGTAACGTCTGTCACAAATCTAGGTGACACCCAACAGTTACGTCTCGTTTGTCTCAGTTACATTTCGGTTACATTTTGATCTGAGGGGAGCTCACCAATTGACCAAGGCATCGAAAATGCCCACCACCTTGAGGAAGGGCTTTTTGAGAGGGAAATGGGAGGGAAAGAGGGAGGGAACGGGAGGGAGAGAAAGAGGGAGACAGGGAGAAGGGAGACAGGGAAGGAAGGAATATTGTGCAAGTGGGGAAGGGAAAGGAGGGTACGGTGTGGTGACAGTGACACTAATTATTCATCCTGGAACAGAACATGCGAATGATCTGACAGGATCCCCGAGAAGCATGGTGGACTTGGAGCAGAAGAGGGTGCTGAAGGATTTCTTGAGGAAGGGTGAGACTGTGGAGACAGTAGAGAACCTTGTGCTGCAAGGAAGACACTTGAGGCTCAAGAACCTGACAGTGCTGGCGCATTGTGAGAGACTGAGAAAACTCGATTGCTCGAGGAACTCGATAGAAAGTTTGGCAGGGGGCGAGAGTCTGTGTAGGCTCGAGAAACTGAACCTCTCCGACAACAAGATCTCAGACCTGTCGGAGATTCTGCACCTTCAGTCGCTCTTCCAGCTGTTCGAGGTGAGACCTGTCTGCATGAGCGGGATGTTGTCCTTACCGAAGGTAGCTGGACCTGAGGTGGAACCCCATCACAAAGCAGGAGAGCTACAGGCTCTTTGCAGTCAAGTACCTCCCTCGGCTCAGACGGCTCGATGGAGTTGAGATCTCCGCTTCTGAGAGGATTCGAGCTGAAAGACTCTTTGCGAATCTGGACTGCAGCAGGTGTGTACAAGTAGAGGACGCTCCCGATGGTCACAAGCGCGCAGCAGCTCAGATGCAGGTAGCTCGCATGTCGTGTCCGGGGAGGAGGAGGACAGCGATGAAGAACTCGCATCCAGCCGCGGGCGCGAGGAGGCAGGTAAGATCTACCGGACGCTCACCCGCCTTTCTTTCATACTCCAACCTCTCCTGCAGGTGCACAGAGGCGCGCTCCTCCCTTCTCGCGTGAAGACGAAGAGACGGGCCATAGAAATGTGTGGAACAGACTCAAACTGGAGCAGCAGGGAGCCGCTGGCTTCAACGTGCAGTGGAGCAGGAGCCTGGAGGCCGTTCTTGCAGGCGATTTCAGCGGGAACGAGGGCGAGGAGATAGCCGGTATGCTCGGCTGCAAGTTTGAAGTCCAAGTGATCCCAAGTGAAGCAGAGCCCTCCGGGAGAGTCAAGAAGATGTCAGAGGGGAGGAAGCACGAGGAGGATGAGGAAGCGGGGGGACGTGGGATGAAGGAAGAATCTACAGATGAGATGGTTGTAGAGGGGCTGCGAGACCTAGTCCGTCAAGTTCTGAGGGAGAGGGAGAAGGGAACGAAAGAAGAGAACGAGATGTGGCGAAGCATACAAGATAAGGTGTACATGCTCAGCCCCCTTCACCAAACTGACCTCACAAATATTAAGGTACAAGCAATCCTATACATGGCTCAGTCCAGCCGTGGCAGTCAGGCTCCATCGACCCACAATGATCATCCTGCTGATAGGATAGACGGCTCCAGCATTGATCAGGTTATACATCCTGACCCTCCTGGCAAGGGCTAACAACGCTGGCAAGGCTTACAAGCGCGAACTGAGTGCCCTTGTCGATGCCCAGAATCAACGAGTTGAGAGTTTAGAGCAAACGAGAAGAAGTCTTGAGCAGGAGCTCAAAGCCCTCCGCGATCAAAACACGCTCTACCACCAGCAAGTGAGAGACTGCACTAGAGGTCGAGAGTGCGACTAAGGGAGCTGGCAGGTCCTAAAGGCAGAAGCAAAAGTCTCCATGGTCCAGGACAAACTTGACGCCATGCAGGCTCATGAAACTGCCGGGAGACCGTCGACATCCACCGACGTTGAGGGGCAGCAAGAGATGCTTCTGCGTCAGCGAGAGCTTGTCCGCATGCTCCAACAGTCGCACGAGGTGAGGCAAGTCGACGTAGAGCGACGGTGACTTGCTGTGCAGGAGCTTATCCGTGACAATGCTTGGTTCAAACAAGAGCTGGAGAAGGAGAGAGCAGGGCGAGCAGCCGACGTCCTCGTCTTCGAACGGAACTATCAGGAACTCCGCTCGCTTGTCAAGTTATCGGAGGCACAAGCTGTCAAAGGTCATCAGGGAGACGGACAAACGAGTTGAAAGAAGAGAAGAGACATGAGCACCGGGCATCGCTCTTCACGTAGCAAAGATGGACAACACAGCGATAGTGAAGAAAGAGACGCCAACAATGAGTAAGAGCGACAGGCTGTCAAGGATGTTATACTAAGACAAATAAACCCTTTCACCCACGAGAAGCGGATGAGGAATTCAGCAAGGAACAGCAGGATCTGCCAACAGGCTCAGAGAGGAGCTTCATCGTCTCTCGACCTACTTTCACAAGGAAGAAGCCCACAACTGAAGCTAGTGCTGCAGTGATCCAGAGCTCGATGCTGGTAGTCTGCCATGATGGCGTCACCAATCTTCTGTAGCAGAGGTGGAGCTTACCGAAGGATCACGCACCCACTTCTGCAGTTGATTGCGAGAGAAGCCCCAACCGAATCTGCATGGAAGGAATCATCAACGGTGCTCGAGGCTCCTTGCATGCCTGCTCAGCTGCCTCATGTCGTCCTTGGAATCAACTGACGTGACCTCCCCAGTCTTCTGCCCCTTCAAGTTCTGGAAAAAAGGTCAGAATGACGCAACAGCAAGCTAAAGGTATACGAGCATGTCCAAAATCTCTTTCACGGCCCTGCGGACCCTTTGGAATCGATCCCGCAAGTTCAAGACTGCACACAAAGTTAGAGCAGCCTGTCCCGTCATTGACTGCTGAGCTACCATCATCTTGGTTGGGCTTGAGATCCGATATCCAAACATTGGGATCCTGAACTCTGAATATCTGCAGCTAACGTCAGTAGTCTATCCCAGCAAGCCCACAGCCTCATCGCACCCTCAGCGACTCATCCTCCGGCGATCGAGCGGACAAGACCTACATGTCCAACGGGTGAGACAGGCAGGTTGCTTTCAGTCGCTTGTCCTCATGGGCAGTCTCGCTGACCTGCTGACGACCCAGCCGAGGTTTCCTTATGATTGGTGCCATACACGGCCATCCCCATACGTGTGGTGTGGGACCCACAAAAGCCCTGCAATGAAAGTTGATACTCGAGGCCTTGATTCAAGCGCAGCCTATAGATTTATCCGTGTTCGAGCTCCAAGAATCTAAGAGCACCAGGAATGTTCCTTTACCTGCAGGAGCAAACGATCTAGAGCCTCTCCTCTCCCTCTCCCCATCTCCTCGTTCTCCTCGCCTAAGGTCCTCTGAGTACTCGCTCGGTCTCTTCTTTGCTGACCACCCTCCTCCCCTCTGTCCGTCTCCACTTACCTTGCCTCCCGCGCGGCCTCGCAAAGGACCAGCATTGCGTCCGGGGTCTTAATTCCTTCTTAATTTTCACTTTGAGTTTACAAAAAAAGATTTAGGGAATTAATTTTTAAAGCAGTCAGACGGGGGTGGGGTTCAAAGCATGTGGGTGGGGTACGATTTCGAATGAAAAATGACCCTTGGAGTCCACGTCGTACCCCTACCTACGACTGACAACTACCCCCTGCTCCACAAGCTCGGCTCTACCCACCTGGTCGTATGCAGACCACCCACGATATGCCTCTTCCACCACCCCACCGTACTCAGAAATTTTGCACTGGTACCCAATCACCGATTGTACCCCCATAATAGACTGACAAAAAGGGGTACTGATACCACCCCACCCGTCAAATGTAGATGACCTCCCTATCGGATATGGCGGAGCCGAAGGCGGCAGGTATGACGGAATGGGAGGGGAGAGAAGGAGGAAGGAGGAAGGAGGAAGGAAGCAGAGGTATAGAGAAGAACGAAAGGAACCAGGTTAATGGATGCAGGAAAGCAGATCAGCGAATCTGTGAGGTCGAAACTGAAGAGATTTGAAAGAAGGCTCGATTGGTTTGGAGTAGTGAAGGGAAAGGGAGTGAGAGGGAAGAGGAAACATGATGATAGGAGGGGATTTTGATTTCCCCCAAGATAAAAGCTAAGTTTGGCATCTTTGAATGGTATCATGGAAATGCAACCGTCTAGGATTCATCAGTACAGTTGCACCTAAAGTTAATTTTTTGGATGTGGCAAAGAAGGGGAAAGAAGAAAACTGAGATGTTTCACACTGCATTGTTGAATCCACGATCGCATGGTTGCACTTTCATGCTCTTCTCTCATCCCAAGATTTTTGTTTGTTTTCAGAGTTCTTTCTTCGCTCTAACTATTTCTTACAGCGCTCATGCGGGGGTGGTTGGAAAAGCAACATCATCATGTTCTGAAATCCTTTGAGAGGAGATGGTTCGAGCTCTATGGTTGTGAGCTCAGGTTGGATGTTTTTGTTAAACATGTGATTTTGAGTACCCCCACTTGTTCTCACCTGTGTCCAGATACTTCGAAAAAGACAGAAGCGATGTTGCTTGTCGCGTTATTAATGTGAAAGGCAACAAATTCCAGGATGGGAGGGTATGTATTTGTGTACCAGACTAAGTTCTTGAACTCATTGATTTTCTGAAGAAAACTGCCAAACGACTGGAGTTTGTCATCGAAACGCCTAATGATACTTTGGCGAAATCATACAAGTTTGCTTGTGACAAAGAAGAGGAGTACAACCAGTAAGAACTCATCATGGAGATACTCGTCTTACTCTTTCTAGGTGGAAAGCTGCTCTTGCTCAAGCTGCCGTCTTTGATCGCGCGGTTGCAATCGCCTTTTCCCTTAGAACCCTTCCGTGTATCAACGTTGATATGATGTAGAGTTTTCCGTGATTCAATTTCCTCATTGTCCAAGTGCGAATCCTGAGAGTGTGTCATCAGTGACCAAAATCATTCCTTGACGCAGACAGCAAACCTTTCATGACAGCCCATGTGATGGTTTGGGGTCTTGTGTTGACTTTTCTTCCAGACTGTCGCCATCGCTCCGCAGAGGCCGAACATCGTGGCTCTTGTAAACGGAAAGAGTGGAGGCAAACAGGGTGAGTTCGAGTTAACTCTCTAGCCGAGGAGACTCACCCGTAGAATAGGAACGAAACTCATTCAGAAGATCAAAAAACATCTCGGGGATGCGAATGTGGTGGACATCATGTCCCTATCAGATGCCGGAAAGGGAATCAAAGGACCCCACGGGGCTCTTGCAAGTGCATGCATGAATGCGGTGCGAAGAGGAGCTCATTTCAGTGCAGTGCATGCCAACGACGGCCCCAATACTCGATTTCTTGTCTGCGGAGGAGACGGAACTGTGGGCTGGACTCTTCAGGTGGGCTGATATCGATATGATATCGACTTAATCACTCACGCAATCTCGTCGAGCAGGACATGGAAAAGTTGATTCAGTCTGGAGGGATCAATGGTATGCTGTTACTGCGTAATGTGGGAGTTTTCACCCTGGCTTTCAGCTGATATTCCGATCGCCGTCCTCCCTCTTGGCACAGGCAACGACATGGCAAGAACGCTGCGGTGAGATGGGTTTGGTCGAAAAGGCAAGGAGCTGATCGTGATGAAAGATGTGGTGGAGGCTACAGTGGAGAGCAGTTGCTGCCGATTCTCAAGAAAGCAGCAGTGGGAGAGAGGAAGAGGTGGGTAGAGTTTCAAAGAGGTGGTCCTCGCTCGAGGAGCATTCTAAGTGATTGCCTTAGGCTGGATCGATGGAAAGTTCGTGTTACTGCCGAACAAGGCGGTCAAGAGCCTTTCGTCAAGGAGTTTCTCATGTGCAACTACTTCTCCATAGGATGGGATGCAGTGGTGAGGAAAGGATATTCAAGACAACGACAGTGAGGATGTGCTGTAGGTTGCCCGTGGCTTTCACGTAAAGCGTGAGCTGAGCCCAAACCTATTCAAGAACCGAATCATTAATAAGCTATGGTAACACTATTAGAGCGTGGGGAGAAGACTCTGAAGGTTCTATGTAAGGTATCTCTACTTCAGCTTCGGAAACTTGGTTGGCAACTTCGATGCTTCTAAGGGAGTTGAAGTGAGATTTGATTTCCTCTGACTGTTTCCATCTTCTTGCCATTCTTCCTCCTCTCCACTAGTTCCTCGTGCTTCTCTCTCTCTACCTCTACCTCTACCTCTACCTCTACCTCTACCTCACCTCTACCTCTACCTCTCTAACTCTCTCTCTGCTTTCCAACCATTATCTCGCTCAAATGTGACATCGGCATTGATGATTTTCTAGCTTGAAGTCGATGGAAAGTCTGTGCAGATTCCAAAAGGCATCAAGAGCGTGGCTGTCATCAACATCCCGTCCTTCAGTGGTGGAGCCGACCTGTGGGGAAAATCTTCATCAGTAATTGGATCACTTTCTAACTGGCAAATATTATCTAATAGTAATGTAGGGCAATTTCCAAAAGCCGCAGACAGACGACGGTCTTCTGGTGAGAGGCGGAGACAGATTTATCTTGTTTGATCCAAAAAGTAGGAGATCGTCGGCACTTACAACCCTCTTCATCTCGGCATGGTGATCGTTAAGATACGAACGGCAGTCAGGTCAGAGACAGACGAGCCGTGTTGGTCGTTGTGAGCTGATGTTGCTACTGGTGCGGCACAGGATAGCGCAGGGCAAGAGAGTAACAGTGAAGACCAAGACGTTTGCCGAAGGAGGACCGAAGCCCGGCAAAGGCACCTGCATGCAGGTCAGTCTCGCCCGCGAAGGAGTAGGTTGAGAGTCTGTTGGCAGGTGGACGGAGAGCCTTACTTCCTCGACCACAAGGTGACGGGTGGAGGGTCGACTGAGGCGCTGACGCAGTGGCAGGGTTTCCACGAAGACGTGCATTACAAGCCTGAAAAGAACCTTCGGGTATGCGAGAGGGCTGATTGCGTCCTTGTGATGTTGGGGCAGGATGGAAACGTTGACGTAAAGGTGGAGATCTCTCACCATGCAGTAGCTACGTTGGTTGAGAGCCCTGACGTATGTTGCTGTGCGATCAAGATGGAACGTGACGGGTGCGCAGGGAGGAGGTTGTTGCGTCGCTCCCAAGGTCGACTAGGACATGGAGGAGCTTTGATGCACTCTAAACCATCTTTAAATGTGTCCTCGCACACTCCAAGCTCCCATGATGAAATGGATGCCTTGGCACAACAGTTAACGAAGGAAAGGATTTTCCCTTCCGTGGATTATGTGCAGATGTACAGACAGAAATACAGACAAAGAAATAAAACGAATCAAATGAGAAAGAGTTGACGCAGAAGAGTGAAATTTCTCATGGAAAGGGCCTATCAGCTTTCCGCCTTCGTTCAATTCCTCTATGCTTTCTCCTCCGACGTCGATGAAAGCTGCTGGCAGGTCATTCCCCTCGGACTCGGATGCGACCATCTCACTCTCCTACCTCACACGGCTGTACACAAGAGCCCATTCATTACATACCCAAATGCCTCTCCGTTATTCTCCCTTCTCTCTCTCTCTCTCTCTCTCTCTCTCTCTCTCTCTCTCTACATGCGTCTCCTCTTCACCTCACTGCCCTCTCTTTCCGCCTGCTGCTTCCCTTGTCCCTGCTCTGCTCCTGACGCCTCCCCCTCCTCCGGCCTGCGCTTCTGATGTGCCCGCTCTGTCCTGCTGCTTGACGTCCGTACCCTCCCTTGCAATGTCATCACGTTGCGGAGCAGTGAGCAGCAGTCCTCTGCTGCTGATGATGATGATGATTGACGTCGCGGTCGCTCCTCCATCCTGTCGAGGTACGCGCGCTGCTGCGGGCTGAGAGTGAAGGCGGGGCGATGTGCTGGGGGATAAGAGAAGGAGAAGCTGGTGATGGTGATGGTGAAGGAGGAGGAGGCGGACATGGCAGTAGAGGAGAAGGACGTGTGTCAAGGAAGGCTGGTTCAGTTGGAGGGACACAGGGAGCAGAGGAGGGAAAAAGCCGCGAGGTAACGTGACCGGGAGGGAGGTAACATGACCCTTGCGTCGATTCGCGATGGAGGTACCGTGATGGCCTCTTCGATCAGTCATCGCTGACTTTTGACTCTCATCATGCAAAAAAAAGAATTACGGAGGTGAAGGAGTCGCTCAGGCAGCATTGAGAGCCCCAGGATGTAACTGCAGATCTGGTGCTTAGGATTATTCAGAATCAGACTTGACTGAAACTCATTGACAGCTCCATCAAGCCTCTGTGCGCTTAGACACGAGACCGTAGTGAAGATCAACCCCGATCGTCCCTACGACTAGACAACGAAGAAGACCCTTGTGCATCCCCTCGGGGTACTTGAGAGGCTTGAGAAACGGTTGCTCGACTTCTGCTTACCTCGTATCGACAAGGAACACACGGTCAGTTCTTTGCTTGGGCCATATGAACATCTGAACAGCAACTACTCTCAGGCTCCATGGAGGCCATCGCTTCAAGGCAGCACAGTCCTTTCCCTGGTTATGCATGCAGAAAGCCATACTGGCATGTGCTGTTGAGCTATATGAAGCTAGCTACAAACGTCAACAGAGAATGGAAGGTGTGTTCCAAATTCATGAAAACATTCAATGCAAGTGCAGTGATACAATCAGGTGCATACAACATCCCTAGAAGTGGCTGTACACAAGAGCCCATTCATTACATACCCAAATGCCCTCTCCGTTATTCTCCCTTCTCTTTCTCTCTCCCTCTCTACATGCATCTCCTCTTCACCTCACTGCCCTCTCTTTCCGCCTGCTTCTTCCCTTGTCCCTCCTCTGCTCCTGACGCCTCCCCCTCCTCCGGCCTGCGCTTCTGATGTGCCCGCTCTGTCCTGCTGCTTGACGTCCGTACCCTCCCTTGCAATGTCATCACGTTGCGGAGCAGTGAGCAGCAGTCCTCTGCTGCTGATGATGATGATGATTGACGTCGCGGTCGCTCCTCCATCCTGTCGAGGTACGCGCGCTGCTGCGGGCTGAGAGTGAAGGCGGGGCGATGTGCTGGGGGATAAGAGAAGGAGAAGCTGGTGATGGTGATGGTGAAGGAGGAGGAGGCGGACATGGCAGTAGAGGAGAAGGACGTGTGTCAAGGAAGGCTGGTTCGGTTGGAGGGACACAGGGAGCAGAGGAGGGAAAAAGCCGCGAGGTAACGTGACCGGGAGGGAGGTAACATGACCCTTGCGTCGATTCGCGATGGAGGTACCGTGATGGCCTCTTCGATCAGTCATCGCTGACTTTTGACTCTCATCATGCTAAAAAAAGAATTACGGAGGTGAAGGAGTCGCTCAGGCAGCATTGAGAGCCCCAGGATGTAACTGCAGATCTGGTGCAAAGGATTATTCAGAATCAGACTTGACTGCAACGCATTGACAGCTCCATCAAGCCTCTGTGCGCCTAGACACGAGACCGTAGTGAAGATCAACCCCGATCGTCCCTACGACTAGACAACGAAGAAGACCCTTGTGCATCCCCTCAGGGTACTTGAGAGGCTTGAGAAACGGTTGCTCGACTTCTGCTTACCTCGTATCGACAAGGAACACACGGTCAGTTCTTTGCTTGGGCCATATGAACATCTGAACAGCAACTATCAATCACAGAAGCTTTCTACCATCCCTCTCAAATCCCATCAGGCTCCATGGAGGCCATCGCTTCAAGGCAGCGCAGTCCTTTCCCTGGTTATGCATGCAGAAAGCCATACAGGCAGCCTTACACAAGAGCCCATTCATTACATACCCAAATGCCCTCTCCGTTATTCTCCCTTCTCTCTCTCTCTCTACATGCGTCTCCTCTTCACCTCACTGCCCTCTCTTTCCGCCTGCTGCTTCCCTTGTCCCTCCTCTGCTCCTGACGCCTCCCCCTCCTCCGGCCTGCGCTTCTGATGTGCCCGCTCTGTCCTGCTGCTTGACGTCCGTACCCTCCCTTGCAATGTCATCACGTTGCGGAGCAGTGAGCAGCAGTCCTCTGCTGCTGATGATGATGATTGACGTCGCGGTCGCTCCTCCATCCTGTCGAGGTACGCGCGCTGCTGCGGGCTGAGAGTGAAGGCGGGGCGATGTGCTGGGGGATAAGAGAAGGAGAAGCTGGTGATGGTGATGGTGAAGGAGGAGGAGGCGGACATGGCAGTAGAGGAGAAGGACGTGTGTCAAGGCTGGTTCGGTTGGAGGGATAGAGGGCTGAGGAAGGAAAAAGCCGCGAGGTAACGTGACCGGGAGGGAGGTAACATGACCCTTGCGTCGATTCGCGATGGAGGTACCGTGATCGGGTCATCGCCTCTCATCACGCCTCTCCGTCAAGCCTTTTAGAAGGAGAAGCTGACAGTGATGGTGATGGTGAAGGACAGAGGACATGGGCCGAAAGAAGTAGTGACTTTACTAAGTTACTCTTCAATGCCAGGGTATGCCGCAGTGCTCGGGCTACTGCCGTAGCGGCCCGGTGCCGGGCACGGTAAAAGTTCACCCGGGTTCTCAGTCTCAGCGGCTCGCCACTGCGGCAGTGGCGTACGCGCTGGCAGGCTGATGATCATCGACTGAGTTTGTAAACTGAGAGTCCGGGGTGGCAACTAACTTGCTTTCAGAGAGAGGCTACTGAAGTAGATGTTTGTAGCCTGAGCGCCGCTCAGTGTCACTTCAGTGACAGTGACGGGCCGGCCCGGCCGACCGTTCCGAAGCCACTGTGACACCGTAAGTTACCCGGCGATTCATTGACTTGCTTTTCCAAAGCAGTACGGTACACTGCTGACTCAGGGCCCGGTGGTCCAAGACCCGTGACCGTCTCCGCGCCGTGCGACCGGGCGGCCCCACCGTCGAGGACTCCGGGAGTATCGAACCGAGTCCGTTACATTTGGAATGATTTTGAAACCGCCGCGGATGACACTGGCCCTATTCAGATGTTTCAGTGAGCTGTTAGCCCGTTTTAGTGAGTCGCTTTCAGTACCCTCCGGTCTGCCGCACCTCGCGGTTTGACCCGCGCCGCAAATAGAAGATGGCAGGCAGGTGACAACTCAAGGCCTAGTGGGCACGTTGATGATGGAGGAAGACGTTGAGGAAGGAAACTCAGGGGGTTATGGTTCTTTGTTTGACACAAGACTCCAAAGACATCATCATACGTATGAGCTCTTGGTCACGAGAAGAAAATCCTTCCCATCACGGAGATATGGCGCGGGTTTATCCATCGTCGTAGCGCTCACAGTCTTGGTGTCTTTGCTGACACAAACGAATCGAGACCCTTATGTCTATCGATCTCAATCACAAGAGTCTGTCAGCAACCTGCCAAACATTTCGCTCAATCAAAACCTCAGCACCCGCAGATTGATCAACGTCACGTCCCTGCAAAACAAGTCTGCGCTCAAGTAACTCATCGAAGATTGTCTGTGCAAGCTTCTCGTAACTCTCTGCTTTTAGGGACAGCAGTTGGGATGTCAATTGGGGCCTGAAAAATCCAGTCACAGGAGTCGATCGAGCGCAATGCGGCGACTCTGTGGGGTGGGGAAGGTGAGCGTTTGCCGTTCGTCGAAGTATGCTGACTAGGTTTGAAGTTGGGGGAGCACGGACAAGGAAGCTGTCAACAGGTTCCATGGGCAAGTCGGTCAAACTTATACCGTGGAATGTCCAGATGGCTGCGACAATGCCGGCCCGGTCTGGGGCTGCGGCACGTTCCTTGACGACAGCTCAATCTGCAAGGCAGCGATTCTAATGGGAATGGCTTCGAAAGACAAGAGCTCAGTGGTATCCTTTCAGTTAGTTGAGCCTCTGATGCAATATCCTGATTGCAAGAAGAATGGCATATCAACAGACAGTTGGATGTGGTATGAGTGGAAGAAAGCGAGCAAAGTTGATAAAGTCCAGAGCTACTGCCCTGCGGGATGGCTCAATACGCACACCATAGACCAACCATGCGAGGCTCTCCTAAGAAAGTATCGATGGGACTGTAAGATCAGCCATGACATTGAACATTGCTTTGGGGTGAGAGCATTTCAATTCGTCCAGGCATCGACTCCTCCCTCCGTAAATCCGCCTTCGGGACAATTCATCGGAACAGTGAAAGTAACTGTAACAGCTCCTGCTGGAGAAAGAATTCTTTGCACCACCGATGGAAGCGATCCCAGAATCTCGGATGCATTGTTTGACAACCTTGTTTCGGGACAACAAACATTTGAGCTGAAATCAGAGGGAAAGAACACTCTCAAGTGTCAAGCCATCGCCAGCGGATCTGCGGCAAGCATCATCATCGTTCGAGAGTATGAGGTCCTCACAAAGCTCCCTGCACCCTCGTTCGATCCAAATGGAGGGTCTTTTGTGGAAGAGGCTCTTGTCGTGATCTCTTGCAGTGTTGCAAATGTTGTGCTGAAGTACTACTTGGACGAGAACCAACCATCCATGGCAAAAGTGTATAATGGCCCCGTTCGAATCCAAACGACTGGTAGCAAAATATTTGCGTATGCAACTGGTCATCCAATTTTGAAAGATAGTGACATTTCAGCTTCCAATAGTTTCTTCATCCAAGCCAAATCGCCAGGTATAGCTTTGCCGGGCGCTATTTCAGTTGGATTTGCTATTGTAAACGTCACGGTTCAGCGTCCTGATGAGCAAGCTTTCTGCACGTCTGATGGAAGTACACCGACCCGATTATCGAATAGATGTGATCAACATGGAATCATGGTGATGAATAACCATGCTCGAGTCAAAGCTTTGGTTGTTGGCAACGATGTTATGCCATCGAATATTACTACTTCAGACTTGATAACGATCCGATCCTACGCTCCTGTGATTGAACCAGACGGAGGTAGATTTCAGGATATGGCCGAGGTTTCATTGGACTATCCAGCCCCTGGATTGTATAAGATATATTTCACTCTGAACGGAAGGGATCCTGACGCAAAATCATCAGAATATACCACAGCGATTTCAATCGTCGAAACGCGGACAATTGTCAAAGCATTTGCTATCTCAGGAGACTTGGAGCCTAGCTTAATTTCTGTGTCAGACCCATACATCATTCTTTCACTAAGCCCAGCCTTGCAGCCCCCAGCAGGGCAATACGTTGACCAAGTAACAGTGACCTTGATATGCACTGATCCAACAGCAAAAATTTTCTATACGCTGGACGGGAGGGATCCAAACACAAATTCAGATCAGTACAAATCTCCCATTGTGGTAAAAAATAATGGAACGTACTTGCGGGCAATCTCAAAAAGCCCTAAAAAAGATCCCAGCGAGATAGTACAAGCTGAATACTCAATCAAAACAGCGACACCTCAATTGACAGGAGCTGAGGGAGCTCACGAGACAGTAGCTGAAATCCATGCTACGTGCACAAGTCAGAATGCAAAACTGTATTATACCTTGGATGGAAGTATACCAAATCAATTTTCGCAGCGAGCACAAAACAACAAAATTCAAGTAAAAGCAACTGGATCTCAAGTCAAAGTAATAGCCATCAGCGACAGGAAAGAAGCAAGCGATGTAGTCACCACAGACACCATCGTTGTATCTACGGCTATACCAACGATAATACCAAATGGAGGAGATTTTGTTGACGTCGCGACTGTCAGCATATCCAGCGCAACGCCAGGGGCAGAGATCTACTACACCCTCGACGGCTCGACCCCCACCGCCCAATCAAGAATGTACGTCGCGCCTGTTCTCGTGGAGTCGACGGACGTGGTCGTCAAGGCCATGGCGAGGCATCACCTGCTGGAGGACAGCGAGGTCATCAGCTCGGATGTCTTCCACGTTCATGCCTCGGTGCCGACGTTCGAGCCTGACGGAGGCTCGTTCGTAGAAAGCGTCGAGGTGACCATCTCGTCCGCCACTCCGGGCGCTGAGATCCGATGCACGACCGACGGGTCCGAGCCGTCTGAGACCACCAGCGTGTGTCAGAACCCCGTCACCATCTCGACGACAGGAGCGGTCATCAAGGCGATCGCGACCAAGCACGAGCTCTCGCCGAGCGAGGTCGCGGTGCTGCAGGCGCCGTTTGTGATCAAGGCGATGGCGCCATCGTTCTCGCCGGACGGGGGGACGTACGTGGAGTCGGTGAAGGTGACGCTGTCGTCGCAGACCGCGGGGTCTCGCATCTACTACACCCTGGACGGCTCGACGCCGACGGCAGAGTCCAATCTGTACGGCGAGCCGATCGAGCTGGAGGGGACCGGCACCGTCGTGCGGGCGGTGGCAGTTGCAGAAGGGAAGGCCCCGAGCGAGGTAGCAGAGTCGCGGGAGTACGTGATCGAGACGTCGCCGGTAGAGTACGAAGCGTCGGGAGACGCGTGGGGAACGGCGACGGCGTCGGAGAAAGGCTTCATCGAGGAGGTATGCAGGCCCGCGCGAAGAGGAGGTCTCAGAGAGGCGTAGGCGTGTAGCGAGGCAGCAGGGAGGGCGCGGTGGTAGACCAAGGCAAGCGAGGCGACGAGGAGGGGGCGAGGGGCCACGATGAAGGGTAGAGAGGATCGAGAGGGCAGGGAGAGGAGAGAGGCTTGGGAGGGGAAGGCGGGTACGAGGCCCTGACGCGACGTCCGTGCAGGCCAAGATCACGATGACGAGCAAGACTCCAGGAGCTCAGATCTACTACACCATGGACGACAGCAACCCGACCGTGTCGTCGACACGATACGACGGGGTGGCCGTGGTTGACAAGGTCTACGGAGAGCGCGTCGTCAAGGCCATCGCCGAAGCGCCAGGGAAGGCCCCCAGCTCGGTGACCACGTCGGTGATCTTCGACGTGTTCCAGCGGGAGAAGAAGCCGCGGCTGCTGCCGGACGGCCCCGGGCCCTACGTCACGAGGGTCAAGGTCAGCATAGAGGCCCAGCCAGGCGACTCGGTACGCTACACCACCGACGGGTCAGACCCGTCGAGCTCGAGCACGGCAGAGGAGTACAAGGAAGGCTTCGACATTGACGCCATCGGGGTCACGGAGGTGCGGGCGGTGGCATCCAAGGCAGGGATGGCGGACTCTCTGCCGATGGTGCAGAGCTACACAGTCCTCGAGCAGGTCAAGACGCCCACCATCAGCCCATCGTCGGGGCTCTTCACTCACGAGGTCGACATCACCCTCGCCTGCGCGACGCAGGGGGCCTCCATCCACTACACCACTGACGGGAGCGAGCCCAACGCTGCGTCCCCGGTCTACACGGGCCAGCCGATCACCCTGACAGACGACGGGACAAGACAACAGTCTTTCGAGGTGAAGGCGATAGCGATCAAGGCTCCGAGCATGGGAGACAGCGAGGTGGCTCAGTCGGGCGCCATCACGGTACAGCCGCAGGTCATGACGCCGGTGATAGAGCCGGCAGCTCCAGGACCGTACGAGGACGGGGTGAACGTGACTATCTACTGCAACACCCCCGGGTCAACCATCTACTGGACAGACGACGGGTCCACGCCTACGAAAGAGTCCAACGTCTACACAGGCGGCAGCATCGCCGTCAAGCAGACGGGGGTCGAGATACGGGCAGTCCCGAATATGGGGGACTCGGAAGTAGTTTCTTCTCCATCGTATCACCTTACCCTTTCGCCTCCTGTCATCTATCCCGATGGAGGAACCTTCATTGAGACTGTTGATGTTCATCTTTCGTGTAAGTTTCCAGGCCAGGGGCAGAGATCTATTACACCCTCGACGGCTCGACCCCCACCGCCCAATCAAGAATGTACGTCGCGCCTGTTCTCGTGGAGTCGACGGACGTGGTTGTCAAGGCCATGGCGAGGCATCACCTGCTGGAGGACAGCGAGGTCATCAGCTCGGATGTCTTCCACGTTCATGCCTCGGTGCCGACGTTCGAGCCTGACGGAGGCTCGTTCGTAGAAAGCGTCGAGGTGACCATCTCGTCCGCCACTCCGGGCGCTGAGATCCGATGCACGACCGACGGGTCCGAGCCGTCTGAGACCACCAGCGTGTGTCAGAACCCCGTCACCATCTCGGCGACAGGAGCGGTCATCAAGGCGATCGCGACCAAGCACGAGCTCTCGCCGAGCGAGGTCGCGGTGCTGCAGGCGCCGTTTGTGATCAAGGCGATGGCGCCATCGTTCTCGCCGGACGGGGGGACGTACGTGGAGTCGGTGAAGGTGACGCTGTCGTCGCAGACCGCGGGGTCTCGCATCTACTACACCCTGGACGGCTCGACGCCGACGGCAGAGTCCAATCTGTACGGCGAGCCGATCGAGCTGGAGGGGACCGGCACCGTCGTGCGGGCGGTGGCAGTTGCAGAAGGGAAGGCCCCGAGCGAGGTAGCAGAGTCGCGGGAGTACGTGATCGAGACGTCGCCGGTAGAGTACGAAGCGTCGGGAGACGCGTGGGGAACGGCGACGGCGTCGGAGAAAGGCTTCATCGAGGAGGTATGCAGGCCCGCGCGAAGAGGAGGTCTCAGAGAGGCGTAGGCGTGTAGCGAGGCAGCAGGGAGGGCGCGGTGGTAGACCAAGGCAAGCGAGGCGACGAGGAGGGGGCGAGGGGCCACGATGAAGGGTAGAGAGGATCGAGAGGGCAGGGAGAGGAGAGAGGCTTGGGAGGGGAAGGCGGGTACGAGGCCCTGACGCGACGTCCGTGCAGGCCAAGATCACGATGACGAGCAAGACTCCAGGAGCTCAGATCTACTACACCATGGACGACAGCAACCCGACCGTGTCGTCGACACGATACGACGGGGTGGCCGTGGTTGACAAGGTCTACGGAGAGCGCGTCGTCAAGGCCATCGCCGAAGCGCCAGGGAAGGCCCCCAGCTCGGTGACCACGTCGGTGATCTTCGACGTGTTCCAGCGGGAGAAGAAGCCGCGGCTGCTGCCGGACGGCCCCGGGCCCTACGTCACGAGGGTCAAGGTCAGCATAGAGGCCCAGCCAGGCGACTCGGTACGCTACACCACCGACGGGTCAGACCCGTCGAGCTCGAGCACGGCAGAGGAGTACAAGGAAGGCTTCGACATTGACGCCATCGGGGTCACGGAGGTGCGGGCGGTGGCATCCAAGGCAGGGATGGCGGACTCTCTGCCGATGGTGCAGAGCTACACAGTCCTCGAGCAGGTCAAGACGCCCACCATCAGCCCATCGTCGGGGCTCTTCACTCACGAGGTCGACATCACCCTCGCCTGCGCGACGCAGGGGGCCTCCATCCACTACACCACTGACGGGAGCGAGCCCAACGCTGCGTCCCCGGTCTACACGGGCCAGCCGATCACCCTGACAGACGACGGGACAAGACAACAGTCTTTCGAGGTGAAGGCGATAGCGATCAAGGCTCCGAGCATGGGAGACAGCGAGGTGGCTCAGTCGGGCGCCATCACGGTACAGCCGCAGGTCAGGACGCCGATGATAGAGCCGGCAGCTCCAGGACCGTACGAGGACGGGGTGAACGTGACTATCTACTGCAACACCCCCGGGTCAACCATCTACTGGACAGACGACGGGTCCACGCCTACGAAAGAGTCCAACGTCTACACAGGCGGCAGCATCGCCGTCAAGCAGACGGGGGTCGAGATACGGGCAGTCGCCGTCGCAGACAAGATGGCCGGCAGCGAGGTCGCAAGCTCAGGCGTGTACGACGTCACAGCGGCGAAGCCAAGCATCAAGCCGGACGGAGGAGATTTTGTAGACGTCGCGACTGTCAGCATATCCAGCGCAACGCCAGGGGCAGAGATCTACTACACCCTTGACGGGTCAGTTCCAACTGAGCAATCGTCGAGGTACACAGTTCCGATCTCCTTGTTCTCGTCTGCTCGTGTCAGTGCCATCGCGTTCAGCCCTGGAGTGTTGGCGAGTCCTGTCGTGTTGTCCGAGGCTTTCAGGATCCTACCGCACCCTCCCTTGTTCTCCTCGTCCGGCGGTTTCTTCCTAGACGAGGCCAAGGTTTATATGTGGAGCCCAACCAAAGGACGAAATTCGCTGTACCACCGACGGTTCGATTCCTACTCTAGACACTGCCGTTTGCCCTTCGTCTCTGACGATCCGTCGATCTGGTACGATCGTCAAGGCCATCGCAACTCTTGATGGAGGGGAGGACAGCTTGGTCAATTCAACATCGATCTTTTACATCAAGACAAGTACCCCCATGTTGTCCCAGAACGGCGGGGAGATCGATGATTCGGCCTTCATCAATTTCATCCATCCCTCCAAGGACGCCAAGTTCTTTTGTACTTTCAATCAGCTTCTGCCCAAAGAGCAGTATGCTCCGTGTGGAAGCTCAGTCTACGTGAATGAGACAGGGACTGTCTTGTCGTTCTATGCAGCAGTCGACGGGCAGATAGCCAGCGCCATCAGTCACTCGCTCAAGTTCATCGTCATGGCTGGCAAGTGCACTTTCTTCGCCATCGGCAAGTTCATGCCGGGAGCGAATCAGACGTATCGGATCGAGTACTTCGTGGACGAGGTGAGGGAGGAGCTGAGGCGGGCCTCTTGCCTGACGCGACTGCAGGCCTGGGTGATCATCGGCTCGCGCACTCCGGGAGCGAAGATCATGTACATCACGAACAAGATGTGTAAGTCAACTCTGCTCCCTAAGTTACACCGCTCCTTAAGTCAAAAGTCAAACCCGTTCCCTAAGTCAACCCCGTTCCAAACACCCTCCCATAAATTCATTTTGCCTAACGCCTCTTCCCAGCTTGGTACTCGTACGACCCGGAGGAGAAGCAGGACTGCTGCTACGGCTACCACAACTTCTACAAGCCCATACAAATCTGGGCCAAGGGATACCCGACGGTCATCACGGCGGTGGCCTCGGCTCCGGGCAAGACGAGGTCAAGAACATTCTTGTCGCCCTTGTACAAGCTCTTTGAGCAGCTGAGAGACCCTGTGATTGAGCCTGCTGGGCCTGGGCCCTTCAAGGACCTCGTCGAGGTAGACCTCCTCCTCCCCATCATCATCATCATCATCATCATCGTCGTCGTCATACTCACGCTGCCCCCGCAGGTCTCAATCGGAAGAATCAAAGCAGGAAGCGTCCCGGTCGTGGTACGATACACGCTGGATGGGTCAGAGCCATCGTGCTCGTCGGGAATCGTCTACACGAAGCCGATTTTCATCAGCAAGATCGGGGAAACAACGTTAAGAGCCATCGGATGTGCGCCCCCGGTGGACATGGGAACTGACGAGTCTGCGTTGAGCAAGAATGGCTACACGGACTCGCGCGTGGTGACAACGAGCTACATTGTACAAAAGAGCTCATAGGAAAGAGCATCTGCTGGTTCAAAGTAGCTTGCGCGCCTTTGTTTATATATGTTCATCGCACTTAATGTAATGACATGTCATAAAAATTGTTTGCGGGATCTGTCAAATCTTCGAGACCATGCCTCCCTGCACTACAATCCCCCGAGTCTCGCCATGCTTCATCACCTCAAAATCCGTAGGCTTCATCTTCCTCCTCTCAAGCTCCGCCTGCACCACCTTGGGAGGATCCAACACGTGCTCCAGCGCCTTCTGCCGTAGCGTACCCCAGTGGCAGCCAACGCTCCAGCTCGATCCGAGGGCCAGGTGGATCTGCACCGCGTCCTCAGGAGAGGCATGATGGTCCTTCATGAACTTGCGGGGCAGGTACGCGCCTATGGGGATCAGCGAGCAGTGGATCTTTCCCACCCTCCTCCTGATCTCTTCAAACACCTGCCGGCAAGTCTCAGCCTTAACAGCGCCCGGCACACGATCATACAGGGCAGTGCGCAGTGTCTCCGGCGAAGAAGAAAGTCGGGCCCCCGGCATCCCTATAAGCAACGTCAAAGGGGTCCCGGCCCGCCCGTGGGCACCCACCTGACGACCCAGCTGCACCATAAGGTCTTGCAAGCATCGAAGGGAGTGCGGGCGGACCAGTGCTGACAAGGCGTGCACGTGATCTGCAGCAACGAGCTTGAGAGGGCGAGCAGCCAAGGCTCGGAATCCTCTACCTCTACGTTGCTCTTGCCGAACTTGACAGACTGCCACCAGTCCATCTCCACAACGTTTGTGATCCCTTCCCCCAAGAACCACTCCTTCAGCCCTAGCCCGACGTACCACACGGGGCCGTTGCCGAGCTTCCTGACCTGGAGGAGATCCGGGTGAGCGAAGAGGATGGGCAGAGGTCACAGACCGTGTCAAGGTCAAGGTGGTCGTAGTGGCTGTGTGAGATCACGACGAAGTCGATCTTGGGGAGTTTTTCAACTCCGAAAGGAAGCTTCGCATACCGCCAGGGTCCCATGAAAGGCACGGGAGACGCGCGGTTGGAGAAGACTGCGAAAGGAGGTTGGCTGGACATCAAACGAGAAGAAAGGAGGGTGCAGGGGGAAGGGGGGAGACGGAAGGTGGAAGGCGGGGGGGTAGCAAGGAGCAGGGGGCAGGGGGTAGCAAGGAGCAGGGGGGAGCTACCAGGATCCGTGAGAAAGTTCAAGCCGCCTATTTGGACGAGGAAGGAGGAATGACCTGCAGGAGAAGAAGGATTGAGGAGGAGGAACCGGATCAAGAGCAAGGTGACCGATCCAAGTGAGCGTGATGGAGCTTGGCGGTGGAGCGCTGATCAAGTTCCAGTTGGTCTGACTGAGCGGGAGGTACTTGTCGAGCTCCTCCTGCGACGGGAGAGACGCTCTCTTGGTCTTCGACTCGTACATGAACTTGAGCACCTTCATGCAAGATTAGGTGAGAGGAGGAGAGAGGGGCGATGGTGACCTTGAAGGCTTTCCCTTTGAACATCTCGTGATCCATCCAAGGATTCACGAACTTTCCCTGGTTCTTCTTCGATGCAAAGTCATCTCCCAACGAAGCCTCCGAGTCCAGTTTGGTCACGACTGAGGTAGGGAGCCATGCGCCCCCGTCGAACTCATCCTGCAGCCTGCGGGTCTTGATTGGACGAGCCATCGCTACTACGCAGCTCCTGCTCTCAATCAGCTCGACAAGTTCATATCCCTCCTCTACCCGTGTCTTCCCCTCCTATGCTCATAGCTGCATCACCAACCCCACATCGTCTCCTTCTCTTTTGTTGTCAGTCTACTCCTCCTCTCTTACCTCTTTTCGCTCTCTGGCTCGGCTGCTGCAGTTGAGGCAAAGCAATTCAGTTGCTCAACTGCAGCTGAGTTTTTGTAAGACAACCTGTTCTACTTGTGAGAGACGAAAACAGACCTCCTCCTTCACATAATCTCAAGGTTATGCCTCCCTCACTCGCTCTCCCTCCCTCCCTCCCTCCCTCCCTCCCTCCCTCCCTCCCTCCCTCCCTCCCTCCCTCCCTCCCTCCCTCCCGCCTTGCGCATTTCCGCTCAAGTTACTGTGGTTTAAGTCCGTCTTTGTTGCACCGGCACAGTTCACTGAGCCGGGCCGGGGAACCCGGGCTGTGCCGCGCGGCCGTGCTTTCGAGTCGGCCAGAGTTTAGTAGTTTAGTACGGCGGCGCGGGGCCCGCCCGGGGCGAGTCCGGCGCGTCACCGTCTGGCCTGACTGCCCTTCTCTGTGACCCGTCTGCGTCATATCAGATCATGACCCCTCTTGGAGCTTTGAAAGCGGGTGTGACGGGGTGTAGACGTTTTCCATGCTGACGAGACTAACTCTTCTGAGCAGATACGCACACAGAGTTTCATGCGCTGAAACTAGACACAAGCACGTGTCCTTGCAAAAGTGTTTCTTCGTTGCAATTGCTTTCTCACTCGCACTCACACATATCGCTACTCCAAGGAAGAGACTCATCAACTCCCTTCCTGGATCAATGCAAGAAACTCTTCTGCTCTGGCATCTGAGACTTTCCAGCCTCCCGGCCAAACAGGGACAAGGTTCCTCTTCTGCATCGACACTTTGCTTCAGCGCGTGAGCTCACAAGGAAATTTGATCACGTCATGGACTTTGAGGATGGTCTCGAGCGCGCTGCGAGCCCTACCAGTAGATGGAGTCAGAAACAGAGGGAGCGAGAACCGTCGAGACAGCCAAGGCAAACGATTGAGGGAGGCCAGGAGAGGCGAGGCAAGCACAAGGATACAAGAAGAAACAAGGGTTCTGCCTTGCAACTCACAAGTTCAAGTCGCCGAATGAATCTTGGTCCCAATAGTGCTGTTGAGCGATGTGAAACAGGAGCTTGCAATCACGGTCAGTCAAGAAGCAAAGCGGAAGGAGGCAGACGAGGTCCCAGGACAACAGTGCTTCACCGCTCTGCTATGAGGAAGACTCGACAAGCAGGCTGTCGTCGTTGCAAGCGCCTTTTCAGGGGTCAAAGTCGTGTCGCTCACTATGCTTCTATAGTCCAAGACGGCCATGGCCAACTCGTGCAAGGCTGGCTCTGCCGTCAAGTCAGCAGACGGTTCGCGAGCGAGAGCAACACAAGTTGATCGGGGAGAAGAGTATCACTTGACATGAGGGTTTTGACTAGGTTGGGGCTCTTCTTGATCGCCAGGACAACTGGTCTGAGGCACTTTGCTGCTTCCTGAAGAGAAATCAAGACGGAGGGAGAAGGGCCACCAGACTGCTCCTCTCAGTCGTACCCCTCGCACCTCGCTGCCCGGCCTTGTCTATTGTTCCCACCCTCCTACTCTCTTCCATCGTCACACACCGCTGCTGCCTCTGCCTTTGTGCAGCTTTTCTGCTCCTCCCTTCCCCTTCTCCCTCACCACCACGACGCGCCTCTACTCAAGCATTGTCGCTAGCCTCGTTATTACCCTATAGCGCATCTGCTCCTTGAGGATCTCACTTTGGCCTCGGAGGCGAGCGATGCTGACTGTGAGGGAGTCAGCTGACAGGCTACACAGCGAGAGGAGGCCGACAACCAAACAGGAGGAGATGAGCCGAGATCTGTCCTTACCTTCATCGCTCAGCGACCAGTCTGCTGCATCATACATCTACATGTACAGACATGAGACTGGGTTTAACAGACGAGCAAATAAAAGAAGCGTTGCAGCGGATAATACTTGTACCTCGTCCAGAATCGCTTGTGCACTTTGGAGATCTTCTTCATGAAAGCATTTCCATGCTAACAGGATCTTGCTGTTGAACGAATATCAGCTATATACTCCTCCATCTCCACATTGGCATCCGCATCATCATCATCATCATCATCATCATCATCATCATCATCAGCAGCAGCAGCAGCAGCAGCAGCAGCAATGAAAACAGTAATGACAACAACAACAAAATCAGCCCACCAGCAGCAGTGACAACAACAGTAGCAGCAGCAGCATCAACAGCAACTATGCTTTCATCTCCATCATCCACAGTCTCCTCTCACCCTCGACTCGATCTTGAAAGGTATGGCTCGACAGACTCGATCTTGTCGATGCCCTCCTTCCACATGAAGGGATGTTTCCACATTTTCAAGTAGCCGAACGACGGACAGATGCTCGCTGAGGGGTACGGATCTAGCAGCTCCCAGTCTCGACACGCACTGGTGCAGAGAACGACTCCATGCAAAGCCTTGGCTTCATCGGAAGAGCAGATGCTTTTCATCTGCTTCTCCAACTCCATGAATGACACTTCGCCGATTTCCGTTCTCTGCCAGCAGACACTCAAGAGCAGCGGGTGCCTTCCGCGGTACCTCGCAGTTGATTTTGATCAGCAGACTCTTTGCCATGGCGGAGGTGGTGTCTAGGGAGACCACCTCCTCAGCCTCTGAGAAGAACTTCGAGAGGATCCTGGGATACTCAAAGTCCTCGTCTCCGATCTTGAAACTCGTCTTGATCATCTGCTGGCATTGCTCGTTGTCAAAGTTGAGATCCCATAACAAGGAAAGACGCTCATATCTGGCCGGGAATGATTTCTCATTTATCTGTATAGCCTGATGAGCAACAAAAGTCACAGGGTAATAACACCGGGAATATCGTCATCTCCAACAACAACAACAACGTCGTCGTCGTCGTCGTCGTCGTCGTCGTCGTCATCGTCATCGTCATCAATATCAACATCCACAACAACGTCGTCGTCGTCGTCGTCATCATCATCATCATCATCGTCATCATCGTCATCGTCGTCATCATCATCATCATCGTCATCATCACCAACAACAACATCAACAACAACAATAACGTCGTCGTCGTCATCATCATCATCATCAACATCAACAAAAACATCCACAACAACAACAACAGCAACATCAACATGCACAACCACAACAACAACATCCACAACAACAACAACAGCAAAAGCAACATCAACAGCAACAACATCCACAACAACATCAACAAGACAATCCTCTTCTCCCTTCGTATCCAGCTTCATCACACATTCAATGGTGATGAATGTGGCCAATATATTTAACCTACTTTTGAAAGCAATTTGAAGGCAGCCACGTAATCCTTTTCATCCTTCACAAGTTTGCGAGCACTCAGAACCAGGTTCTTTACTCCCATGACTTCGGATCTTGCGTCACTGTTTCCAAGCAAATCACTGCCATCGCCTCCTCCCTTCAGGGACCTGCACTGCAGCAAACCCAGCCCACGTGTCTTGATGTAGTGAGGAGACCAAATCTCACTGCAGCTCTTACACTTGCTGACCCCTTTGCATTCAAACAGCTGCTTCACCAGCAGCAGCGCACTGAAACAGCTATTCCTGAGCCTTCCCGCTCAGGTAACCCCGTCAACTCCCCACTCAATCGACTGATACCTGACAAACACCATGTGCAGACGGTTTGGAGCGAAAACACGTTCCAACAAAACACGGCACCTGTTGAGAGCCAGATCAAAAAGTCGACATTCCAAAGCAGACCCAAAGCACCACAGTCACACCGGATTGTCCTGGTCCTCCTGTTTGTCCTTCCTCTGCTCGTCGTTCTTCGTCCTCGTTCACTTTGAGGGAAATCTGTGGAGGCTATTTCCCCTCGGTAGGTTCGTCCGCGGCTCGCAGTTTTTTAATGCCGGTTCACAATTTTTTATGTGCAGTCTACAGTTTGTTTTCTGTGAGAACTATAAAGCTGACGGGCCATCAGTCCAAGTCTCGAAATCTTTGCGGGAGCTGAAACTGATTTGAAAATGAGACCGCAGCACCTTTTGTGCGCTGACACTGCATCTGCCGCAATCTTGGCTGTAGGGGGATGTAGGGGGGAAGAATTCCCCTCGGTAGGTTCGTCCGCGGCTCGCAGTTTTTTAATGCCGGTTCACAATTTTTTATGTGCAGTCTACAGTTCGAATATGATGACATGCATGAAATACTATGAGTCGAGTCGGATGCTCTCCAAGACGCGATTGAAACCTCGATCCTTTTCCTTGCAGTCGGACTGTCGCCCAAGAATACATCTTCGTTCCTCCACTCATCGGCGTGTCAAATAAGAGAAGCTCGCGCTTACAACTCCCTGACACGATTCAAGCATGCACAAGTGGCCATAACACTCTTTGCTCTCGTCGGACTCGCACGGATGAATGATGGGGCCTGCGCCACCAGAACAAGGAAATTGCGCATGCCGCGATCAAACCATGACCCCTCTTGGAGCTTTGAAAGCGGGTGTGACGGGGTGTAGACGTTTTCCATGCTGACGAGACTAACTCTTCTGAGCAATGGCTACTTCTCAGTCTCGTTTCATGCGCTGAAACTAGACACAAGCACGTGTCCTTGCAAAAGTGTTTCTTCGTTGCAATTGCTTTCTCACTCGCACTCACACATATCGCTACTCCAAGGAAGAGACTCATCAACTCCCTTCCTGGATCAATGCAAGAAACTCTTCTGCTCCGGCATCTGAGACTTTCCAGCCTCCTGGCCAAACAGGGACAAGGTTCCTCTTCTGCATCGACACTTTGCTTCAGCGCGTGAGCTCACAAGGAAATTTGATCACGTCATGGACTTTGAGGATGGTCTCGAGCGCGCTGCGAGCCCTACCAGTAGATGGAGTCAGAAACAGAGGGAGCGAGAACCGTCGAGACAGCCAAGGCAAACGATTGAAGGAGGCCAGGAGAGGCGAGGCAAGCACAAGGATACAAGAAGAAACAAGGGTTCTGCCTTGCAACTCACAAGTTCAAGTCGCCGAATGAATCTTGGTCCCAATAGTGCTGTTGAGCGATGTGAAACAGGAGCTTGCAATCACGGTCAGTCAAGAAGCAAAGCGGAAGGAGGCAGACGAGGTCCCAGGACAACAGTGCTTCACCGCTCTGCTATGAGGAAGACTCGACAAGCAGGCTGTCGTCGTTGCAAGCGCCTTTTCAGGGGTCAAAGTCGTGTCGCTCACTATGCTTCTATAGTCCAAGACGGCCATGGCCAACTCGTGCAAGGCTGGCTCTGCCGTCAAGTCAGCAGACGGTTCGCGAGCGAGAGCAACACAAGTTGATCGGGGAGAAGAGTATCACTTGACATGAGGGTTTTGACTAGATTGGGGCTCTTCTTGATCGCCAGGACAACTGGTCTGAGGCACTTTGCTGCTTCCTGAAGAGAAATCAAGACGGAGGGAGAAGGGCCACCAGACTGCTCCTCTCAGTCGTACCCCTCGCACCTCGCTGCCCGGCCTTGTCTGTTGTTCCCACCCTCCTACTCTCTTCCATCGTCACACACCGCTGCTGCCTCTGCCTTTGTGCAGCTTTTCTGCTCCTCCCTTCCCCTTCTCCCTCACCACCACGACGCGCCTCTACTCAAGCATTGTCGCTAGCCTCGTTATTACCCTATAGCGCATCTGCTCCTTGAGGATCTCACTTTGGCCTCGGAGGCGAGCGATGCTGACTGTGAGGGAGTCAGCTGACAGGCTACACAGCGAGAGGAGGCCGACAACCAAACAGGAGGAGATGAGCCGAGATCTGTCCTTACCTTCATCGCTCAGCGACCAGTCTGCTGCATCATACATCTACATGTACAGACATGAGACTGGGTTTAACAGACGAGCAAATAAAAGAAGCGTTGCAGCGGATAATACTTGTACCTCGTCCAGAATCGCTTGTGCACTTTGGAGATCTTCTTCATGAAAGCATTTCCATGCTAACAGGATCTTGCTGTTGAACGAATATCAGCTATATACTCCTCCATCTCCACATTGGCATCCGCATCATCATCATCATCATCATCATCATCATCAGCAGCAGCAGCAGCAAGCAGGCAGCATCAACATCCTCCTCTTCCTTCTCATCATCATCATCAGCAGCAGCAGCAGCAATGAAAACAGTAATGACAACAACAACAAAATCAGCACCACCAGCAGCAGCGACAACAACAGTAGCAGCAGCAGCATCAACAGCAACTATGCTTTCATCTCCATCATCCACAGTCTCCTCTCACCCTCGACTCGATCTTGAAAGGTATGGCTCGACAGACTCGATCTTGTCGATGCCCTCCTTCCACATGAAGGGATGTTTCCACATTTTCAAGTAGCCGAACGACGGACAGATGCTCGCTGAGGGGTACGGATCTAGCAGCTCCCAGTCTCGACACGCACTGGTGCAGAGAACGACTCCATGCAAAGCCTTGGCTTCATCGGAAGAGCAGATGCTTTTCATCTGCTTCTCCAACTCCATGAATGACACTTCGCCGATTTCCGTTCTCTGCCAGCACACACTCAAGAGCAGCGGGTGCCTTCCGCGGTACCTCGCAGTTGATTTTGATCAGCAGACTCTTTGCCATGGCGGAGGTGGTGTCTAGGGAGACCACCTCCTCAGCCTCTGAGAAGAACTTCGAGAGGATCCTGGGATACTCAAAGTCCTCGTCTCCGATCTTGAAACTCGTCTTGATCATCTGCTGGCATTGCTCGTTGTCAAAGTTGAGATCCCATAACAAGGAAAGACGCTCATATCTGGCCGGGAATGATTTCTCATTTATCTGTATAGCCTGATGAGCAACAAAAGTCACAGGATGATAACAACAATAACAACATCAACAACAACAACGTCGTCGTCGTCATCATCATCATCATCATCAACATCCACATCCACAACAACAACATCCACAACAACAACATCAACAACAACATCCACAACAACAACAGCAACAGCAAAAGCAACAACATCCACAACAACATCAACAAGACAATCCTCTTCTCCCTTCGCATCCAGCTTCATCACACATTCAATGGTGATGAATGTGGCCAATATATTTAACCTACTTTTGAAAGCAATTTGAAGGCAGCCACGTAATCCTTTTCATCCTTCACAAGTTTGCGAGCACTCAGAACCAGGTTCTTTACTCCCATGACTTCGGATCTTGCGTCACTGTTTCCAAGCAAATCACTGCCATCGCCTCCTCCCTTCAGGGACCTGCACTGCAGCAAACCCAGCCCACGTGTCTTGATGTAGTGAGGAGACCAAATCTCACTGCAGCTCTTACACTTGCTGACCCCTTTGCATTCAAACAGCTGCTTCACCAGCAGCAGCGCACTGAAACAGCTATTCCTGAGCCTTCCCGCTCAGGTAACCCCGTCAACTCCCCACTCGATCGAATGATACCTGACAAACACCATGTGCAGACGGTTTGGAGCGAAAACACGTTCCAACAAAACACGGCACCTGTTGAGAGCCAGATCAAAAAGTCGACATTCCAAAGCAGACCCAAAGCACCACAGTCACACCGGATTGTCCTGGTCCTCCTGTTTGTCCTTCCTCTGCTCGTCGTTCTTCGTCCTCGTTCACTTTGAGGGAAATCTGTGGAGGCTATTTCCCCTCGGTAGGTTCGTCCGCGGCTCGCAGTTTTTTAATGCCGGTTCACAATTTTTTATGTGCAGTCTACAGTTTGTTTTCTGTGAGAACTATAAAGCTGACGGGCCATCAGTCCAAGTCTCGAAATCTTTGCGGGAGCTGAAACTGATTTGAAAATGAGACCGCAGCACCTTTTGTGCGCTGACACTGCATCTGCCGCAATCTTGGCTGTAGGGGGATGTAGGGGGGAAGAATTCCCCTCGGTAGGTTCGTCCGCGGCTCGCAGTTTTTTAATGCCGGTTCACAATTTTTTATGTGCAGTCTACAGTTCGAATATGATGACATGCATGAAATACTATGAGTCGAGTCGGATGCTCTCCAAGACGCGATTGAAACCTCGATCCTTTTCCTTGCAGTCGGACTGTCGCCCAAGAATACATCTTCGTTCCTCCACTCATCGGCGTGTCAAATAAGAGAAGCTCGCGCTTACAACTCCCTGACACGATTCAAGCATGCACAAGTGGCCATAACACTCTTTGCTCTCGTCGGACTCGCACGGATGAATGATGGGGCCTGCGCCACCAGAACAAGGAAATTGCGCATGCCGCGATCAAACCATGACCCCTCTTGGAGCTTTGAAAGCGGGTGTGACGGGGTGTAGACGTTTTCCATGCTGACGAGACTAACTCTTCTGAGCAATGGCTACTTCTCAGTCTCGTTTCATGCGCTGAAACTAGACACAAGCACGTGTCCTTGCAAAAGTGTTTCTTCGTTGCAATTGCTTTCTCACTCGCACTCACACATATCGCTACTCCAAGGAAGAGACTCATCAACTCCCTTCCTGGATCAATGCAAGAAACTCTTCTGCTCCGGCATCTGAGACTTTCCAGCCTCCTGGCCAAACAGGGACAAGGTTCCTCTTCTGCATCGACACTTTGCTTCAGCGCGTGAGCTCACAAGGAAATTTGATCACGTCATGGACTTTGAGGATGGTCTCGAGCGCGCTGCGAGCCCTACCAGTAGATGGAGTCAGAAACAGAGGGAGCGAGAACCGTCGAGACAGCCAAGGCAAACGATTGAAGGAGGCCAGGAGAGGCGAGGCAAGCACAAGGATACAAGAAGAAACAAGGGTTCTGCCTTGCAACTCACAAGTTCAAGTCGCCGAATGAATCTTGGTCCCAATAGTGCTGTTGAGCGATGTGAAACAGGAGCTTGCAATCACGGTCAGTCAAGAAGCAAAGCGGAAGGAGGCAGACGAGGTCCCAGGACAACAGTGCTTCACCGCTCTGCTATGAGGAAGACTCGACAAGCAGGCTGTCGTCGTTGCAAGCGCCTTTTCAGGGGTCAAAGTCGTGTCGCTCACTATGCTTCTATAGTCCAAGACGGCCATGGCCAACTCGTGCAAGGCTGGCTCTGCCGTCAAGTCAGCAGACGGTTCGCGAGCGAGAGCAACACAAGTTGATCGGGGAGAAGAGTATCACTTGACATGAGGGTTTTGACTAGGTTGGGGCTCTTCTTGATCGCCAGGACAACTGGTCTGAGGCACTTTGCTGCTTCCTGAAGAGAAATCAAGACGGAGGGAGAAGGGCCACCAGACTGCTCCTCTCAGTCGTACCCCTCGCACCTCGCTGCCCGGCCTTGTCTGTTGTTCCCACCCTCCTACTCTCTTCCATCGTCACACACCGCTGCTGCCTCTGCCTTTGTGCAGCTTTTCTGCTCCTCCCTTCCCCTTCTCCCTCACCACCACGACGCGCCTCTACTCAAGCATTGTCGCTAGCCTCGTTATTACCCTATAGCGCATCTGCTCCTTGAGGATCTCACTTTGGCCTCGGAGGCGAGCGATGCTGACTGTGAGGGAGTCAGCTGACAGGCTACACAGCGAGAGGAGGCCGACAACCAAACAGGAGGAGATGAGCCGAGATCTGTCCTTACCTTCATCGCTCAGCGACCAGTCTGCTGCATCATACATCTACATGTACAGACATGAGACTGGGTTTAACAGACGAGCAAATAAAAGAAGCGTTGCAGCGGATAATACTTGTACCTCGTCCAGAATCGCTTGTGCACTTTGGAGATCTTCTTCATGAAAGCATTTCCATGCTAACAGGATCTTGCTGTTGAACGAATATCAGCTATATACTCCTCCATCTCCACATTGGCATCCGCATCATCATCATCATCATCATCATCATCATCAGCAGCAGCAGCAGCAAGCAGGCAGCATCAACATCCTCCTCTTCCTTCTCATCATCATCATCAGCAGCAGCAGCAGCAATGAAAACAGTAATGACAACAACAACAAAATCAGCACCACCAGCAGCAGCGACAACAACAGTAGCAGCAGCAGCATCAACAGCAACTATGCTTTCATCTCCATCATCCACAGTCTCCTCTCACCCTCGACTCGATCTTGAAAGGTATGGCTCGACAGACTCGATCTTGTCGATGCCCTCCTTCCACATGAAGGGATGTTTCCACATTTTCAAGTAGCCGAACGACGGACAGATGCTCGCTGAGGGGTACGGATCTAGCAGCTCCCAGTCTCGACACGCACTGGTGCAGAGAACGACTCCATGCAAAGCCTTGGCTTCATCGGAAGAGCAGATGCTTTTCATCTGCTTCTCCAACTCCATGAATGACACTTCGCCGATTTCCGTTCTCTGCCAGCACACACTCAAGAGCAGCGGGTGCCTTCCGCGGTACCTCGCAGTTGATTTTGATCAGCAGACTCTTTGCCATGGCGGAGGTGGTGTCTAGGGAGACCACCTCCTCAGCCTCTGAGAAGAACTTCGAGAGGATCCTGGGATACTCAAAGTCCTCGTCTCCGATCTTGAAACTCGTCTTGATCATCTGCTGGCATTGCTCGTTGTCAAAGTTGAGATCCCATAACAAGGAAAGACGCTCATATCTGGCCGGGAATGATTTCTCATTTATCTGTATAGCCTGATGAGCAACAAAAGTCACAGGATGATAACAACAATAACAACATCAACAACAACAACGTCGTCGTCGTCGTCATCATCATCATCATCATCAACATCCACATCCACAACAACAACATCCACAACAACAACATCAACAACAACATCCACAACAACAACAGCAACAGCAAAAGCAACAACATCCACAACAACATCAACAAGACAATCCTCTTCTCCCTTCGTATCCAGCTTCATCACACATTCAATGGTGATGAATGTGGCCAATATATTTAACCTACTTTTGAAAGCAATTTGAAGGCAGCCACGTAATCCTTTTCATCCTTCACAAGTTTGCGAGCACTCAGAACCAGGTTCTTTACTCCCATGACTTCGGATCTTGCGTCACTGTTTCCAAGCAAATCACTGCCATCGCCTCCTCCCTTCAGGGACCTGCACTGCAGCAAACCCAGCCCACGTGTCTTGATGTAGTGAGGAGACCAAATCTCACTGCAGCTCTTACACTTGCTGACCCCTTTGCATTCAAACAGCTGCTTCACCAGCAGCAGCGCACTGAAACAGCTATTCCTGAGCCTTCCCGCTCAGGTAACCCCGTCAACTCCCCACTCGATCGAATGATACCTGACAAACACCATGTGCAGACGGTTTGGAGCGAAAACACGTTCCAACAAAACACGGCACCTGTTGAGAGCCAGATCAAAAAGTCGACATTCCAAAGCAGACCCAAAGCACCACAGTCACACCGGATTGTCCTGGGCCTCCTGTTTGTCCTTCCTCTGCTCGTCGTTCTTCGTCCTCGTTCACTTTGAGGGAAATCTGTGGAGGCTATTTCCCCTCGGTAGGTTCGTCCGCGGCTCGCAGTTTTTTAATGCCGGTTCACAATTTTTTATGTGCAGTCTACAGTTTGTTTTCTGTGAGAACTATAAAGCTGACGGGCCATCAGTCCAAGTCTCGAAATCTTTGCGGGAGCTGAAACTGATTTGAAAATGAGACCGCAGCACCTTTTGTGCGCTGACACTGCATCTGCCGCAATCTTGGCTGTAGGGGGATGTAGGGGGGAAGAATTCCCCTCGGTAGGTTCGTCCGCGGCTCGCAATTTTTTAATGCCGTTTCACAATTTAACTATAAAGCTGACGGGGGCGGGGGGCGGGCACTGTGTCCGTGACGCTGATCGGATGGCGTGACGCCCGGCCAGTACTTGTGTGACTGAGGCTTTCGGAGGGGCCTCTACGGGGCACTGATGGAGTTGACGCGACGGTGCCAGTGATTGGTGACCACTGCCGCCGGGTGTCTGAGTCCGCCGGAGCCCGCGGCCCGGGCCTCGGATCCGGGCCGGCGCCGGCGCCGGCACTGTTGGGCCCGACGGTTGCCAGTTGGACCTGGCCCAGTCACTCAGGGCCAACCCGGGCCCCCCGCAGTGCCGCAGTGCCGCCCGCTGCGGCCCGGGCCGCGGGGGGCCCTGGGGCCCGCCGCCGGCTCAGGGTCCGCCAGGTCCGCCGACCCTCAGGCTGGCACTGCCGCTGAATGCGGCGGCGGCCCGGCGCGGCCGGGGCTCCGGCCCGATTGCCCGAGTCCGGCACTAGCCTCGGCTGGGTGAAGTTCACGGTACGAAAGAGTCCGATCCTGGGGTTCCGATTATACATAATTATGCATAATATAATATATAATCGATAGCATTAGGCGTCACATGACTTCATTATGATCAAATTATATACAAATCTATATAAGTGTCCACGTGATGGGAGGGTGGGGTTTTGATGACCAAAGGAGGGTAGGGGGTGCTGCGGGTTCTGAAAATGTTATGAAGGAGGGGTATCTTGAGACTATCCTGGAGGGGTCAGTGTTTAGCACATGAGGTGCATTTGCTGAGGGTGGGGTAGTCCGAGGTATGTCAGACCAGAACCATGAGCGGGTACCCCCACCGAGATACAGATGGTTACCGAGGACCCCTCAATTATCCCTTATCCACCCCTCTTATGTACATTGAAACCGGTCTGCTGGAATGGATTACCCCTCGTTTTCACCTTCCCACCCCACCCCGCCATAGTTCCTTCCCGCCTGTCAATGCATCCGCCGCGGTTGCCGCTGCTTGAGGGCAGAGGAAGAAGGGGAGGGCAGTGGAGGAGGAGAGAGGAATGCGAGGAGAAGGATGATGGGAAATGATGGAGATCGATCGGAAGACGAAGAAGATGTATGAAAAGACTCAATGACGGTTCCAGATGAACGAAGGAGACGGGTTGGAATTCTAACCGTTCCAAGGGGCTTGCGGCAGACCACTGATCCCTTATCAAAGGAGAACAAGCTGCACCAGCAGCAACAAGTCGTGAGCCAAATGAAAATAGACGGTTCTCTTCTGAAGGAGGAGCTCCTAGAGGAACCTAGTACCGCTAGCTTCAGCCAAAGCAGAAATCAAATGGAACTGGCAAGGCCATTTGGCTGTTTGTGTTGATTGGGGGGATACGAAGAGACGAGGATGAAAGAAAATTTGAAGAGACACTAGAATGCAATATGAGTGCCCCAATGAGACCATTGGGAGAGTTCGATCCTCCAGGTGTATGCATGTAAGGATAGTAGCCAAGGACAAATGTGGTGATGATGGAGAAGCTCTCGCGCGTTTGAAGACTTGACCTTGCATGCTTGGAGTAGGACAATGTATTTATGATTCAAAGGTTCCACTGATGGACTAAGTGCTGAGCTCAAAAGCAGAAGTTTTTTTTGGTTAAGTCTTGCGAATTAGCAAGTCTGGGAATGAACCAGGAACATAATCACATCAAAGCATACACCTTTAAGGGAGGAGACAAACCATTTTATTATGTATACTCTAGACTGTCGATGGGCAATGATGCCATACTGTCTTGTACGAGTGGCCCTGTGATTCATGGTAGTGACCAACGGGTTTGGATCGTAGTTTCACGACATTCGAAGCGGCTTCAAAATAGGATTTCCTGACATTTTATCACGTAGGAGAATCTTCTTAAACCAATTGGACAACTTTGGAGTGCTGTGATATGCTTGAATAGCTTGTGACCCTTAGGATCAGAAATGACGAGCAGCTGGTGAGAGCACTGAATTTCTTGGAAGGTTTGTCTGACCCTTTTGTCACCAGCAGGTGAAATTCAAATGAGTTGGATCGTATTTTTCCTCTCTGACTGAGAAGGCAACTAGCTTTGGAGAAGGTAAGCACATTGTCACTTTGTTTGATTCAGCGAGAGCTCTTGACTGTCAACGTCAGAATGTCGGGCAAGGACGATGTTGATGAGACTTTCTCGATAGTAGCCGGGGCATCGTCTCGGCACCCAGAGCAAGCAGGTGGTCTCTTCTCACTCGTTGTGCTCTATAGTGAAAGCCATGTTGCATCAGCCGCTGATAGGAGCTCCGAGAACGTTACGGGGTCGGAAGCAAACCAAGCAACAAGGGACCAATTTGTACAGAAGTTGTTTAAGATTGATCCAAAGGATTATCAGAATTTTTCTACCGAAAAGAAGATAAGATTGGTACGTGAAATGATATGATTGTTTGACTTCTGATGTTTGGTTATCTCTCAAGGCATGGCTGGCTGGCTCCATTGCTTACATCCAAACTCTTCAAGAAGAGCAAGGAGGCAGCATCGATGGACGGATGATGCCCTGCTCACTTCCTTTCTTCACACGACCAGGAGCAGAACCGGTTCTGCACGCAGGGGAGGGAATGGCTCGTGAAGGGGAAGCGGGAGCAAGGGGGGCGGAAAGAGGGGCTGAAGAACATTCGGAGAAGGAGAAAGATTGAACTTCGCACAGTGCAGAACTTCATGCTTGGGTTATTTTCATCCTGCAAAGTCTTGCGGCGCAAGATCAGAACAGGCGCCTCCAGTCTGCTTCCGTCCCGGACGTCTGCAAGCCTGTCTTCCTCGCCTGCACTCCACCTGAGTAACACACGAGCTCTTGGTCTGGATCAGTACGAGCTTGCATGTGCAGGACGGTCTTTCCTCCTTCGCCCTCGTCTGATCCCGCTGACTCTCAGGGATTGAAATGCTGGCAGCTAAGGCTTGCGCTAAGCTTGTAATTTAAACCGCCTGGAGGCTCCGCGTTTGATGATTGAGTTTTAATATTCAAATCCGTCATAAAAAATTGAAAAAAATAATCCTCCGACTTCATCGCACATTGAAATACATTCGTACAAGAGTTGCTGCTTTGCCCCTTTCTTCCTGCTGCTGCCTCCTCCTTCCATGCCCACAGCCTTTCTAGCAACCTGCTCTCCCTACCCTGCTGTCCTTCATTCCCCATCTGCCATTCAGTATTTTCTCCGCCCGAAAGCGTCGTACTGCTTATTTCCCCCTCCTCCCTGTCGCAGCGTCAGCCGAGAAGGAGCAGCAGCAAGAGACTCGCCTGGTTCCGCGAGAGGAAGTTATGACCGAACCCCATGATCCCTGTCCTCTCGTCAGCCTCTACCTGCACGAATGACTCTCCCTACCTGCTCCCGCGGCACTCGGGACTCCAAACTCCGCATTACGAAGCGCCCCAGGCATGGCATTCAAGCCTGCTCCTGCTCCTGCCCCTGCTCCTGCCCCTGCCCCTGCGCTGCCCGTCTTACTGATGAGAGGCAGACCACCTCTGTTGCTGGCCAGAGCCCCCGATGGGTTCGCGAGGTTCAGCCCGAGTCGCGAGTTGACGTTCTTGCCGACGTTTGACGAGACGTTGGGCATCAACCCGAAGTCACTGGAGCTCAAGTTACGAGAGGAGGAGAAAGGCGCAGGCCGAGCACCTTCGATGCACGTGCATGCCAGCCGGGTTGTTGAACAGCCCCTTGGAGGCTCCAACTCCGAAACCATCATTCTTGGACAGGCTCGAGATCCCGTTCTGATCTTGTCTCGAAGGCATGGAGCCAAAGACGTGATCTTGTTTCGGCGCAATAGAGCCGAAGGCGCTGTCCACTTTAGAGATACCGAAGCCCAAGTTGTCGAGAGGTTTGCTTCCGAAGTGACTTTTCGCTTCTCCCACTCCCATCTCTGGCATGCCGAAATGCATCTTCGCAATGCTCGAGTCCGCGCCTGCGCAATCAATTCAACCTCGTCGTAAGATCCATGAGCTATCATCTTTGCTAGTTGAACGAGGACGAGGCCGAAGGAGAGGAGATAGAAAAGGATCGGAGGGGAGGGGGAGAGGGAAGAATAGAGCGAGAGGACAGAGATATCTGGTTTCCCGCACCTTCAGCTGGGTTGATCCCGGGCATGTAGCGCGCGGATCGAATCTTCGACCCTGTCTGATTGAGACTCCCTGATGACGCCAAATCTCCCGACATGTCGGACGAGACGCCAGAGCTCGTTCCATTCTTGACAGACGCCGAGTCCTTGTCCTTGGTCCTCTTGGACTCGTAGTTCCCATACGTGTTCGCTCCTTGCCCACCCACTCGCACCTGCAAACTTCATCATACGCCATCACCTCTCCACCTTCATCTCATCACATCCGTATGCGGAGCTAGATTCGAATGAATCCCTCTACTCGTCGCTGGCTCAGTCGCCTGCTCCGCAACATTGGGCGTCCTGGCACTGACTTGCTCTGTGGAGGAGGTCTGTTGGCTGGACATGTTCTTCATGGAGAGGGTCAGCCGGGAGAAAGGAGCGAGCGAGCAGCAGGCACCTGGAAGTAGGCATACTGCAGACACGCAGTCGCGTTCGGTCGCTTCGAGGGATCCCACAGGAGAGTGTCTCTGATGAGGTCGATGCCTTCCTTGGAAGCCGTGGGCATGAGACGAGCGAAGTCAACCGACACGTACTGCACAGAGACATCTTGCCATCAGCAACGGAGAGCAGGACATGAAACGCGTCACCTGCGGGAACTTGAATCTCATACTCGCTGCAAGCTTCAGCCCATCGGCGTAGGTTTCCTTGGAAGGGGTTCCAAGTACCGAGCAGATCTTGTTGATGGTGTCTGTTTCGCTGCTGCCAGGAAACAAGGGTCGGAGCATGTAGAGCTCTGCGAGGACAGCGATGAGTCGCTCGTTAGCCCCCTCTCGAGATTCACCCGTCATAATGCAGCCCATGGCCCACAGGTCAACAGGGTAGTTGTATGAAGTTGACTGCAAGAGAACCTCTGGCGCTCGGTACCAGCGAGTGGAAACATACTCCGTGAAGGGAGGACGCGAGCGAATCTCTCTTGCCAACCCAAAGTCACAAATCTTTGCAAGGTCGCCCGTGATCATGATGTTTTCCGGTTTCATGTCACGATGGAAGAAGCCTTGTTTATGCATAAACGCGAGTCCCTGGCACATAGAGTGAGGTGGAGGGCTCAATGAAAACAAGGCAGATACCTGAAAGACTTGATACGAATAGTTTCTCACTGTTGATTCTGGGAAAGGCTTTGTACGATCCTGTATCATGTCAGAACCACCATCAATCGCATTCTAACCTCGCAAATCCCACCTTCATACATTCATACCTGAACCAAAATAAAACAAAAAGAATGAAGAAGTCAGTTCCATTTTGCAAGACAAGAACCTCCATCACATCAAAGAATTCGTAACATCGATCACATACATGTTCTTCTCCATGAATTCAAAGATAAGGTGCAGATAGTCGTTCTCTCGGATAACTTCTTTGAGCTTGATGATGTTAGGATGCCTCAGCTTTCGCAGCGACTGACCAGAAGAAACCATCAATCGCCGTCATTGAGATGAAAGACTTCAAAGCACACCTTCACTTCTCTGAGAGACATGCATTCATCCCACGAATAATACTTCCGCTTCATCCTTTTGATAGCCATCTGGGCAATCAGACATCACACTTTCAGATAGCCAACATCGCTCAGAGTTGACCTTCTCTCCTGTCTGCTTGTTGGTTGCAAGAATCACTTCGCCATACGTTCCGTCTCCCACCCGCTTCAAGATGGTGTAGCGATCCACTGCGAACGAAGTTAAGGGACAACAACGGCAAATGAGGTACGACTAGTATCTAGGGAGCATGCTGGTGTTAAAGCGAACGCTTCTGCACTTACTTGCTGAAAAGACGATGGAACAAGTGGCCAAGAAGCCACTGGAAAACCTTCCGCGACGCTCAAGACGAGAACCTGAGGGGCAACGTATCAATGGTACATGATGGGTCGTCGTGAAATGCAGCATCAAACAACGATCAACCACACAGCCAAACAACCGGAGATCAGCTCGCATCTCATTTGAAAACGTACACATCCTTCTTGCTCAATACTGTATCGTCATATCTAACTGCTGACTCTCCATTCTCGTTTCGCTTTTCCTTTAACGTTACCAACTAGCAACCTGTGAGTTGCTGTTTGGGTCGCATCGTCGCTGGTTCACTCAGGCGATCTCACTTGATCTCGTCTCATCTTGTCTGATCTCATAGTCTCTTGTTCACCATCCTCTTCCTCTTCGTTTCTTCCCGTCCTCTGCCTCCCCTCCATTGCCTTCTCCACAGGGCCTTGCATTGAAAACTTTCGAGCCCTCCAATACCCGGTCGATACCCCTCCTTCAACGTGCCCTACCCCTTTCTCAAATTTATCACCCCCTATAGACAGTCAAACTTAACCTTATCTCCTATGCAATCCTTGCCAAGAATACCACCCCCACCTATTGAAAAAAATAACCCCACCCACTCTTACAACCTTCGTACCCCTTGGAAACCCAAAGTACCCTCCCATCAGACCACAACTACCCCTAGTACCCTTTAAAAATAAAAGTGTTGTAAAGTAAAAATGCAGGTCATATTGTGCTTTTGAAAGGACTGCTGATGAATCTTAAAATAATTTAAAGTGTTGATATTTCAATGAAATATTTGAAATATTTAGTTAATATTTGAAAATTACAGAATATACAACAAATATTAAAAGTATATTTCCGAATCATATTATCTTTACTGTAACAGAACAATATTCAACAAAAAAGGGATTTATTCCCCTCAATTTTCAATATGTGATGGAAAATATCCAAAGTTTAGGGCACTTCAAAACTTTTCCTTAAAATATTTTAATTTTTTTTGATTTATTAAATTTCAACGCATCGGTTTCAGTTACGATCGTTACCAATATCAGTCAATCACCGTTACAAAACTGCAACACATATATATTTGTAACGTGCTTGTTGCAATGCATTCTATGGTGGGAGAGCAAAACTAGGGGCGATGGGTTACACGATCAAACATCTCCAGTGAAGCATGCGTTAAGGTGAAAAATATCAAACGACATGGCTGATGAAGACACCTGTCATGACAAGAGACGCTGGAGAAAGAATAGTCCAGGGGCAAGCATTTGGAAAAATGTTGTTCGTGGAATTGCCGCAGGAGCTCAGAACATGGTCTAGGCCATGGTAAGCCAGTCTCTCTCTGACTTGAGTTGGGCATCGAGCCTATCCTTCTCTGCCGCAAGCTGCTGATTCAATCTTTGCGCACTGGAAGACAATCAAACCCGTGGTACAACTTCGAAACTGAAAACCTGTCCTGACGCAATTTTTCCAGTTGAGCTTCTAATCTTGCCTGACCATGGTAAAGTTATCACACGCGAAGTAAAGATTCGACATGGGGTCTTCCAGTCAGTCTCGAGGCACCTTGCTATCTGCACGTGATTTTTCAATCTTTTCTTGCAGTCTTCTCTTGGACTCGGCTCTCAGTTTCTCAAGCTCCTCGTCCTGGTGAGTCACGGGAGGGTCAGGTTGGAGGTAACTTGCATCAATAGCTCACGAGCTTTTGATTGTGCGACTGCCGGATGTCAGAGAGTGAGCGCTCCAACTTCGCGTCAAACTCCGCTCGAAGAACCCTGATCTGCAGCTCCAACTGTTTGCCCCACGTCATTGTTGTAGCATACAAGTACGGATTGAGCTCACACGCGACGACCCTTCTGCTCGGCTCCTTTCCACCTCTTCCTGCAACGCACGGTGATGTGAAGAATAGGTCAATGAGACATGATCAGGAACAACCTGTAGACGGTTGGAGTATTGGTTTCTTGATTGTTGAACCTTCTCTTCCAACTTTCTCGCTTCCATCTCAGCAGTCCTCCTTCAAAACCTCTCTCAGCACGACCAGCCAAAAGCTCTCGCCCTCGATGCATCACCGAATGGAACTCTTCAAGTCATTCTCATCCCCCAGGCTGTTTTGCCGTTGGGAGTACAGGCTCTGTATCTGCAGGAGGATCTCGCTCGTTTCTCCTCCCCTCACATACTTCACTTGGATATCTTTGTCCTGCACACCATGATGAGCAAGAACCGGTTTGTCAGCAGCATGTCACGGCGAGCATGCTGTTGCAACTTACGGTACTCACAGCACAGATAGAAGCGAGCTCTGCTGGTCCGCAACCCTGTAGAGGCCTCCTGTTGATCTCCAAGATTTCATCTCCTGCTCTTATCTGCCACGTAAAAGACTCATTTAGACGCATTCAGCAGCTTTTCCAAGGGATTGGACCTGCCCCGAACGGTCTGCAAGACCCCCAGGAACAACGTTGTCCACAACATAGTTTCCGCTGCAGCAAGCAACGAACCACATCGTGAGCGACAGGGATCAGTCATATCATCACATTGTGTTACGTTTTCGGGCTCAATCGCAAGAGAAGACCGATACTCTTCTTATCCTGCATCTGGAACAAGAAAAAAAGGATCAGAGTGTCAATTTCCCCGAGGACTCGTTGTCTTTTGACAATCGAAGGGAACGACGTAAACTGATAACAAGGGATGATTTTATTGGGCATTTCACGCATTTCATAGACTGAGCTGCATGATTGCCACAAAACTGATCGATCCTCAAGCAGAGATAGGCTCTATCGCTCTCTGCCTTTCTATTCGCTCACGCGTTTCCCACCGAATGCTCAACGTTGGCCTCGTCTTGCTTCAAACGCTTCTCACTCACTCACCCTCTTCCTCTCTTCATCCACTCATCCTCAGCACTGCTCTCCTTGTTCGTCTCTGTCGTCCATCCCTGCCGCTCCTCTCGCACGACCCACACCTTCCACCTTGCCGCCATTGCTGGTCAACCCCCCCCACGACCCCCCACCCCTCCCTTTCCCTTGGATTTAGTGAGAACAATCCCGCCACCGCCCTGTGCTCCGACAATGGCGCAAGTACCTTTGGCGGAGATCGACGAGGACGGGAGTAAGAAGGCGGAGGCTGGTGGATGTGATGGGAGAGCAGAGACTCTCTCGTGTTGGCTACTCGAGCTGCATGAAGAAGGTTGAGATGGGGATGGAGAGCGTGCAGAGAACGCGATGAGATCAGGATCAGGAAGAGCAGCAGGATCAGTGGGGGGGGAGGTAAGGATCAGGATGAGGATGAGGATGAGGACGGAGATGAGGGTTCGCTGCACGAGATAGCTTCAACTTGATTCATAACTTTCAAATCCATGGGAATGATCGGGTTTGTTGTAGCCTTCAAGTATGTTTTGATCGACTGCAAGAATCAGGATCAGTCGTTCACAATCGTTCGCGGGTATGCATGGGTAGCCCTACCGGCCGCTTGTTCCCATTGTGTGAGTCTTCTTGGCAGGCTGAATACCATGACGACATCTATCAGGACGTGCACGCAAAGCTGAAGCAATCTGTTAGTTATGCTTGTGACGTCACCCGCTCGGGCTCCTGACCTCCATGGCAGGGGAAAATCACAGAATCCGAGTGTGTTGGGGGTGAGCAGAGGATGATAGGGATGGTGGGAGAAGATCATGGCCGATGACAATGGCGATGCCAGGAGGAAGAATACAACATGACGCGTCTTCGAAGCATCTCAAGGTCTACGGTTACTCGCAAGGTGAGGAGGAACGAGCGGAGCAGGTCGGTGATGAAGATCTTCAGCATATGGACGCGCAGATCATGCCAAGTCAGTGGAGCTTCTTCGAGCAAGGTGATCCCTGGGATGTTGTTGATGCTCGTCCGACCTCCTGCATTGTCGTCAGATATCCCGACTATGAAATTACTTGGAGTAATGATGGGTACTGAGAACATGGACGTGGAGGATGTCGCTACTCGACCTACAAACACACTTTTGATTAAAGCTCATGCTATTGTCTATTGGAAGGAGAGATGTGTGTAACATCACAGCTCTCACTGACGATCTTCACTTCTTCATCGCCCCTCAGACTGGTTGAGTTCAAGGAAAGTATCATAATCATTGCGTTGCTTTCTAAGGAGGGGAGTAGAGAGGAGAGGAGAGGAGGAGTACCATAAGAGAAGCGAGCCATACAACATGCATGATACAACATACACGTGACAAACGCCATTTCTCTCTCTCTCTATGCGAACGTTGGTCTGTGGGGTAAAAAAACGTCAAAGTCAGAAATCAGGGCCATGGAAAGGAGCAAGAGCGTGGAAGAGGATGGAGAGGGTGAAGAGGAGAGTAGCGATGGGGATGGAAGAGAGAGAGAGGACATGGGGAGGGAGGAGGCGTTGATGGAGAGAGAGAACATGGGGAGGGAGGAGGCGTTGATGGAGAGAGAGGTCGACATGCTCCAAGATGGGGAGGAAGCAGGGGAAACGTCCGGCATGGAGTGGGTGCGAAGCGAACAAGGAAATGCCTTTGTGCATCGGATGCGGGTGACGAAGTACTTGGATGTGACTAGTAGATGATTCACAATGCTACAGGAGGAGATGCTGCGGGAGAGGATGCTGCTTGAGGGCTGCGCATCGAGGGTCCAACAAGTTTGGAGGAGGAGGAGGATGAGGAGGGAACATTCCAGAATGTTCTGGCTGGTCCATGACGATGGAGGAAAGAAAATGTGTGACCTGATAGTCGATCAAGTCTTAGAGCAAGTCACTGACGAGGTTTCATTGTTGATGCATCACGCCGAGAGGTCAGGGAGAACTTGTGATATGATCGCTCAATCACGACATGGCATACTACAGGCTGCAGGGGGCTGTCAGGACGCGTCTCAGTCAGCTCAAGTTCCCTTGGTGGAGAGCTGAGAGACAGAGGGAGGAGCTTGCAGCTGTTGTGAGCAAGATGAACAACAGGCAGCGGTTTCGACGAGAGTACCTCTGTCTTGTCAAGCAACTCCCTGCTATCATCGCCCGCGAGGTGGAAGGACGAGTTCGAAAACGATTTGAGATGATTCAGGTGATGTGGGAAGGAGGAGTGCTTGCTGATTGAGACGATGGCTCCTGTTTGCAGAAACCTTCCTCGAAATGCAAGACTGAGCACTTGTCTGCTCGTGAGATGATGGTCGTTCACTCTGGAGCAATCAGATTGGAAGCAAGTAAGGGGATCACTTGCGGTGATGATGTTGGGGAACAAAACATGTTGAACGATGATGTCATGATGATATGTAGAGACGTAATGACATGTAAGATGATGTCTTCTCCAGGTGTTCGAAGATGGAAGGCTCAGATTGACATGTTCTCAGCGTTTGCAGCAGCCCACGACATTATCTCCTCGTTTTTGCTGCAAGAGAGTCGTAGACTTGCTGGAAGGCTGAGACAGACTCCCGAGCAGGTCGCTGCCGATCTGATCAGTGAGAGTGCGGCCCGAGCAGTCAGGACAAGAGAGCATGAAGAGAAGAGGAGAGCGATTCTGTGCCTTCAATCGCACCTCGTCGTTGTGAACCTGCTCCTCCGATCGCTGTCAATGCATGTCAAGTCATCAGCGAAACACAGTCATGGCTACATGTTCTCTCTATCAAGATCCTCTGCAACGACACTTCAAGCACATGTCAGGAGCAGCTATCACCACACGACATTCTCACACTTCAAACACGTCATGTAAGTTGCGTGCGAACAAAAGTGATGACAAGATCTGACCAGCGCGCGTAGGGTGAGATGTCAAGCAATGAGGAAAGAAAACGTTTACGCTAAGAAGGCAAGCAGCGTCAGTGTCTTGTCAGTTCGCATCTCAACATGTCTTGTGAGACTGCGATGGCTCGTCTTGTCCAAGCTCTTTGACTTGATCGCAAGTCTAGCATCCAGATGTTCAGAAACGGTTGATATTGAGTTTTTCTCTCTCCTGCAAGGCAACGAGTTCCCATCAACAACTGTTCTTCCGTCAGAAGTGCTTCATGTGCTAGCAGCCTTTCAAAGGGCATCTACTTTGTTGACATGTTTGAGTCAGCCGAGCTCCGAGAGGTTGGAGAAGGTCGAAGAAAGTCTTCTGGGTCATACAAAGTTCCTGCAACTGCTCACCGCTGAATTCATGTGGAGTTTGCAACAAGACAACGAGCTGGCGGGGATCTTGCAACATCTCAGCAGACATCTCATCTCTCCTAACGAGCTCGTTGTTCACATGTCAGATGTTTTCATCTCCTCTTTCCTTTCTAGGCTGCTCTTCTCACGGCGAGAAACGTTGTCCGATCCATCCCGATGGCATTTTCTCCTCGTGTTGCGGTCACATTTATCTCGCGGTCCCAGGGAGGTCGATCGTTTCCTGTCAAACTTGACGCAGGTCAGGCAGGTCTTTGATCGCCTCGTTGAAGCTGTTGTTTCTTGCTCCTGTCATAACACGATCGGCACACATGGCGTGAAATCGTCAACCATTCTCCTCGACATTCTCTTGAATCTGCTTCTGCACTCCAGGACAACCTTGGTGATATCACGGGATCACTTTCTTCGCCTGCTGTCGTTGTGTGTTGAGCTCGACAAGGAGCAATTCAGCGAATCTTTGAAACTCGTCTTGCGCATCCTCACAGTCTGCCTGCGGAAATCTCCCGACCTGTCGACGTTGGTGGAGCAGGAGAAGGACGCGCTGACCTCCTTGGCGAGGATCTTGAAGAGCGAAAATGCAAGCGGAGCCACTCCCAACTCGCCCATGAGAGAAGAGGAGGAGCTCTCGTGCCAAGCATGTTCCTGCCATCCCTGCTCCTTGGAGGCGATGCAGCTGCTAGAAGCTCTTCACATCTTCAATCGCGTCATAGCGCAAGTCTCGCAGGACCATGTTGACATCGTGAAGAGTTTGACAAGAAAAATGACCTGCCCCTCCTTTCAGTGTCGATCTGCTGCCATCAGAGTCCTCGCAGCCCTCGTGCGATGCTACGGGGCTGTCAAGCGACTCGTGCAGAAATCGCCGAGACTGCTGCGTTCGGTCTTGAATGCTCTTGCAAACACGAACAATGAAGAGCACATGGAGAAGATCGGCAAGTTTGTTGTTTACAGTTTCTCCGACTTCCCTTCATTCATCTGCTCGTCGTACAAGAGAGAGCTGGAAGAGTACAAGAACGTCTCCTCCCACGACATGCCCGTCAAAGATCAGAGCTCTCACCGCCACCTCCACTCCATGCATGACGCTCATTCGAACAGATCGCCTCGAAGATCCAGCATCAGAGATCGGTCGGTCAAGGAAGGGAAGGCAGGAACAGTCGAGGCTGGACCTGACGATGGAGCTAGAGATGGAGGCGGTACTAGGCCGTCGACTGCCTTCTCTGCCTGGACCAAAAGCTCGGGAGAGGAAGAGGAGGAAGAGGAGATTCTATCTCTTATGCTGAAGAAACCTCAGAAGCTTGATCCTCTCTCCTTCTCGGTCAAAGTTGAGCTCAACAACAGCACAAGGATCCGAGCAGAAGCAGGAGGCGGGGAGGGAAGAGAAGAAGGAAACGAGGGAGGAGGAGGAGATCTCGTGCATGGTCTGTCGCTGAGAGAGGTCCTGTCGCTGAGGTATCAGGTCTTGAGCATGTTTCAACTTCACGTCCCCGGCGCCATGAGGCAACTCTTAAAGATCTTGAGGGAGAAACTCAAGAGAAAGTCAGCCGGGTACAGACAAGTGAAGGAGACCTACTGGATGTTGGAGGCTGCGGTGACGCTGGTGAAGGGCATGGCGGCGTTTGTGGTCTCAGACGTTCACCATCGAGACGATCTCTTCGGCCCCAACTGGTACGACGTGGAGGAGGTGGAGGGGTTGGTGGAGGCAGGAGCACAGCTCGAGGAGGAGGCGAGGAGGCGGGTGGGAACATGGACAGCGTATGAGAGAGGGAGGATGGTCGTCGTAGAGAGAGTTAGCTGCTCTTCCATATTCCTTGCCATCTTTCTGCTGCATGTCGACGACAAGTTCGGTCGTTGGATGGTAAGGGCGCAGCTCAACAACCTCAGCGACTTGTTGCATCGAGGAGACGATGAGATGAGGTTCCTTGCAGTGAGATGCTTGCACGAGATCACGAAGAGGTACCGGACAAGCATACAGCCTTCCTACATCTCTGCAGTCGTCATGCAAGCTGCCAAGTTTGTGACAGACGACACGAGGGTTGAACGATCTCTGACGATGTTCAGAGACAGCATTAGAGTGAGCAGTGTCATGTTTGAGATCGTCATGTTGTAACCAACATGTCACAGAGGGACGAAGGATGTTCTCATAACCTGAAGAAGATCAATCTCAGTGAGCTCATCGTCAGGATCAAGATCGACGAGCTGGAAGAAACCTTGTCAGCCGCGCACTCGTGCGGTGACGTGAAGATCCAAACAATCAAACTCCTTCAGAACCTCTTCTGCTCGGTTGCCCTCTTCCTCCTCCTCCTGTCCTGTCCTGTCCTGTCCTCTCTCCTCCTCTCCTCTCCTCTCCTCTCCTCTCCTTTTCACACTGTCTTTGCAGAGACCAAGGTTGCACCTCCCTTGGACTGCTCTCCTCGAAGATCTCTGCCTCCTCCTCCGTTCCAACAACTCCCTCCTCGCTGTGGAGACTTCAAACGCGCTGGCCGCCATGTTAGCATGCGACTTTGCAGGCAAGACAATGTCACGAGGGGCCCGCTGTCTCACTCTCCTGCTCTTGTAGACGTTCAAGTCACAGCCTCCTGTGCCAAGGGGATGCCGCAGGTAGAGCGATGGGCCGTTAGCAACGTCATGTGCCAGCTACGAGGATCTGATCAACACACGGACACCTGCCGATCGATGGAGCCTGTCTGGTTGCAGAACAATCAACTTCACCAGCAAGTGAACGACTACAAGGCTGCCGTTATGCTCGATCTGGTTCATGCTGGTTCAAGTAACCAAGTGACCATTGGGAGCGTCCTGCTACCCGTCCACCAGCTGCATGCTGCGGTGGCGAGGCGAAAGACGACGGGGTTTGTGGTGACGGGGAGGAGAGGCAAAACAGCAGGAGGGGATTACATTGCCGTGTCCTCCAAGACCGAAGTCGTGATGGAGAGATGGTTCGAGATCGACAAGGAAGGGAACCAGGTCAGCGGCTACTTCGGACGCTTCACAGGGTTCGGACAGGGCGGGGAGATAGTGGGGATGAAGAAATGTCAGAGTGAGATCTTTCTCAAGATCAAGTACCTTCTACACATTCAGGTACAAAGAAGAGAATTTCTTTTGCGGGAGTGAGGGAGGAAGGTGAATTCGTGTCAGGTTGCAGATGTTGTTGAGCGGAGCCTGTGGATTGCAATCTTTCTTGTGGAGGGTTTTCTGCTGTCGGACGAGAGTGGCAGGAGATTGGCAGGGTCAAAGCTGCTCACTAGCGCGCTGAAACATTCAGGTGAACATGCATGAAGTGAGGAGGAAAGTCTGTACAGCAGAGGATGTGTAGTAGAAGATGAAAGATTTCAATGTTGAAGGTGTGAGATGTCAACATGATGAAGACCTCAACACGATGAGGATGAAACGGCTGAGAGATGTGAAAGTCATTTAACTATTGATCACCAGATGAGTTTTGTTCTGTCCTCGCACACCTACCGTCGTTCTCCCTCGCAGTTGCCCTCCTCCTCAGGAGTGAAAACTTCCAAGAAAGGAAATGCACGAAAGAAAACTTGACTAGGATGCCTGACGTTGTCAAACAGGCTCAACGCACTTCACATGCTGCTGGAAGTTACCAACAGGAACGATCTCTATCAGCTTCTTGCCTTCTTCTTTGAACCGAATCTCGTGCAAGAGCTTTCCAGGTCCCCTCCAACCTTGTTCTTCCTCTCCTTACCCGCCTGATCGTCGCAGCCTCCTCGCTCTTCTCTCTCAGCATGTCAGCAGCAACAAGTTTGCGTCCTCCCATGAGCTCCAGGATCTCAGCGTGAAGGGCGAGAACCTACTCGCGGCGCTGAAGCTGGCATGGAAGAAGGTGCCGATGGCGACAAAGATGCGATTCAATGTCGACACTTGCAAGACACCAGATGCTCTCTTGTATGCTCCTGATGGTCTGCGGGGTAAGATGAGAGCTGGGGAGGAAGAGAATGGTAGTGATGGAGGGTCAAGAGGAGCGATGGATGAGTTAGATGTTGAGCAGTTGCACATGTCATGGAGATTTTGCTCTTTCGGGCAGTTGACGGTGACAACTTGGACAGATGCATGGTTGTTTGCAAACGCAATCGTTGGCGACATCTTTGATGAGAAGGAGCAAGAAGAGATAAATCCCAGTGAGCTCAATATCTCTACTCCTCTCTCCTCTCTCCTCTCGTCCACCCTCCCCATCGCTCCCTCTCCTCCCTGCTTCACATTTTCTCCCTCACTTGCTCTCCTTACGACGTGCCCTGACCTTCTTGCAGATCGCAGCAGCCATCTGCTCCTATCCCTCGACCTCGGTCGCGTGGGAACGAGCAAGGAGGAGCAGGAGGAGGAGGGGGCGTCTGCTCTGTCTCCTGCTAGCTCGGTAGGGGTGATAGAGGAGGAGGCGACCGTGACTTCACCACAGGCTTACCTTGTCTCCGATGTGTCACGAGCTTCGACTATCAAGGAGCTGCTGGCCCGCGTCAAAGGAGCAGGAGGAGCAGGAGCAGGAGGGCTCCTCACAGGGCGGAAGAAACTTCGGAAGAAGGTCACAAAGACAAAGAAGACGATGGCGAAGACGATTCAGTTCTCAGAAACTCCTTCCTCCCCCTCGCGCTTCAAGACCTCCAAACCCAAGACTGCCGTCTGACAACCGCGGAAACAAGAGGACCAGGGAAGAGATGGAGGAGACGAATGGAGAGGAGACAGCAGCAGCAGCAGCAGCAGCAGCAGGAGCAGCAGCAGCAGCAACAACATGCTACAGACACTGCGTGAGAGCATGTCAAAGGGGTAGAGACGGAGGGACGAAATGGAAGAACAGGGGCGAACTTATTGCAAAGAGTCACAAGTGTACACATAGAAAATCAGTGCAAGGTGGAAATGGTCAAGGGGAGGAAAGCAGAGGAAAGGAGAAAAAAAGAGCTAAAAGTAGAATTGACACCTATACAACTAAATGTACATGTATTTAGAAATCACAGTCCATCTCCATCCTCCCCCTCCGTCCCCTCCCACCTTCTTACTTCTTGTCTCCTATCGCCTTCTACTACATCAGCTTCCACACTCCTCCTCCTCCTCCTCCTGTCATCCCCACCCCTTGTTCCTCTTCTTCCTCTTCTTATCTTGTCCATCCGTCTTCTACTCGCACAGGAATCGGCTCAGGCACGAGATACTCCGGTCCAATCGACAGAGCTCCAAGTCCTCCTGCTTCCAACTTCAGTAACTGTCAAGAAAAGGGGGGAGGATGCAGGAATGGGGTGGGAAGGAGAGGTGAAGAGCTAAGGAAGGACAAGGATGAAGGGAAGAAACTAGGATCAGAGAGAGGCAGGAGTAGAGGGAGGGCAGAGGGGAGGAGGAGGAGGAGGAGGAGGAGGAGGAGGAGGAGGAGCAGCAGCAGCAGCAGCAGAGGTGAAAAGTAGCGTCTGACCGCCGCGCCAGTCATCCGGGTCGACGCAGAAGCGAGCGATAATGAAGTCAACGCATCTCAAAGGAAAGTTGTATCCTCCTGGATTGCAGTCGTAGTCCTCCTGATAAGACTCGATCGTCATATCACGACCCTCTCGCCCCTCCCCACCTCTTGCTGCTCCTCCCTCTCCTCCCTCTCGTATCTTCCTCCTCCTCGTCTGTCGTTCATTATCCTTTCCGTCCCTTCTGTCCTCTCTCTTCTGCCCCCCCCCCCGTCTCCTTCCTCCTCTTCCTCCTCTTCCTGTCTCACCTTGCACTGCTTCGGTAGCTTCTTCACATTCTCCTTCCCTAGAATCGCTCCGAGCAGCTGCGCTCCCACCCCCTCGTCGTTGTCTCCGCCGGGGGGTCCAGGAAGAGTCTTGGTAGACTCCAGGTAGAGGGTAGGCTGGAGGGCAGCGGGTGGGTGGTAGAAGCTCGGGACCCCCCTAACAAACTCCGGGGTCCTCCTTACGGGTAGAAGTTCCCGCAAACTTTCAAGAAACGGATAATTGGTCGGCGAGGTAACCTGGAAATAACATGGGAAATCAATCCTTGACCTGATTCAGCAATTTCCCATCTTCAGCATTCAGTCCTCTCCCTCGCGCCCCATTAATCATTAGGTTGCTCCATACCAACTCCCAACTCCCTCCTCCCTCCTCCCTCCCCCCTCTTGCGCCTCACTTTACCTCGATCTCATGAAGTAAAATCTCAGCCTTTGCGTTCAAGGTATAGGAACTGATGCCTTCAACCACCAAGGGAGATTTTCGGCCTACAACCACCCTCAGCTTCTGACCCCAACGCTCCTCCTCCACCAACCTGTGTGCCCTCCAACCATTCTCTTCTGCACCTCGAAGAACTCCTTGGAGCTGATCACGCCATCCCCGTTCGAGTCCACCCAACGGAAGATGTCCTTGAGCGTCGACATCCCCGAGAACCTCGGGAAGAAGTCGATCCTCCAGCGGATCTTGATCTTGTTCTTGCACAGCCCGTACTTGTCCATCAACACCGCAGACACTTCGCATCTTGAGAAGAGAACGTTGGCAAGGCTGGGAACGATGGAGAAGAAGGCTCGGTAAGCTCCGATCCCTTCGATGCTGAACCCCTGTGTATCCCGCAGGGTGATGGACGGGTGGAAAATGCTGAAATCACAGGACTCGGTGAAGATGGTGGGGTAGTCCGACAGCAAGGTGTCAACTGCCTTCCCCCTGTTCAGCTCGAACTCCTGCTTCAGCTTGTCCTCTGCTCCTCCAGACAGCGAAAGACCAAAAGTTTGAACGCGGTCTTGCTCAACAACCCGTTCGGCAAGGCTGCTGACGGAGTTCAGACCGTGGTTCACGTTCCTTAGCCTCTTGCTTGCAAGTATGTTCACATTCACAAGTTTTACGTTCTTTGATGCCAGGGATGCGGGCGGAAGGGCGATGAACCCTGCGACGGGGACATCGATGAAGAGTAGAAGAAGGCTGATGACGTGGGCATGAAGAGTCGATAGTTTGCGCAGCATCAAACGTTTATATCTGTACCTGATAGTCAGCAGCCGAACGATGCAGCAAGCATGTAATCTTGTCCCTACAGTCTCCTTGTAGTCATTCTCGCTGTATCTTCCCACTAATCTTTCATCGTCCCACTGTGGCCTTCTGACTAGTTTTGCACGTGTCAATAGGAAAATCCGATCTACTCGTTTTCATTCCACATTCGGTCTACTGTGCATACTTCTCTGCCTACATTACAAAGTTATTCCCTATCTTCAAGGCTTCACTTCTTCTGAGTCGAATTTTATCTTCTAGCTGTGAACAAGACTTCTTTTCTCTCATTTTGTCTCATCGATTGCTCCTTCTAAATCTTCATGCTTGCTTCTTCTATCATCTTTCTCTTCTTCTTTCAACTCTTTCATTTGAAATCTCCTGGGCCTCCTTTCTGCTATCTCCTTCTGCTCCTCCCTCGTCCTCTTGTCATGGTTTTCTACATTTTTTGCGCGCTAGATATAAAGGGGCCAAAAAAGAAAATACCCCCTGAGATCCCTCGACCCCTCTCATATGGACCCCTTTCTTTGTAGCAAAATTGCTTCATAATTCCATGGGTGGGTGTTCACTTGTGGGGTGGGTGGTAAGGAAGGGACCTTGTGATGTGTAAAAGGAAGGATGAACTAAAAAAAACATTTGGATCATTTGAATTCAATTTCAATATGATTTTCGTGTTATCTTCAACATAGACAAAAATATTCAAATTTGAGTGAGAAACTTTGATTTCTTTGGAACCGCAAGAGAGCAGTGAAAATGCTGAGAAAGCAGTAGAGCAGGAGGAGCGGGAGGAGCGGGAGGAAAAGGAGGAGGATCGATATCCAAAATTTCCGTCTTGGAGTTGAAAATGAAATGAATGGACATGTTTAGAATTGTTCACGTTCATAAAGTTTGAGAAAATCCAAGGGTTGAGAGCATGAGAAAAAGCAAAAGAGAGTCGAAGATGAAAGGATTAGCGTTTGGTCGTTTTCTTCTCAAAGACTAACTCGTCTGGTCTGCTTAGACAGCATGCCCAAGTTCAGATATGAAGCCGGCGAAGGAGTCTTTTACAAAGTCGATGACTTTTCCGGCGATGCGGATATCTTCTTTCTGACGTGATCAAATTTGCTAAGATGACTTTTATTATTAACCCTGATTGCAGGCATATCCACAACGATCACCTGGGAGGACTTCATGACAGTTGGTGTAGAGGAAGAATTTGCTGCTCGAAGCAAACACTTTCCCTGCTGAAAACTAAGTTCAAAGGCCTAAGCAGTTCAAATTTCGAGATCGTGGAGATGAATCGATCACACATCATACGCATCAACTCCAAAGTCGCCTTATCCATTGTCGCCATCAACGCCAACCACACGCCTGGAAGCGTCATGTTTCATGTATCTGGAGGTTTTGGCAACCGCCTGCACTCGGGGGATTTCAGATACGACCCTAAGATTCACACCACCGAGAACTTCCCGTGCTTGGGGCGAGTGGACGAACTGTACCTTGACACAACGCTGTTTCATCCCTCCTGGTCTTTTTCTCTGACCAAGGAGCAATCGTGTGAAATCATCGTGAACATCATCAGGGACTTTGGATTGGATCGGGAGATACACCTGGTCCTGGATTACTTCGGCCAAGAAAGTATTATCAAAGCGATCTACAAGGCATTTGAGGAAAAGATCTTCTTGAACCTTGATGCCAATCTCAATGCTCAGACTCGACATGTGTGGACAGCATGGTCGCGGTCCAGTCACCTGAAGCACGCTTTAACCACAAGCAAGGATTGCTCTACTAGATTTCATGCCTGCTCGACTCGTCGGCCAAGACCAAACTCCAACCAGGTCACATCGAATGAAGAAGAGAATTGCACAGTCTATATGGTCAAGAAGACTTTCTGCATGCAGCAAAACCAGAAATTTCCTATCATTATTCGGCCTTCTACGTTAGCTTTTTGCCGTACAGACTGTGAACAAGAAAATGATGAATTTTTGAAGAATGGCCACATAGTACGTGTATGCTTCGAAGATGGAAGACTGGACCATAATGGTGAGTTCTCTCGAATATCTGACTACTTGAATTGTCTGATTTCTCTGTCTAGGAATTTTCAGAGTTTTCTACTCTATGCATGCAACGCATTCGGAGCTGTGCAGCTTCTATGACGTCACGGGGAAACCAGCACAAGTGTACCAGGCGATGCCTGGCCAGGCGCCGGAGAGAATAGCGAATGAGAAGCTCGAGGATTCCTTGGAGATGTCAAAGTACTCTCATGGCTTCAACCCGAGGCTGCGGACAAGCAGCGACGGGACCAACTTTCTTTACGGAGTGATCGATTTTGACAAAGAGAGCGTGAAAAAGATGCTCCAGCGGACCGAGAATCTTTACCGTGACTGGTTTGCGCGCACCTTCGTGCCCTCGGAGTTGACGTCAGTTGCCAAGGACCAGGCGCCAAGCAAGAAAGGAGCAGCAGCTGGAGCAAAAGCAATCCCTCATGACGACCCGAGGCCAGTTCGCTTCATTTCCCTCAAGGAGGCAGGCAGGCAGTATGCAAGACTCAAGTACCACGATCTCACCGAGCTTGATCAGTTCGAGAAGGAAAATGCTGTGAACCGATGACCAGTCACTGTTCTGCCACTCACTGTATATAGCCTAATGATTACTTCGAATGTAGATTATCTGCTATGTCAATTTTCTTTCATGTTATTGAAACCTCAGTTGCCGCCTGCCCTGTTTCGGTCAAACCATGTCAAGGTTGAAGGAACCACTAGGCCCGTCAAGTTGTGGCGGCACTGCGGGCCGGGGCGGGCCCCGAGCCGCCCGTCCTGCTCGCGGGCAACACCGCGCCACTAAACAAAATTCACACAGCGAGCCAGACAGCGAGCATGGGGGAGGCTGCGGCGGCGCTTGCGGGGAAGCATGCAGGAGGGGACCTGGCAGATGCAGGGCTGGAATGGCTGAGAAGAGAGAGCAGTCGGATGGAAGATGAGTTACTGAATGACTTCGAGAAGCTGTCAAGGCTGAGGTCAGCAGGAGCCCTTGATGTTCTTAGCTTGCTGAGTTACCCCAGGATCGAGCTCAAGAGGACTACACTGCTCAGAGCGCAGCTGGACAAGGCCATCGCTTCTCTGGAGGTGAGATCTTGGTCTTTGATGACCTCTCTGGTTACGAAAGCGCATCAGGCACAGGATCAAGCCATCACAAATGAATTGAGTACAAGAGGAACGCCCAATGCTTTCGCGGGTGTACATGCTAGTAAAGCAGATGCCCACAAGTCAAGTCAAACAACGCCCAACAACGCAGAGCAGAAGAATGACAGCAGCTCCTCCACCGCCAGCACCGAGACAACCAAAGAGACATGCCCTGCTGGCCCATCCACCCAGAGAGGCACAGCCGTCACCACTATCCCAGTACCTTCAGTGCAACCAATGGCGGAGAGGACAGACGGATCGTCAGAGAATGACAGGTTAAAGGATAACGTATCTACGAGTGATCGAGATGCGGAGAATAAATCTGAAGCTGCAACGGCTGAGGCGTCTACCAGGAACAACATTCTTGGATCTGATCAGCCAAAACCTCTAGCGAATGACCAGAAATCCGAAACTGCCGCTGGAACAGGAACAAATGACAACAAATCTAACGAGGAAACAAACAGGTATTGTGTGATGAATGTCTTGATTGTGAATCCGTTGCTGACATCTTATTGCTTCCCAAGCGAGGTGGTTGCAGAAGTCAAGAATCCAGCTCAACCTCCTGCACATCGGGAGCCCTCGAGCAATCAGGACCTGTCGGATATTCCGATTGTGCGGATGTTCTTTAGTTGAAAGACCGACTCTAACTCCTTCTGTCAGATTCTGTTTGCTGCACAACAGACGGGGGACATCAGTGAGAAAGTTGACGTTCGACCAGTGGACAAATATTTCGAAGCTATGGCAAGTACCATAGCACTTCAATACGCGAATACAAGGCCTAGAAACAAATTGAAAGTCAAGCCCATTCTGCTGCGGAACCTTCAGAAGAAGTTCGAAGAATTGTGGAAAGATTTAAACTTCAAGACACTTGGGTACCTTCTATCGACGAATGAAGAACAGATCATGACGTAACGTGGCAGATTTTCTTCGTTTAAAGAATTCTGTGAAGCAGCGCAGCGGGCTGGCGTCGTGCAGTTTGAAAACGAGGGCGCAAACCCATTCATCACCCCAGGAAGGTCAATCTCAGAGGACATCTCCGACTCCAGGAAAGAAGTTCTCTGGAAGCCAATCGCTTACGATGCTCGGATGCGATTCTCGGCCAAGGCACCTGCGGACACAGACGCTGTACACTTTCAGCTCAAGGTACGTCACGATGCTCTTGATTGCTGTGCTGCCGTGACATTTCTGACCTCCCGACAGGCGATATCTGAGCTTCCATTTCACGAGGACGTTCAACGACCGAAAAAACCGATGAGGTGAGAAAGAAATCCTGCCCTTGGTCTCCTCACCTCGGACAACCCAGGGGGGGCAGCGGGATGCACTTCGTCCTCCCAGCAAGGAACTTGAGGCCTGGAACACACTGGCTGAGGCTGAGGATGGGGATTTCAGACGCCACTGTCAAGGATCATCGGCGATGGGGAGCATGGAGCGAGCCCTTTGCCATTGCCGTCTCCAGTGATGGGACCATCCAAGAGGTCAAGGGGCGGCAGGAGCCGGTTGCACCAGCCAAGACGGCTCTGCAGGTCGGGGAAGTAGCTGAGATAAGGCGAGCTGGCGAGAACGGCCCCAGGAAAGCTGCGAGATCTACTTCTACGAGGGAGGTGGATGAGCTGAATCTCACAGCGCCGCCGGCGAAGAGGTGGGAGAGAGCTGAAAGTTCCGTTCGCTTCTCACGCTTCTTGATGTCGCAGGACCCGGTCGCAAGTGAATGCGTCCAAAACGAGCCTGAGCGGCGCCATGAAGTAGCTTCTTTTTGTAAATGATCAAACTCCGATGTCGCCACCGTATTTTAGCACGGTTTCAGTGTGTCCGCAACTAATCAGAACAGCGCGGCCGGGCCGATGCCGGCCCACCGTCGCGGCACTGCACGGGGTTCGAGCCTCGGAGTGCACTGCAGGCCACGGCCGGAACTTGACTCCAAGGCGGCCCGGGCCCGGCGGGATCCGATCACTGAACTACGAGGCCGCGGGGGCGGGGAGGCACCACGGTTTCGCTCAGCTGAAGGGGATGCGATGTTTGTGTAACAGAAAAATTCGGGCGTAACTGACAATGCTGGTTGAGGCGCAGAGGAAGGGTTTAGTGGGGCGAGCAGGAAGGGGGAGGATGATGGGCAGAGACATGGGCGAAGACGAAGAGAGGAATGTAGAGAGGAAGAGATCGCGAGAGGTAGGCGGAGCATGCAGATCAGGGCAGGGGCAGGGAAAGAAGAGAGAATCGTCAAAAACAAGGAATGCTGGCGGGGAAAGTCAGCGAGAGAGAAAGAGAGAGATTCTTATGCACAGAGGAAGCAACCTACAAGGCTGCTGTCTCTCGAGGCAGAGAGACGAGATTGTTGAACATGTTGACATGTGAAATGGATGCGTCGCCACCGCTCCGAAGGTCATCACAGTCGGCGTGATTTGACTGGTTTCTTGCTCAGATGGGGAATAATGCTGGCAAGACCGTCAAGTCAGCAGTAGGAAAAGCTCAAACAGTAGTGGAGGGAGGAATCCACGGCCTCTCGGCCTGCATGTCCAAGGATACGGGAGATATATCCGACATCAAGAAGTAAACATGGATTTCTCCGTGATCTTTCATTTCATGTCTTGCTATCCCTTGCTCGAGATTTTATGTTTGCCTTTCACGAGCTGACTTGTATCGTGCAGAGAAACTCCTGTCACGATCGGCTTTCACGGCCCTGACATTCACTTCGACGACCTGAGGGTTTCCGGCAGCGGCGTTGCGCTCGCGTCAGAGTCAATATCACAGGTTCGTTCACTATGAGCGGAAGAAAGGAACTTCGACTGAGGGCCATGCAGGATAAAGCATACTTCGAGGTCAAGATCGGTACAGCAAAGGAAATGCCCTCTTGCATACTCTGATGTTGCCGGTAGCGAAAGCGGAAGGCCGATGGGGTGTCGGCGTTTGTAAGCAGAGCGTTCACTGTGAGTTGATGGGGAAGAGCTGAGAGACCAATGTTTTGTCGCTTCATGACTGTTTTCTCTCCTCCTTCCCTCCTCTCCTTGTCTTTGCCTGTTCCTCTCCCTCTCTTGCCCGCGAGCTATCACCCTCATCGATCCGATGAACTCGTGCGATGCCTGCTGCTTGCTTCCTTGCTCACTTGGTTTTCCAGCTTCGGACGAGCTGAACGTGGAAGGAGAAGGATGGTGTCTGAGCTCTGGTACCCTCGTTGCTTCTTGCCACCTGCTCCTCACATGCTCCTGCTCCTGCTCAGTGCAACTTGAATACGGTGAAGGAGACGTCATCGGAGTCACCTATGACCAGAGCATATTCCCCACTGCTTTGCGATTTTACCATAATGGTGAGTCGCGGGCATCGTTAGAGGAAGGAAGATGCGTTTGTCAGAGATGTTTCTTGTTAGCCCCTGAATGTCATGCAGGTGAAGTTTTAGAGGAGCTAACAATCACTAGCATTCGGGGAGAGGTGACAACAGCTCTCGTCTGCCAGTCTCTATCCCATGAGCAATGTCTTCAGGTCTTCCCGGCGGTACATGTCACAGACGGCGCAGTGGTGGACTGCGAGTTCGATGGGGAGAACGGGTTTGCGTGAGTTGGCGAGGTGAGGGATGGTCGACTTGTGTTTGAAGCTCTTCCGCAGTTATCCTCCTCCTGCGGGATTCACTGGGGTTGTGAGCATGAGAAGCGTGATGTAGATCGGAACAAGCATCATGGTTTTCCTTTTCTTCAGAGGCGATCAGCCTTTTTTGTATTATTTGAATAGCTTTCGGAGAAACACGTTTTCTGGAGTTTGCACAACAGAATAAAACACACAGTCACTGGTATCTCGTCCCCTCCTTCTCCTACCCTCCCTTCTCGTCAGGTATCTCGTCCCCTCCTTCTCCTACCCTCCCTTCTCGTCAGGTGTCTCGTCCCCTCCTTCTCCTACCCTTCCTTCTCGTCAGGTATCTCGTCCCATCCTTCTCCTACCCTCCCTTCTCGTCAGGTATCTCGTCCCCTCCTTCTCCTACCCTCCCTTCTCGTCAGGTGTCTCGTCCCCTCCTTCTCCTACCCTCCCTTCTCGTCAGGTATCTCGTCCCCTCCTTCTCCTACCCTTCCTTCTCGTCAGGTATCTCGTCCCCTCCTTCTCCTACCCTCCCTTCTCGTCAGGTGTCTCGTCCCCTCCTTCTCCTACCCTCCCTTCTCGTCAGGTATCTCGTCCCCTCCTTCTCCTACCCTCCCTTCTCGTCAGGTATCTCGTCCCCTCCTTCTCCTACCCTCCCTTCTCGTCAACTTGCTCCCTCATACTCGCTCGGTCTGTTTGACTCTCCCTTCCTTTTCCCTTTCTCTCTTCCTTTTGCGTTTTCCTCCTTTTCCTCCCCAATCTCCTCTCCCTCACTCTTCCTCTCCCTCCCCTCCTTGCCTCCCTTCACCATCCCCTCCCTCCCCTCCCCCTCTCCATCTCCCTCCCCCTCCCCCTCCCCCTCTCCATCCCCACCTCGTTGCGACTCGAGGCATCGGGGATTTTTCAACGGTTTTTCATTCGTCATGGGACGGGAAAATTCGTAGCAGCGAGCGGGCAAGGGCGAGGAGGCTGAATGGCAGCAAGGGAGGGATTGGTGATGGGGGAGGACAGTTGGTAGGGAAGAGAGGGGGGGTAGGAGCAGAGGACAGGAAGGCGGGAACTGGAGGAAGGACTAGAGAAGGGGATAGAGGAGGAGCGATAGGAGAGGATAGAGGAGCGGGGAGCTAGTCCGAGGATGAGCTAGAGGACGGAGGTAAAGCTGTGCCTAAGATGATGCCGCAGACTTGTGAGAATTTCTCGATGGAGAGTCAAGACGTCACGCTGAGCTCTGAGGACATGGAGCTCAGCACCAGCGAGGAGGAGGACCCCTCCATTGCGCTCTCGTGCACCCCTGACATGCACTTGCTGGCCCAGAAGGCTGCAGCATTGTCTACTCCAAAGAAGAAACTTTCGATGGAGGAAGTTGTTCAGAGGTGCTGGATGTGCTCGCAGCCGATCCCTCCCGTCTCAGACAAGTTTGGCAGGCTGGGTGTGGAGAGCGTGAGGCTGTACAGGCAGCGCAAGGAGGAGAGACGGGCAGCGGCGAATGAAAACTTCCAGCGCATGACGAGCAGGCAGATTCCGATGTCGCCCTACTCACGACAAGTCGTAGCCGAGCGAGAGAAGCTGGGAGAGACCATGTTTGACCGGACTGAGAGGATGATGCAGCGACGTCGGCAGCTGGAGCAGGTGCGCCATGAGTAGATTGTCGTCTCCCTTACATGATGGTGAAGGCATGCAAGGAGAAGGAAGAGGAAGAGATCAAGAAGTTGCAGAAGCCGCCGCAGATGTGTCCGCAATCACGGAAGATAGTGAGCAAGATGTCAAGGCTCGGAGTTGACATGATCGATCGATCCAACAAGTTGCTCGAGAAGAGGAGAAATGCGATCGAGGTGACAACATCCAGCGTGACGTGTGCCCACCCTGACCGACATTTCGGTGCTGTTTGCAGGAAGGAAGAGGCAGGAAGGACATGGAGCTGCGTGAGATGCAGAATCGGCAGAAGATCAGCCCTGGTTCAAAGAAGCTGGTAGAAGGATCGACCCGAGCGAGCAAGACTACAAGACCGTCCATAATGTCTCATCGGTTCATTGTGAGCGCCAATCTCCCACCGCATCCTTTAGCTGCTGAGCTATCTACTACAGAATTCCTCGTTGGATGACTCTCTCAGGAGATCAGCGAGCAGCAACAGCACGTCAAGTCGGAGAGCTGAAGAGGATCGAAAAAGGAGCAGTCTTCCTGAAGCACAGTCCAAGTATGAACCGTGCTTCCAGTCTAGCTTGTGTAGAGGGTGTGATATCAGGGGGAAGGGGGTTGACCGCTCTGCAGGGAAGTCAGCATGGCGGCTCAGAGGAGTGTGGAGTTTTTACCTGAGGACATGAAGGAGTTCGAGAGGTTCTTGGAACCTCCCTGTCTTGTCCATGTCAACAGTTGTCCTAGGTTGCAGTGGGAGAACGCGAAGATGAAGTCAAAGATCAAGAAGTACCGCAAACAGTGAGACAAGAACTCAAAGAGGAGATGGAGCTCACTCGCACGTGCTCCATAGGCTACAAGCGGCGCAGAAGGGAGCGGAGGGGAATACGCCCGTGCAGCTGCTCATCAGCCATTCGAACATGGTGCAAGAGCACCCGATCTCAAGGAGGACGATCGAGGCGATGGGCGGAGCTCTGATCAAAGAATCGTTTGTGAGTATCGACCATGCTGCTGTCCTTCTCTCGTTCGCACTCGCCTCGCCCCCCCCCTGCCTTTTCCTCCTCCTCCTCCTCCTCCTCTGCATCCTGTTCTTCCACCATGCTCCTCCTCCTCTGACTTTGTCGAACTCGCAGAAACTGATGCGGACGGTGATGACGGATGAGGAGCTTGCGTTGAAGCTCAACGAGCTTCTCAAGGCTCAAGAGTGAGTCGGCCAGCCAATCATGCTGATCTTCTGACGTCTGGACAAGATCTGAAGTCTTCTCGAGCGAGTTCGAGACGAAGGCTATGCAGCAAGTGGAGGTATGACGACGATGAGGTTGACCCGTCAGTGACATGTCCCAGCCTCTCTTCAACATTTTCTTTCATTGCATCCGCTGCGCATCCAAGCAAGGAATCAACTTGTAGCTTTGCTGCCCTGGTGCCGCTCTTGTCTGATCGACGTCCATGACAGGGAAACCATGCTGTCCTCGCTCGTCAACTCGTATCCCGAAGACGTCTCCTCCCCCATGCTGCTTCTTCTTGCCGCTCACGCTCGTCGCAGGTGTTGGCGAGGTTTGACGAGGAAGGACAGGACTCCAAAGGTTATGATCCTCGACCTCCCTCCTTTTTAACCCTGACTTCTCAGGATTTTTGCAACAAGAGCTCTCGGACGTCGTTCACGGCATGCAAGTATGACAAACCAGCTCTTGTAGACGAATTTACAGACAAACGAACCAAGTGAATATAAGATTGAAACTGATGCAACTCGATAATCGAGTTTGATACTTTCAGATATCCAGGTCGTCGTCTGGATCGTCCTCGTCCTCGTCCTCGTCCTCGTCCTCGTCCTCGTCCTCCTGCTGTAGTAGACGTAAGCAACAAGATCACACAGTGTGCAGTGAGACATCTTCAAGAATCTCCAGGGCATCTTCAACGTCGCCTGCCGTCTTCCCGCGATCTTGCGATGGCCTTGCAAGAGAAATCTCAACTCAACATTGGTACAGACGTTCTCCGATAAAAGAGAAAGAGATATGAAGATCAATGACAGTAAGATCAAATTCAGAATACCCCTGATTCAGATGCCGTTGGAAGGGGAGCTGTACCGACGCCCTCTGTGCTTTTTCTCCCTCCGAGAGCTCCAGGTTGAAGGAGAGGCCTGGAGGAGCGACGTGAGCAGGGTTGCGACAGCAGCAAAGTTTCTCACCCAGCGATGAGATCAGGCTCCCTTGCGAAGACTCATCCTCCTGCACAGACGCGCTAATGCCAAGGAAAGTGAGACCAGGCCCTCTGACTTGCCGCATCCTCCCCCGCACCTCTTCTCCCAGTTGTACTCTGTCTCCACCATGAAGGAGGAGGAGTCAACCAGCCTTCTACCAATCAGCGCAGCCTGTCGCAAGCCGCCATGTCAGTCGGGGGGAGCAGCAGCAGCTCCGCTGACCCTCTGGGAGACCGACGAGTTGTCCCTTATCCTGTTGACAAGCAGGCGGTACAACGCTTGCCCATCTTGTCCGTCCGGAGCTTGAAGCGCATTCCCTTCAGTGCGCTTCTCGACCTCACTGAGAGCAGGAGACACCTCAGCAAACACATTCAAAACTCCCAGCAGTCTCTCACCTCACTGTCAAGACAGCGTCCGAGTCCGCAGTGAGGGCCTGTGTGGCCGCCACGTTATCAAGGGACAGGAGGAGGAAGAAAAGGCTGGTGCTACCTTCACAAGGTCAGGAGGATGGAGATCTGTATACACGACAGCTAACAGAGAGAACTGTGAATTCTATCATCATCCTTCCCATTCACCAGACCTCATATCACACCTTGATTCCCTGCCTGATCTTGTTCAACATGTGCACAAAGTCTTGAACGGTTCCCCGTAGGATCATATCACTCGCAGAGTCGATGCAGACTACTATCTTCACTGTCCCACTCCTTGTCCCCCTTCCCTGCTCGAAGTTGCTGATACTATCGTTGACAGCCTCCCTCACCGTGCGGAAACATTCCTTGGAGTTCAACATGGTCCTG